GATAAGAATACTATTTTTTTAAGTTATTTTTATTTTATTTAAAAGACTTTTTTTATATTTTTTAATAATAGTTTAGATAGCTAGATTAATAACTATTTAATCTGAGTATATTTTACTTATATTAAAACTAAAAAAATATAATAAATATATTTTAATATTAAAAATAATTAAAATAATTAACTATCTGATTTTTAGTTATACTATAGTTAAATATAAAGATTTTCTTAATCTAACTATAATCTGGTGGTCAGATATAAAAATTCTAATTAATCTAATCTAACCTGGCCGTTAGCTACTCTAAATATTAGAAAAATTAAAAATATCTATATTATAATAATAATTTATTTATTTTATATTAGATATATATTATATATAAATAAATCTATATATAATAAGATATCTTTTATATTAGATTATTTTAAATATAAATATAATATTTTAAAAATATACATCTAAAATTATATAATTTATATAATCTATTAATTATATAATATTTATTTAATTTAATAATCTATAAATATCTATTAAAAACCTATATATTAAATATTTAAATTTATATTTAAATTATAGATTAAGTCTATTGATCTAAAACCTGCTAAGAACCGGATTAGGTTTGGATCCGACCTGTGAACCCGCGGGCTTTGGCGAGGCCTAATAGTGGTGCAGCTAGAGAGTAGCCGCATGTAAAACGCCGTGCGGAAGAAGCAGGACGTGGTGAACAAGAAGAGAAGCAGGCACAAAAGCAATAGAGCAAGTCTAACAGAAGACAGAACAGAAACTGCTACTGTATTAAATAATCTAATTTAATTTTCTGTCTAGCGTTATCTGTATTAAGACGGTTGCTTTTAAACTAGAATGATAAATGACTTGGTTAGTCGCCTGTACAAAGAAAGAGCGTCTGTGACATTTCTACTTCTGCTTTCCATTTTTCTATACTTTTAAACTTTTTATTATGGGAGTTTAGATTTCTACTATTGCTTTGAGTTTTATATATTAATTGGATAGTATGAATCTAACTATTAATCTGTGGTACAGTATTTTGTTATTTATTCAGCCCTGCTTAAGAGTATCCTCTTGATCTTCAATATTATTCAATGTAAGAAGCAATCAGGTGGTCGACTGCTGGAAAGAGTGGCGGCTACTGCAATGAGAAGAAGTAAGTTACTTCTTGATTTGAGCTGCTGTTCCATCCCTACGTATTCCATGCTAAACAGCCTGATAGGGTCTATGCACCTGCCATTAGATGAGGATAATGCCTAGTCTCGTCTGCCAAAAAGGTGATCGATATGGGGAATATCATTCATTGGGGGGCACAGAAGCCGCGTAATATCATGGGAACCCAAGCGACGTTATTTGGACAATTGCATATCAGTCGCAGTTATTTCTCACTGAGTGCCATCTTGTAATTTACACTGCGGTCTAGAAGATATTTTCCAATAATCTAGTGATACAGATTATGGTAGGCTAGTGGAAGCCCTCCAGCAGTTCTCAGTATGTGAATAACACGATCCCATCGTTGAATGAGATCTTCATACCCATTCCTGTTGTAATCCTTGGATATTTCCATTCTGTTCCTGTCCGTGCGCCGTCCTTTCAAAGCATAGTCCATTGGAGTTAAGTGCAAAGGCTCTTTCATCCAATTATAATTCTGAACCATTATAGCGTTTACTGGCGCACCATGCGCAATAGCTGCCTGCACACAGATCGGCATGCAATGAAAGACAAAACGGTGTAGTAAAGTATCTCCATTGAAATCACCGTCTTCTATCATCCACCGCAGTCTCCCTTTGTCGGTGTGGTTGAATAGATGACCTGCTAGGATCTGAGCCAAGGCAGCGTCGTTGTCCTGTCGAAAGGGACTGTCTATCCGGGCAAGCTTAGCGAAGATGCTTTGACCGGAGACCGGATGCCTTTGGTCAATATCCTTGCATTTGGAGAGCAAGAGCTCAGTAGTATGAATGAACCCCGTGCTCGCGTAGTGGAATACTGCGGAAAGACCGTCATAACTTCGATGATCCGGATCAGCTCCGTGATGTAGCAGAGCAGAAACGCATGCATACACCTGATCTTGCATCTTTCCGTCCACGAAGGGGACAAAGCTTATCGCTGTACGCCCCTGTTCATTCTGCTTGTGAATATCGGCTCCCGCTGCCAGAAGAGCCTCCACTACGTCCGGTAATCCAGCAGAAACAGCCATCATGAGAGGCGTCATGGATGGACACGAGAAGTCGAATCCCTGCGCGTTGTGCTGGTTCGGAGTAGAGAGTAAATCAATGTCTCCGCCCAGTGCCTTTATAGCTTTCACGGTGCGGCCTAGCTTGGATCTCATGTGCCCTGCGTTCCCTAAAAAGGGCCGAGAAGAGAACGGGAGTCCTCGTCTGGTGTACCATGTCTGGGAGTGACTAAGCCTGTGGAATACATTAAGCCCTTCTTCATCCACTGCATTAATATCGACTCTTCTCTTGACAGAGAGCAATAACTCGAAAATATAAGGGTCATGCTGCATAGCAGCGTAGTCCAGAGGGGATAGGCCTTGAGTTTTAACTTTCGAAAAGGAATATTGCTCGAGATTGGAACCTCCAAATTGATTCAAGCACCGAACTCGTTCATCATGGATATACGGATCGCATCCATCTCGAATCAGAGCATCTGCGGCCCCATCTTGAACAAGAACTTTGATTGCATTGCAGCTGGAGGTAACTACTGCCCAATGTAAAGCAGTTCCCGCCGGAAGGTGAAACGGATAGTAAAATAGCGGGACTGGTTTTGAGGCAACGGAGTTGATATCGCCGCCAGCATCAATTAATCGCTTCACGGCAACCGCTTGATACTGCTCTCCAAGAGCAAATGTCCAATGAATGCAGCTAATGTGGTAAGGTGTGCACCGTGGAGAGGCGCTGGCTCCAAGATTCAGAAGTTCCTCGATGATGTCCCAGGATCCTCGCGCGCAGGCCAGATAGAGTGGTGTCTCCAATCGACTCGTCATTTGCTCGATATCTTGTCGGGGGTGAAGCCTGAAATATTCACGGAGATCATACATTGTCCGATAGGTAGCCAGAAAATGAAGAGCGGAGAATCCCTCGTCCACGTGTGGGCTATAGAGCTCATTGAACCCGCCCTTGTCATGGAAGTACCGCACACACCGATCAAGTGCCTTCGGATCGCGCTTTCCAAGGGCGGCTCTCGCTGAGATGACGCCCTTAGAAACTGCGTTTTTCAGCCATCGGGTAAGAATATGACTCTGTCGCTGCCCAGGATCTCTCTTATAATACTGGTATAAATCCGGGAGGGCAGCTTGGGCCGCGGCGTGTCCTGCAGAGGCAGCGGAAACCGCTAAGCTGAGCCTATCGGAATCCTGAATATCCAGTAGATTTGGAACGGTAAGTGCCAAACAGAGAGGGAAAAGAATTGGCAATGGCACTGATCTCTTGTTCTCCTGGAACCTGTCATAAATGTCCTTGGCGAATTCAACGGAGAGAGGGTGTGGCTCCCAGTCATGAATTTGACCGAGGTTACGATCCATGAATGTACGATCAACAAATAGTCCGTGTGGGTCATCCGGGTCTATTCCACCCGAAGGCTCTTCTCTGCAAGCTTCCTGTCACTACCTGTATGGACGCATTTGATATTGCCTCGACTTACACTTTTCTGGCTCCCTTGTGCCGGTTGAACGAAAATCCTTCGCATAGCAAACGAGGTCGTAGCTTCGGATCTACCTCCAGAAGCTGAGACAAAAACCCCACTGCCGTTGATACCTGGCTAATTTTCGGGATTTCACTGTTTCTGCTGGCATCTTTCACCACCAACGTGGCATGCGACTTCTCAATTGTTGCCCGAGGGGGGATCCTACCGGATAGGAAAAGAATGCTCCATGCTAGCAAGCCAAATGAATAGCTATCAGTAGGCACTAGCTCCTTGATCGTCAAAACACGGCCTTCCTCCACCTCTGGCGCCTGCCAGCCTGGAGTCCCCCCCAGGCAAATCCCGCTCTTTGCAAACTCGACCTCATCAGTAGAGAGTGCAAAGTCAGCAAGCTTCGCGACGGGCCCGTGGCCAGATGGGAAGATCAAGATATTCGCCGGCTTTATGTCCCCATGAACGAGCCCGATCTCATGTAAAGCGTCTAGACCTGCAGCCACATCGCAGCAAATCCGGTAGGCCTCTTCTAGTGTCGGCGGCTGTTCGGTAAGGAACGTATTCAAGTCCCATTCTGCAAGTTCCATTACCAGGAGGGGAGGCCAATGAAATGAGTCCCCTTTCGACCATGCAAGTAGCTTGACGATGTTCGGGTGGACACTCAACGATGACGTGGTCAGTGACATAATTTCCAGATAGAAATCATGCAAATGCTTCCATGTGCCCTTAGTGGCAAGACTTATTTGGGTATTGAAGCCTATATCGAATTTGGGTTGTTTTACAGCGACGGGGATTTGCATGACTGCTCTGGGAGTGGAAGTCTGCATGTACTGCCGCGACACGACAAACTGAGTACCCTGTCCAATATAGGCATAATCAGTCAGAAGGACAGGGCCCGGGACCCCGGATTTATAGATCGCGTCAACGAGGACCTCCACCGCCGTCCATCCGCTACGGGAGGCGTCACGAAGGGACGACAAGCGATCCCTGGTTACTGAAAAAGTATCCCGGCTGAACCCATCTGGCATCCGGGATGATCGCCTACTGCTATGACCAGCCGAGGAGATGTATGAACGGGGGTGTTGCCAGCCGGGGTTGTTGCTCATCTTGTTCACTGCCGTCGGGGGTTGTTTGGTCTTCTGTCCGATCGTCCGGGTCTTTAATCATCTCCGTTGGCGGCAGCTTCTGAGGTGATAAGAGCCATGGTTTATGATCGATTGTGCAAATGACCTTGTTTGCAACAGCCGAAGCTAGCCCCCATTCGGGCAGAATTGGGCACAAAAACCAAGGACTTGAGTCAGCCTCGTCTTCCAGCCCCGCCGGTAGCGCTCGGATTCCACCTAACATTCCACCCAACAGACAAATGGAATTGTCAGAGAAATTTCCCTGCATCTGGAAAGAACATAAAGTTGAAGCAGATTACAACGCACCGAGGAAACCATCGAAGCAGCGAAATGCCTGCAGACTCCGCTGGCTGGAAGGACGACCTCAACCGGCGCCTGAAGGATTCAGCACAGCGCCAAGGATACGCGGCGGTCAAAGCGCTGATAATCTATTGGGAAGATAGCGACCCCGGATTTGAAGAGGAGGGTAGAGCACTGGCACAGCTGTTCCAGTCTTCATTTGAGTATGACGTCGACATATTTCCCATTCCAAGCTCGCACTCGTATCTTCGATTACACAACTTCATTACGCAATCATTGCTGGCAGTGACCTCCGATGCCGAGAGCAGAAAAGGAGCGCCATTGCTCATTATCCACTATGGAGGCCACGGGGATCGCAATGATGATCGACATGGCGGCGAGGAACGACAGTCAGTCTGGGCTGCGCATGCGCACGGGGGTCCGAGCCTGGAATGGTTTCGCATCCAGGACGATATTAAGGCGACCGATACTGACACCCTCCTGCTTCTTGACTGCTGTTTTGCGGCCCAGGCTGCACGCAGTCGCGACACCCGACAGCGTCCCGGGGGACTAGAGATTCTCGCCGCCGCGGCGATGGGGATGGAGACCCTCGGGCCGGGCCGAAGATCGTTCACCGTCGCCCTGATGAAGGGAATGCAAGGTCTGCTCGATGCCACCGGCGCCGTGGCAATCACCGACTTACACGCCCGATTGGCCCACCGGGATGCAAATCTCTTCGCCACGCCGTTTTATGTCAACCTCCGATCTGGGGCCCGAACGATCAGACTCGGCCGACTTGCCCCCGTCCATGGACAGGAGGATATTGACATGGTGGAGGGATCTGTTTTACAGCTACTCATCCAAACAAAGGAGCAACTAGATGTATCGTCCGTCGGTCAAATTGCCGAATGGCTAGAGACGGATATGCCTCGAACGATAGCGAGACTGGAGGTTCTGGACACCTCCACCAGAATTGATCGATTTGTGGAAGGCATTCGACAGGAGAAGCACGCATTTCCCCAAGAACTAACCGATGTCGGCCGACGAGACATCATGGAGGCATGGAATAAGGTCGCTACGCTAGTCAAACTCCATCACACCCAGAGCTCCAACGCTCACCATCGTCGGGAAAATGGGCATGGCATGGGTGATGATCTCGGCAGCACGAGTGCATTCCTTCGGCAGCTCAACGTTCAAAACAGTGCCTTTGTAGATACTGTGGAGCGTACCATCTTGGAGGCCTCAGCGGATCCCGACTCCAATGTCTTGGAAACGGCTATAGAAGATCCTGGCGTGCAGACATTGGGCATCGTGGATCATCTACGTCTCCGTCAAATTGTTCTTCGGGAGACGCCACTCAGTGAGCAGGAAGCTCGAGGGTCGTTGACCTACAACCAAGTTGTCCTCGTGGAGACGAAGCAGTACAGTCAATACGTGGATCCGGCTCAGATTCCCGACCTTACCTCCAGGGTCCGTCGTTTGGCCGAACTGTTAAAGGCCCCAAAGGGAAGACAGTTCCTTTCCCTGAAATGCTGTGCATGGGAACATCAGTCGTGGGATCATCGTTACGTACTTCATTTTGAAGTCCCGGAGGTGTATGCCGATGGATCGAGCAGTGACCATCATACACTGCAGTCAATTATAAAGCAAGTTAAAGGGGCCAGACGACCCTCGCTAGACCAGAGATTGAGGATTGCTTTATTAATTGCCCAGGCTGTGCGAAGCTGGCACCAAGTTGGATGGGTGCACCAAGGAATCAGCGCGATGAATGTGATTTTCTGGAGCTTCAAGGGATCCGATGAGATTGACTACGCCAACCCATTTCTTCACGGCTTCGACTTTGCTCGACCAGATTCAGATCCCTCGATTGGCCGTTCGACAGACGACATCGCGTTTAACGTCTACCGTCATCCCACTCGGCAGGGAGCTGCTCGTAAAGGCCACCGGAAGGTGCATGATCTTTACTCGCTGGGTGTCGTTCTACTTGAAATCGGCCTCTGGCAGTCCGCCCATGATCTTGTTGCCTCGAGGAGGCCCGAAGCCCCGGCCCCCTACGTGTTACAGAAGAAACTGCAGGAGGCTTGTTTAACACGACTTGCGCACTACGCGGGGACTACCTACCAGCAGGCCGTTGCGGCATGCCTCGCTTCGGACTTTGGGGTTGACCTTGATGATGCCCAAGGAACCAAATTGAACGACTCTTTCCGAAGACTGGTAATTGATAGAATAGCCGAGGGCATTACCATTCGTTAGATGATACAGTGGTTTTGGCCGACTCTCGTCCCTTCCTCACTATGCAAATTCGAGATTCGCCTCGATAAAGACCTTTCCATTGTCCACCCTTGTCCCATCTTGTAGGCTGAGAGTATAGATTCCACCAGCTCCGACGCTGGCAATTAGGTAAGGTCCTCGCAATGCACGGCCGCCAGGCTCGCTGAGGTAGACATCGTCACCAACACAGAATTTGGTTTTCTATGGCTTTCGGTGATATATCAGCACTGGGAAGCAGGCTAAGTACATGCACTTACGTTGGCATAAGCCCCGATCCTTGGGCGACGGTCCCAGTCTCCTAATTTCTCACGATCCATGGCAGCTTTGCTTTGTTGGATCAGTATCACAGGCGAATCGCATTTGATGAAGATGAAGACTATAGTAAGGCCAAGGAGATAACATGCTTACCAGTCCTTCTCAACTCGCAAGGAGAAACGGGTGGGGATGACATCAACTACTCTCCTGGCCGGGTGAACCATAAATAAATATCACGTTTTGGGGGCCAAGATGAAGAGCCCCGCTTACCCTCGATTAATACGTGGTTATAGCTGATTGGACACCAACAGGTTGTCCACCGAATATGTTATGCAACTCGGAAACAACGGCGCTACATGGTCATGCCATTTCCAATTTGTTTTCCCTCTTCGTCAAAGTACCGGTCTTAAATTGGCCGCACTACTCCAGAGACCTATCCAGCGCCCACAGCGATAAATCCATCAGAATGAATTCAGCCGACGGCGAACCTCGTGTGTCTTACTGTATGCTGACTCGTGGTTCGTAAATGTTCGTTCACAAAGAGTGCTCTAATACCTGTCCCTAGTGGAGACTTTCCGGCCTGGATATCCCAGATATTCAGCGTTATTGAGCACACACGCATCATTTCAGAAGTTCCGTCGATTCACAGAAGTGCGGATGCGACTTCTGTTGCTAAAACAAGACGAAATATCTGTTCTCGAGCAAGCGCTGAGCCGTGCCGATGCCGATGAACCCCATGGGCTATTTTTAGGTTGCGCTCGTCGTGACCAGAATTCTACTCGCAAAAAAATTCTGGACGAGCTGAGAACGCATCTCGCCGAATATGGTAGGATCTTTCAACCCGCAGTATAGTGGGCAGCTCGAAGCTTATATTATTTTAGATACCATGTTGCAGCAGACCCAATGGGTCCAGTCCCTGTCTGACTCCAGTGCAAGGGATATTCAAAGTCTGCAGAATTGGGTGCAAGGAACCGGCTGTATCGCGCGAGAAGAAAGGAAGTACCTGGATCATGACCAAGACCTGGCGAGTTTGGTGACGCCCCCTGATATTGCCGTCGAGCGTACATTGCCTTTGTTGGAAGACTTTCTATGCTTTCTTCAACGGACAAGTCGAAGAGTGTGTATTGCCCTAGCCCGTGTTTTCATTCTACTCATTATGGAAGATATATTTCCTCCTCCTGTGGTCAATCAAGGCCAGAAAGGAAGAAGAGAGATAGGATGGAAGAAGAACCGTTCATCAACGCCGCATATTAATTTTAAAGGCAATGCTTATACTACTGTCGACTGATATGATCATTCCAGCTCTCATTCTCTCCGGCGACAAGAAAGAATCACTACATTACAGAGGACGAAAATATTTTCATTGTCGGTCCTTGGATACGCCGCGTCAGCCAAGCTATTGCAACATGGATGGCCACACTCGCTCTTCTGACTCCGATTATTATTCTCTTTGTTACAACAAGTCCAGTCGCGCGGCTAGTCACTATCATTGTCGCCGCTGGGGTATCCCTAACAACCATGTCCCTGTTCACCGGAGCAAAAACCATGGAAATATTCATTGCCGGGGCGGGGTAAGCAAGTCCAAGCACAAGGAGACCGTACAAGGAGCTAATGCATATACCATTGCACAGCTATGCAGCGGTTCTCGTTGTGTTTACATCGGCTAGCAACACGTTGTTTTCCACACAGGAGTGTTCTTGTCCCTAAGCTTTTATTGCATGAGATGGTAAAACGAGGCAAAACCGGCCGGACAGAGTGGTAGACCAGCGGCCGACTTGATGTCGAGCTATTTGAAGTTATTATGATCATGGCCCCTCTAGTCCTAGAGGTACTCAATCTTCCGCGGAGATGACGAGAATATGATATGGCACGCCACCTGTGCAGATGAATTCATTTGAACAGCCTCTCATGAGCTCTCTTACATTGTAACAAAAAGAGCCTTCCAGCTTGACTAGGAGGGAATGGGTTCCACACCGCTAGGAGGCCCTGTGCTATGTAGGGGCAAGGGATAGACAGCGTTGAGATGCTCCAAGAGGAACATGACCGTTCCTGTCCTCGGGCAGAAGACCTGGCCGGAAGCTAGGAAACATGGCATGCATGTGAATCACGCTATCATTCCCACTGGGCCTTTGTCATTCACCACATGTTCAAACCGGTTGCATTTGAAAAGAGCATACATCTCAGAAATGAACAGCTAGAGTCCTACCCACGACCCATGAAATCAGAAGGGATAATTGGCTTTCAGCGCTGCCCTGAGACACCTACAACACGAGTAGACGTCGCGGATTGCTGCGTGTGGTGATCTCCTGACTACCCGCAGGAGCGAAGATCGGGAATTCCGGAAGATAACCAAAATTGCGGAAGTTGAAACAGTTCAGATGTATTTCGCAAGTACTGGAGTGGAGACAAAGTGGGGTGCCTAAAATTCATGATTTGTCAAAGCCAGTCAGCAGCACGCAGCAGCACGGAGCTTCACGGATCTTCACGGAACTTCAGCCCTCTAAAACGCAGTCGCACTAAGCGCGAGGGCAGCCGTGCTGAGCACCTTTAGAGGCACCGACCCGACTACTGGCCGCAGAGAAGCCACACGCCGGGAGGTTAGTAGTTGGGTGGGTGACCACCAGCGAATCCCTTCTGTTGTATGTTTTTGTCTTTTTGGTCGCCTCTTTCAAATCATATGTTGACATGGACTTGCGAGGTCCAAGGCGCGATTTACTGCATGTAAGTAGAATTGAATTCATTCATTTATTTTATTACTTCTTGCTGCTTGGTCGTAGTTGTTGAGTGGAAGATTTGTGCTACTGCCCCTGCATCAGTGCAGTTACCCCAGTTATAATCACTGCGTCAACACTACGAGCCGCGAGCCAAAAGGTCGCTTGCTGTAGTAGAATCTCCTGGTTGAGAAGTTTAACAATACTTCAGCAACTGAAAATGAGACTAGTTGTTAGATCTTTCGACATTATACAAGTCATTCGCTCATGGTTTCACAAGTCAGTCCAGTTATTCCTTGCACATACTTGAATCCTTGTGGCTGTGACTGCTGAGGATTTAGGATCTGACGCTCGCTACCAACACTCCTACAGACTCGACGCATCGAATCGGCCTATGAACATCAGACCTCGGCTGGAACAATGCAGTCTGACTATAATCAATTTATTACGATTTAGGCCTTGGATCCTGCTGGTCATGGCTGCAGCATGATATGTTACGCCAAGAACTACGACTGATTGTGAGGGAGCAGGGAGCACGCGTCATGCTACGCCGTGTGTAAGCTAGACTAGTGGCTACCAACTCCTGATGTATAGATTGTGGCGTCTCGTCCATTTTCGCAGCACGGTCTCAGTCCGTAAGCAGATTGTACGAGGAAGATCATTCCAGATCTGGCCAAGGCGGCGTAACGACATTCCCTGTGATTCCACCCGTAACAACATTAGACAAGCTTAATGGGCCGGCAGAGGTTCGGCTGCGGCCAGACCCATGGTCAAGGTCGTCCGACTCGTCATCAGCGATTCTGCACCAACTTTCGCCAAGAACTAAGCTTATTGTCCGCGCCGAAGTCTGACGGCAAGTCTGATGACCCCAAAGTTGGTTAAACTTCTTATCAATCTCAAGCTTCTCCCCAAGTGGAACCCTACTCTGCACGGCACATGCGGAGACTAAACTTCTTGCAGATAAGTGCCTCCATCCGCGCCGTCTTGGCAATTTTCGGAGCGGGGCGGGATCCCTCGGAGCCAACGGGATCTGAACTATGTATTCCGTAGTACCTACCTGCTTGCGATCATGCTTCAGCTGTTTCCTGGCCATCCTTCTTCACCACCAGATAGCTTGGTCAGCCATGCTCCGCAGGAACTGCTCTATATATTCAGCCAAATATCCCACCAAAATCTGACAGACAGACACGCAGAACTTCTCTGATCATGTTTCCCTCTCTTTTCCTCGCCCTCGTGGGCATCTCTGCTCCCTTGGCTGCTGCAAAGACCAACACTCCAGGCTTGGAGCTGGTTTACTCGCTTGAGCGCGCCACCCAGGGCATCAGTATCTCCGCCGATGGCCGCAAATTCCTGACACAGCGTTACTCCACGACCGCCGCGCCCCAGATCGTCGAGCTTCTCGCCAACAACAGCACCACTCTCTATCCGGACGCGGCGTGGAACGCATACAATTCCAGTGACCCGATCTCCGACCCGACGAAAAGCTTTGTCAGTGTCGATGGAGCGCGCATCGGTCCGGATGGCCGCTACTGGGTCGTCGATGGCGGCTCGTCGGGCGTCAATGGCTCCACCAAGCTGGTCGGTGTCAACCTGACCACCAACGCAGTCGACAAGCTGTACTACTTGGACAATGTCAAGGCGGAGGAGAGCGGTGTTGACGACGTCCGCTTCAACGCCGCTGGCGATGTCACCTACCTCAGTGACACCGCGGGCGCGCTCATCATCCTGAACATGACGACCGGCGACGGCGTGCGCGTGCTCTCCGACCACTCTTCCGCCCAGGCCTGGTTCCCCATGATGTACAACCACACCCTGGTGCCTGGCTACGGCGCCGCCGGCAGCACCCTCGCCGTCGGCCTCGACCAGATCGAAGTCTCCCCCGACGGCGTCTGGCTGTACTACCAGCCCTGCAACGGCGGGCTGTACAAGATCGAGACCGCCTATCTCGACGCCGCTCTCACCAACACCACCCTCGCCGCCTCGCTTGGGGACTACGTTCAGGCTGTTGCTCTGACCCCCAGCACGGGCGGCACCACCATCGACGGCAACGGCAACATCTATTTCAGCGATACTAACCTGTTGGCCATCTGGAAGGTGACTCCCGAGGGCGTGGCCTCGATCCTCTTCCAGGATGACCGCCTGATCTGGACCGACCTTATGTGGGTTACCCCGGACAAGAAGCTGTGGCTGCCGGCTTCTCAGATGCGTCCTGGTGGTGATGGCCTGATGGCTGCCGGCCCTAACTACATCTTTACCTACCCTATCGAGGCTGGTCCCTCCCCGATTGACCACGCCTAGTGAATGACCGTACCGGACCTGTATCATAGTATTGGCATATCCCCGGCGTGTATTATGGCATTGTGATCGTGTATATCTAAGAAGAGTTATCTCGGCACGAGAGAGCGACAGAACATAGAACTTTCAGATAAGAATCCACTCAGAGCTTGTTCATGATACCACCTTTGTGCTGTGAGCTCGAATCGGTAACGCAGTGTGTACAGGACTTACCTCTTAGGTGGTTGTAACAATTCACCGTAAAGCAAGATCACGTGACTGTGGCGGCTACCGAGGAGGGTCACGGGTCACGGGTCACGGGTCACGGGTCACGGGTCTTCCCGACAGATCCTGATTAGGTCTAGCTTTCCATACGGTGCGGGAGGGCTTTCCCCAATCTGGAATTAAGTTGATTGTCAGTCCGTAACCAAACGAGCATCATCCACCTGGATTCACACTTGGATTCACACGCGCAACCTGCTAACTGCGCACTTCCCCGTACTGCATCTGAATTGATCCTTACACTAATCTGAATGAGCATGATGAGTGCTACCGACCTGTCAACCCACATTATTGACTCTGACGGCGATGTGGTGATCGTCTTACAGGATCCCAACCGTGCGTTTGCGCCCTGGAATGAGGCCGGATCCCCGGAGATGGCTCGTCCACCTTCGTCATTAGGCACCGATGAGGATGATGAGCATGAGGGGAATCCCAACGTGCAGCCTGTCGACACCACCGGTGACTACAACAAACGCCGACAAAAGAGGTTCACCGTATCTTAGTATCCGGAAAACATCTAGCTCTCGCGTCATCCTACTTCAAGAAGATGCTCCGCGGGACGTGGAAAGAGACCACCTCTCACCTCCCCGCAGGCCGCATGGAGATAGCCGCAGAAGGTTGGGATTTGGAAGCACTCTTGATCGTCCTCAAGGCATTGCACTGCCAAAACTCACAGATCCCGAGGAGACTGAGCCTAGAGATGATCGCCAAGATCGCGGTCGTGGCGGACTACTACCAATGCAAGGAAGCGCTAGAATTCTTCTCGCAGACTTGGCTCGAGTCGTTGGCCCAAGAGCCACCAAACACTTACTGCAGGGACCTCTTTCTGTGGATCTGGATCTCGTGGTTCTTCGGTCGCCAGAGTCAGTTCCGACAAACCACCTCGGCGGCGGCGTCGCGGAGCACCTCGCCTGTCGCCAGCCTCGGCTTACCAATTCCTGGTGCAATCATTGGTAGGGGACAAAATTCCGGGCGATCTTGGGTGATATTCAGCTGATTGAAATTGGTTAAATCCAGGTCTCATCAATGAAAGGCGAACCACGGCCATCGCCGCCATTCTGCAGGGACTACACAGCACGCTGGATCGGCTCCTCGACGCCCGCTATTGTAGCTTCGAGTGCAATGCCATACTGTATGGAGCTCCCAGTAAAAGGATGCATTCGAGCGGTCTGCTATACCCCAGGCCCGTGGCGCCTTTTCTGGGTATAAGTCATCAAGAGCTTGTGCAGCAGGTGTTGTCCTTCGAACCCCCAAAGTGGTGGGCCGGGTCCTCGAGGTACGACGATCGTCCACACAGATGCTCCCAGTCTTCCTTCAAGCATATCCTGGGCAATTTCAACTTTTTTATCTCCGGACTGGATCTTTCTAAGATGGGAAGATTGTGCACCCATGATGAGACGGACACCCTAGTGGGCTCATAGCGCCGCAATGAATCCAAGCCAAAAAGGCCAAGTCGACAGTTCAACCAGAGGGAAGGTTATTCAAGAATCGTCATAGTCTCAAACAGACTCCCCAAGGTGATTGATCGCAAATTATAGTTTTGTAGCTCGTGCAGCCTGGTTCTGGTAAGCCAGTGAGTGGCCCTTGACCGAGGGTGGGGGGGAAAGCCTGCAACCTACGGAGGCAATCTACACTCCACTGGCCTTTTTTGACTCTATCGTTGAACACGATGCCTCAGAGAAAAAACGTCCAATCGAGCATCTCATGTCATCAGTAATACATAGGGAAATGAGCTTTTCTTCTATGTTGACTTATTGTCCAATATTTTAGATAGTTTGAATCGTAAAACATAACGGGCTTGCGATCCGATGCCTATTTAAAGTAGAATATGTAATGAATAATTCGTACACAAAGCAGCAGACCTTGTTTTTCGCCTATGGTTATATAATCTGTCAAGGCTCGAGGAATGATGCCAAATAAAGGTTTATCATCGTGCAGCCGCAGACGACCCTGTCTGAGAGCGAACAGAGTCTCGGTCGCATGTATCGGCATAGATATCCAGCCCATCGCCAATGATCTTCAGGAGAAGCCACTGCCCATTGCCTCGAATCAACCGCGCCCAGAGCTTCGCGACAGCAAAACCCAGGTAGACACAGTCCGAGGGGATCGCCGGCCTGGCCCACAGGTCCTCGTCTCCGGAGGTTCGTCCCTCTTCAACGATGTCGGTGATCCAGCTTACCAACCGTGTCTCGTGCTCTGTGCGTTTGGCATGTCAGTACTAGGGTTTTGATGATCTCCCATGGCACAATGCGGAAGAATACATACCGTCCAGCGGCCGCCTCGTCTGACAGTCCGCGATACAGAACAGCCACTTGCTGAGGAAGATGGCGAACTCCAGCCCGCAAAGCGAGTGTTGGATGCTCCAGACGAAGGCATGGCTCTGCGCTACGAAGTTCACGCCCAGCTTGACGGGGATGCTGAGGGCGTGGGTGGCATGCAGGATAGCGGGAAGGAGATGTGGCCCGGCGGGAAGCCGTGGCATGTGTAGCAGCCGGCTGGCTATCTCGTTCGCGTCTTGCGATCGAAGGATTCTGTAGGACCCGATATCGAGGCCGAGGCGAACATATGCCACCCCGAGGAACGCGGTCGAGGTGAAGGTCACGGGGCCGTTGGGGTTGCGGGGATCCAAGCTCGATTCCGGGGCGCGCTGCCATAGAGAGGTCCACGCGTGAAGGGCGTGTCTAAGAGCATGAGCACGCTTTCAATTAGGGCCAATGAAAATTGGAAGGAAGACTCGGTCCTCATAAACTACTCCACTTACCGCATGATCTCCTTCTGCCCATTGATCAAGGATTTGTTCGCGTCGTTGTATGGCCCGAGAGCACGGTATGCGAGGAGGATCTGCTGGATGAGCGCATGCAGCAGGATATAGTTCGCTTGGGGCGATGGCACCGGATGCGCGTTGGGGAAGCCCGGCGCCGGCGGGTTCTTCATGATGTGACAGAGGGCATCTTGAAACATCATCTGCTCCCGAAACCCGGGCCTGGTTCGGATACGATTCCATTTCTCCGAGCTTGGAGCAATCCACTCCAGACAGCTGCATGGCAGACGAACGCGAATCTCATCGGTCAGGATCACGGAGGGGGTGCCGAAGGCCAGAGACTGCAGGTTCAGGAGGGCAAAAGAGAACAGCTTGATCCTGCGGTCTGTTTCTTCTTGGACCCAGGACCGCCAATCTGTGGCACTAGCATCGGGCCCCTGATCGGCCTGTTCGAGCTGACATTCCCGGATGCATCGTGCCAGGAAGCTTTGGAGGTTGAACGCCTCTCGTGCTAGATCCTCCTTTCCTTGCCAGGTTGCGAAAGCAATCAGTAGAAAGGCGCAGCGTGCGTCGCGCATGGTTTCGCGGTATTGCGCGCTTTTGTGGTCTGGGGCAGATCCCTGATGTAATGGAGTCGTACTGTTCCCAGACGGCGCAGCTTTCCCACCATTTGTCCTCTGCTTTTCACGCGTTCGTTGCTGCAATATATCCGTAGCCGCCTGAAACAGTAGCACCGCTTTGCGATTCTCATGCCGGAACTCAGCACCCAGGGCGCACATAGCTAAGAGACATTCCGGCTCACATTCATCGATCCTGAAGGTTGGGATGTGCACCATGGGGTAATGGGGATAGAATCCATCGAAAAAGCCATTCGCGAACCGTGACAGCGAGTGGCAAGACGGCAAGTCGTTGGCCGCTTGGATGGAATGGGCCCGTGTCAGCGCTCGAAGTAGGCGTTCGCGATGCTGATTTGTTACAGTCAGGATTGGCAACGTCAGGACGCCAAATTCCGCTATTGTTGATGTTTAGCTGCGTCTTTAGACTCGGGTAGACGTTGAAGGTGTCTTAGGCGTCTTACCGACTGCTTCTCGCTCGGTTGGTAACTTGCTCAGAGCCTGATCAGGACCAACGGAAAATGCGCCGGATGCTGGTGCAGTAGATGGATTTGTGGTGAGATTGAAGCTGGAATCACCCGCAAAGATCTGTGTTATGCTGGGCTCAGTTGGGAGATACCATTCGTTGTTCAGCCCCATGTTGTTACTAAACATCTCCAGATCTTGCAGAACCAGCAGATCCTGGGAGCTGAAGAGCGGATTTCCTGCATGAAGTCAATCCCGCTCCGGCGGTTTATCGAGATTCAGCATTGATAGATGCTACTACACCATACCTTCGAGTTGCACATTGGGATATTGGCTAGTCTGGCTTGGAAGCACTTGGGCGATGTCATGAAGATCTGCTAGCTCCGGCAAAGAAGGCTGGAAATTGGAATGGGAATACTCTACTTGAGACTGGACATTGCTGGTATTGTGAACCTCTGCAGGTGACGGGTCCTCCGTCGCTGGAGTAATCGGGGCGTGGCCAATACATTGGTGGCGCTTCAGCAGATCTCGCCGACTGAACGATGCACCACAGTCACATTCGTAGGGTTTCTCATGTGTATCTAAGAGTTGCCATTATCTCAGCCTCATAGACTCACATTCGGTTTCGTGGGAGTTCTGCACTAACGAATTCGAAGATGTCTTTGGAGATGCTCGTAGCGCCGGAAGGATCGCTCGCAGTAGGAACATATCCGCGGCTTTCGTTTGCCTGCTGATGATGACTCCGGGGTTGGCCTTACTGAAGACAACTCCATATGTGAATTTTTGAGGGTTGGGGGATAATGGCGAGAGTGTGTGCAGGATGAAGAGAGTTGGAGTTTAGGATGGAGGCATTGGAGGTGTGGAGGCGGTAGCAGTCACGTGGCCATGGATGACGTCAATGGCATGCCCTAACTGGGGACTTGTACACCTATACTAAACTCCTGCTTCTCTACACTTTCATTGTTCATATGCATCGTACCTCCATGTTATGCTAAGAATAGAACCAGAAAGAATGTCTAACTGATATATATATATGTTACACCCTAGAATTCGCACATAGAACAAGCGGGAGGGTTGAAACCGGAGGAACCTTCTGGTCATTAGCACACACTCAGATCAAAGATACTTAATACCCTTACATCAAGACGCTGATGAAATGGAGGAAACGTTAAGCTTGATTGTTGAATGCCTCAACCTCGACCTCAATCAACATCTCCGGAAAAGCAAGGCGGGGAACCGAAATAGCAGTCCAGACTGGTCGGTGTCCAGCAATGCGCTTCTTGAGCTTCTCGACTAGATAGTCATAAGAAGCTCCCATTTCGACGTGGTAAGTCCGGACAAGATAGACGTCTTCCCATCCTTTCAACCCAGTGGCTTGAAGTACCTTATCGACGTTCTCAAATGCAAGGTCAATCTGCTTCCGAGTATCGCTAGCATCGAGGTCTCCCGAGTTGGTCCAACCACCCTGCCCAGCGCATTTCACAATGTTCCCGGGGAGAAGAACAGCTTGGGAGTAGTGGCAGAGATCGCTGTGCTTCTGGCCAGCACCATCTTCGTTGACATAGGTGAGGGACGCCATATTTCAATATTGTGGGCAATGAGTGATGAAAGCTGTCTGCAAAGTCTTTGGCTGATCCTGGTGGTCCGGCTTCGAGAATTTATAATCATTGCTGCTGGAGAGTTGCGGTACTAGGCGGCGACTTGCCTGCGTGGAGATGACGTGGGAGCTTCCGGGGGCGTCTCGGCAACATGGAAGCGCTCTTGTTGGAGATCCGTGCAAAGTAAGAAACGAGAACTTGGCATGTTTTAATGACTTCGAATCTCAATTCACTACGTGACTCTAGTCGCCAAATATCCTGCACGGCTCTTCTCGATTTCATTGCTGTGGTCGGGTTGCACATGTGTCGGTAGATGATCTAGACCTTTTCCGCCTTCCCTGGCCAAAAAAGGCTACAGTCCACTGCGAGATCTTTTCGTGATTTGAAAAGCGATGATACATACGATTGGCACTCACATGGTGACATACAAGCCTCCTGCATTGCCAGTTTCATGAGTAGTGGATTTGTCATTTTCGGTTTGTCCTGCTCGTTGGAGGTGTTTGGAGGTGGTTTGGAGGTGGTTTGGAGGTGGTACCCACAATCCCCCCGCAGCCCTACTCGCGGCCAGATTCAGCCGTGGCAAAGGAAACCAATGTCCAAGACCTCCAAAATTATATAAATCATAAATCCCAGCTTGGGGAATCATTCCATAGCATGAAAAACAACTACTGTTCAGATATTCAATTCCTAATCAATTGAAGGGAAATACCACAAGCATTCAAGACACCGCCACTGAAGTCGATCCGCCATGACGCCCTCCAAGCTCTTCGAGCCTCTGCAGATCGGAAACCTCCATCTCGAGCATCGAGTCATCATGGCTCCGCTTACTCGACTCCGCGCCGACGCAGAACACGTCCCTTTACCCATAGCCAAAACGTACTATGAGCAACGAGCATCTGTGCCAGGGACGCTGCTCATCGCCGAAGCCACCCAGATCTCAGCATCCGAAGGCGGGATCCCGCATGGGCCTGGAATTTGGAGCGAGCCCCAGATTCAGCGCTGGAAAGAGATCACCGACGCCGTACATGAGAAGGGCAGCTTCATTTATTGTCAATTGATTGCGCTGGGCAGGGCGGCTGATCCCGCTGTGCTTCGTGCCGGTGGCGAATATGAGCTACACGCCCCCAGTGCGATTCCCATGGACCCAGAAATGCCTGTTCCCAAGGAGTTGAAGGAGGAGGAGATTCAGAGCATCATCGATGACTTTGCGACAGCGGCGAAGAATGCAATTCGAGCGGGGTTTGACGGCGTCGAAATTCACGGAGCCAACGGCTATCTGGTCGATCAGTTTCTTCAGGATGTGTCGAATCAGCGAGTCGATCGATGGGGTGGCAGTGTTGCCAACCGCGCACGTTTCGCGCTGGAAGTTGCTAAAGCTGTGGTGGATGCTATCGGGGCTGACCGCGTTGGATTCCGGCTCAGTCCGTGGAATACTTGGCAAAGTATGAAGATGGCTGATCCGACCCCTCAATTTGCCTATTGTGTGGAGCAGCTCAGGCAGTTGAACCTGGCTTACCTGCACCTCATCGAGTCGCGCGTTATCAACAATGTGGACTGTGAACAAGGAGAGAGTAACAAATTCTTTCTCGACATCTGGGGCAAAACCTCCCCTGTCCTTGTCGCGGGCGGATATACCCCGAAAAATGTGGAAGCTGCTCTTCAGGGTGATTACAGGGACTACAACGTCGCGATTGTCTTCGGACGCCATTTCCTTGCGAATCCTGATTTGCCCTTTCGCATTCGCCATGGACTTGCTCTCAACCCGTATCATCGAGATAGCTTCTATACCCCTATACAAGAGAAGGGTTACATCGACTATCCCTTCAGCACGGAATTTGCCAAAGGCAACGCTTGATCTTTTCCTCGGAAGACTCTAGACACGCCTCGATCGAGGACTTAGAGAAAAGAATAGATATGGTATTGTTCCCTACGGGGAGTATCCCGGACCACTGTCCTCTAGTTTAGCAACAAAAGAATGCTAATATGTGTTTAATATATGTTTAATTGCGGTGCGGATCCTTATGGCACGGGAAGACTTCATAGTGTTGTACCATTCTTGTATTGGGAGAATAGATGAGAGTTCAATTGAAATTCCAATCTCGCAATAAGGCCACCTCATACGTTTTCTTCAGTTGTGAGTGTAGCTGCTCAAAATGTGACAGAAAGACTGCGATCAAGCATCTACCGTCTCCTTCCTATCTATGATTCACCGCCTTGATTGATAAGCAGCAATGCGAGCAGTCACGTGGCTCCGGATAACGATAAGAGGAAAGGATGTATTTCTAATCTTATCGAGCAACCCCGCGGCTTCATCTTCACATCAACAATCATCGCCACCCAGACAGATCTCGTTAAAATGCAGCAGGAGATTCCCATAGCAATAACGCTGGACAACAGCGAAGAGTCTACTCCCACGTGAGTACCTAAGGTCCAATTTGCCTTCCTCATAGTCCTTCCGCTAAGCTCTATTCCCCAGGACACTATGCTACGAGTGCGGTGCGCCTTTAAAGGGAACGACACTCTGCACTGACTGCATCAAAACCTCGGTCGACATCTCGGCGGGCATCCAGCGCGACGCGGTTGTACACTACTGTCGGGACTGCGAGCGATGGCTCTCACCCCCGGCAACCTGGACGGTCGCCGCCCCGGAGTCGCGCGAGCTATTGGCTCTGTGCCTGCGCAAGCTGAAACGCCTCAACAAAGTGCGGGTGATGGACGCCTCATTCATCTGGACGGAGCCGCACTCGCGGCGCATCAAGCTCAAGCTCACGGTGCAGGACTCGCTGGACAACGACGCCCTCGTCCAACAGAGCTTCGAGGTGACGTACGCCGTGCTGTACCTGCAGTGCCCGGACTGCAAGAAGTCGTACACGCACAACCACTGGCGGGCCAGCGTGCAGGTGCGCCAGGCGGTCATGCACAAGCGGACCTTCCTCTACCTCGAGCAGCTGATCCTCAAGCACAAGGCGCACAACGAGACGATTAACATCAAGGAGGCGCGCAACGGCGTCGACTTCTTCTTCGCGCAGCGCAACCACGCCGAGGCCTTCGTCGACTTTCTGCATTCCGTCGTGCCCATCGAGGTCACCAAGTCCCAGACGCTGATCTCGGAGAACATCCACACGTCCAAGAAGTCGTACAAGTTCAGCTACTCGGTCAAGCTCGTGCCGGTATGCAAGGATGACCTCGTCGCATTACCGATCAAGCTCGCGCGACAGATCGGCAACATCGCCCCCTTGGTGCTGTGCCAGCGCGTCGGCACCTCCATCACCTTCCTTGACCCCAACACCCTCCAGACTGCCGACCTGCAGCCCAAGATCTACTGGCGCGCGCCGTTCACGCCGCTCGCGGAGGCGCCCAACCTCGTCGAGTTCATTGTCCTCGACATCGATCTCACCGGTCAAGGCGAGGGCAAGTGGCAACTCGCCGAGGTGACGGTCGCGCGCGCCTCGGACTTTGGCGGGGATCGGCAGTACTTCACGCGATCGCATCTTGGGAGCATCCTGCACCCAGGCGACTCGGTGCTGGGTTACATGATCACAGGGGCCAACTTCAATAGTCCCGAGTTCGAGGCTCTCGAGGAGTCGAAGACCTACGCCTCTCGGATTCCCGACGTGGTGCTGGTAAAGAAGCACTACCCACGGCAGCACAAGAAGAACAAACGCAATTGGAAGCTTAAGCGGATGGCGGTCGGGGAGAGTGAGCTGCTGCCCACCGACCACGAGCAAAGCCGCGTGGAGAACGATCTCGAGATGTTCCTGCGGGATGTGGAGGAGGATGAGGAGCTACGGGCGACCCTCGCGCTGTACAAGAACAAGCCTAAGGATGATGAAGTCAGCGTGGCGGGGACCGAGTGGACCGATGGCGAGGTGCCAAAAGTCAACATGGAGGAGCTGTTAGATGATATGGATGCGTTGGAGATTCATGAATCCTAGGGTACATTGTATTCGGGAAGTTCAAATGATCAAGATGCTACATCCTGGCTGATCGTTTTGGATATTTTCTCGATATGTCAATCTTCATAGACAGAAGAAAGAAGGTATCGGATGATTGAAGTCCCAGGAACAACTGAGCCAAACAATACGTAACCATGCCTTGATTGACCTACTTCTGTGTCAGGGGGGATCATGTCATGCTGTCACATGCTTGGCCCGAGGCCTCGCCGCCCGCCACGCCACGTTGATACATAGTCCCGTCCGTAGAGAGCCTTGGCTAGCGAAATTGATCATTCAACCACATTCCTCACTTTTTGATGGACTTTTTAGGTCTGAACCTCGTCTATACCTCTTGTTTGGCACCCCACATGTCCTGCGACTCCTTTTGTTCAACATTCCATGTGCAAGGTCCAGGTGAATGGGGTGTAATTAGCAATGAATGCATCCAGAGATACTGGTTCCATAGTGATACTTCTTGAAACACGAGTCAATTGAGGTCGGGGGCCGTGCCCTTACACCTGATAATTGGAGGTAAGTTCTCTCCATGGTTCGTTCCCCTGGTAAGGTTCTAGGGAACACAGGCGATCTGCCAAACAAGCTATACGTACAGCATATATAATCTCGGTAAAACGGGTATTAATAGCTATGCAAGTCACTGAGCAGAAGTCACGGGCATGAAATCAGCGAACTCGGCCGGGAGTTCGAAATCCAAGGGAATTGTGATCAACGGGTCCATAAAGGCAGAGTAACTCTCCCTCTCGTTGGGGGTCCATGTTTCAGACAGATCGGACGGAAGGGAATTGGTCGTTGTGTCGGCCCAAACGAGTGTCCCAGGATGAGGAGCGGTGGAGACAGAGTCGCCCGCATGAAAGGTGTGGTTGTGAGGCTGCAAAGCTCGCACCTGGGTAAGCGTAGAGGTGTCCCCGAGTTCACCCGCATTGCCCCCGCGGCTCTCCATGTCAGAGAAAAGCGACTGCGAGAGGGCAATGAATTCCTCAAAGAGACGTTGTATGACCGTGACGTGATGACTACTCGAGATACTGGGCAAAAGAACCGTCGCCACAGTCTTGAGAAGGTTTATATCTCCCAGATTTGACGTCGTCACGGCGTTGCAGAACAGGACGAAACACGCGGTCAAGGGGTAAAAGGTCAATGTCCTGTTTGGATAGAGCGAGATTGGTCAGCGCTGCGGGCAATGTGGCACAGAACGATAAGAGAGGGGGGTCCAAATGACTGACCAATGGAGGAAGCCGATGGCACGGTCTTTCTCGTTGATTAGACATATAGACAATAGTGACGATAGCTCTTGACGAGCAGATTGGAGGAGCAAGTCTCCCGACCCAAAGGCCCGCCCTTGAATTTGGTCAGAGAGATAGAGAATCGTGGTTCGGATGGAGTGGTGCGCGAAGCGAATGGCAGCAATCTCGTTCTCAGCATCAAGGCCCATCCAGCATTGCGCCGAAGACGCAGATATCTTGTGTTGCAGTCAGCTTCAGATCGCATGCCTATGCGTCGGGAATTTAAAACTTGTTGAGGTAACACCGTACCTGCTCAATCTGTTGCTCAATCTCATCCACTCTCTGTAATAACGATTCGACGGAACAGCGCGGAGCAAGTTGCACTGAATGTAAGGCGCTCGACAGGATGTTCTTGAGTAATAATAATGTGTCATCCTGTACTCGGGCCATGGCAATATAGATTGCGAGAAGATCGGCGGTTGTGTCGTGAACATAATCGTCAAGCATCCCGGGCTCGATCTCGAAGAAGGTTCGCGAAGGTTCGAACTTCCACGCGTAATTCTTATCCAGCATATAACACCAAAGAGCGCAGAAGACTTCCTCCTCTGTCCTAGGTTTCCGCTCCGAGTCAGGACTCGCCTTATCGAATCCTAGGTCAGTGGCTATCCGACAAGCAGTCCGAGTCAGTTCATAGCAAAAGTGGGTGTTGCCAGAGCCTTGATGGAGGAAAACCTATTGCATCTCCGTTAGGAATCGACAAAAGCACGATATATCACAGACGTTAGGTAAGAGATATACCCACCCCGCAAAGAAGGGCCTGGAGAAGTGAGAAGGAAGGAGTAATCGTGAGTCGAATGCGCTCTAACGCTGCCTGTGCGGCACGTTTATATTCGACAGCCCGAAGTCGCAGATGGTCGGTGAGCTCGTCATCGTGCTCCCCAATCATGAGAACGGTCATTAGGAATTTGTGAGCGGCGGCGTTGACGCAGACACTGAAGATGTCTTTCTCGTCATTCGAGACATCGTTGGACAACAGCCTTAAACACATACCCTTTAGGGTGGTCTTGGAAACGTGTTTGAAATAATCTGACACGTATGTTCCAAACTTGGTACTGCCGATGTCTTGTTCAACCAAGCAAGACCGTATTAGCCCCAGCGCGCATAGCCGTTTCCTTTCAACCTGGCATTAAGGGCGTTTCTTACCTTGTAGCATCCAAGTCAGAAACTCAAGAGGCACGCCTCGTTCGTCCTGGAGGGGTGGTCTTAGCCCTTGAGGGGCGTGAGTTGCACGAACCAAAGCTGAGCGTAACACTTCCTGCGCTTTGCAGACCAAGCCGTGCTCGAAGTTGCCCATGTGGCTCGGAATCTCAAAGCGAGTCTCGATGGATCGATTTAATGGCACCCACGCAGCCAAGTCACAACCAGCTGGTATTGGCTGATCACTACCTATCGGCTTTGCCTCTAACCTGGGTACAGGTGTGTTGCTTGTTTCAATTCTCCCAGTTGAGGCCTTTGGCTGTTGCTGTAAGCCAGACCGTTCAATGGACATGTCAGTCTCAGTCAACGCGACCTGCTCAAGTCGACTAGGGGCGAGTGCCTGAACGGTGGTTGTTGCTGAAGTCGTCGTCTGAACTTTAGGATTTAGGATTCTTTTCGGCAAACGTCGCCGGATCCGCTGTCTTTGACAAGAAAGACCTTGATCAAGGCAGTTGCTACATGGTAATCCTCGATTGCACCGGACCTGGACAGGAGATCAATGTGAATGTCGGCGCTCTAGACTGCTAAAAAAAAGGTTTGGCATTTTGAACACAATATCAGGGATGGTAATTTACCTTCCGCGCATGACAAGAATCGCACTGCGTAGTTGTCAGCCTAATTACCTTGGCGGGGAAGACTGGCGGGTGGAATTACATACAGCTGGAAAGGGGTAGATCTGTTGACGATTGTAGTCTGTGGCCTGCATGATCTGTCATTGTCCTAGAGCATCAGATTTCCATGCTCCTGTGATGGCTATCTTATACAATGATCTCAGATTGTGAATACCGAAGCGAGAGATGTAAGGCGCAGCAAAAGCCCTGCAGGCGATTTTGATTGCTATTTTGACTGTGGCGAAGACTTGACTTATGCTTGGCGATTAGTAATATTTCACCTGGCATTGCTATGCACCCTCAAGAAAATGGACAAAAATACAGTTTTACCACCAAACCTTAAGGCTTGAAGCCCCACAAAATTGCACGGTAGCGGAACAGTACGCACGCCAATTGGTCTCGTTTCGTCCGCCATAAGGCAATCGCACCTTGCCCTGAAAGAAGATTGTTACAAAGTCCCCCTCCTCGACTGGTGAAAGGCCTGGAAAATGTAGCAATAAAACCGGGGTAGAGGGGACGTTGACAGACAATTGGTCTAGTCCTGCTCGGGAAAGTGTACAGTGCCTTGTAGTTCATTGAACGTCAAGCGCCCCCAAGACCACTTTCAACCACGAACTACTAGGTAAAAATAAAGAGCACAGGGCCATCTTCCAAGGCTTGAAAATGAGAATATCCAACGTCACTTTGCTCGCAGTGACGCCAGAAGCCAGGTCAACTATCCGCGCTGGCTCGCATGGCACAGTAAGTACAGCATGAAATAAAAGTGAGTGTTGTATCTAGCCACCCTCGTCGGGGCCCGCGGGGCCGAGCTGAGCCTCACTTATCAGAATTGATACATATACAGTTGCAGGGCAAGGTCTAGCCTGTTGTGAGGCGCGATTGTGTTTATGGAAGTGATCAGACATCTTGGGTGCCATAGTTCAAAATAGGCCTTGGCATTCAGATTAGGCACGCTGGTGATGCACTCCGAACTCCCTTCGTTTCGTTCCTTCCTGCGTAGATCAAATGATGAGTCGGCCACTTGGAAATATTATTCCAGGGACCGTGACGTCCCGTTGAGTAGTAAGTATGAGTGTCTCACAGCAGCTCAGCCAGGTCATACTCGCTCATCAAATCTGAACTCCAGTAATCAACTATTGAAGCCACCAACATCGAAATTATAGCCCTCTCACTGAAGCCTTCTTTTTCCAGAAATATACAGGATCGCGACCGAAGAGAATACATCCATTGTCTGCCCAGTGGGCAGGAAGCGGAGGCTTTTCTGTTGAGGTGATTGGTTAGGAAAGCCCCATACTTATCCCGAACCAATGGGAGTTCCCGGTTAGCCTAGCCCACCGTAGCGCGCGCCCCGCTCTTATACCGAACCCCCCCCGGCTTGGAAACCCCTGGGGCTGACTCGGGATTGTATGTAAATCTTGTCCCATCCTGTAACTCTCAGCCAGACAAAGGTTCATCTGACTGAAAACAAATACATGAAACGTGAGAACCCAAATGGCCAGAAATCTTCATCTTGAGACTACGCCAGTAGCCCCGAACAAAAATAGCCGCAGTATTGCGCTCCAAAACATGACAGAGGCCAAGAAAATGCGCCCGCAAAGCCTGCAGTCATATTCAATGACAAAATATTTCTGGCACTGTCGAATAAATTTCCGAGGATCCTTGGTCAGGGACTTGAGAATTCGACGATAATCGGCCACGATCTCATCTTATTGAATGTTCTGACCTTCCATGTCTTTTATGATGAGTTACTTTGTTCCTACCTCGCGTATGGACTTGCAAATCGAACTAGACAAACGTGAGTCGACATATTCAAGCAACGATTGCGTGACGGGGCACGTGATCCTCAATCTAGACTCCCCAGTCGACATATCGCAGATCACCGTTACCCTGCTGGGACGGTCTATTTCCAGAATGGAACGCTTAAGCCACACAGAATGCCACCAGGTATGTTTTTTAAACTACCTGTGGCGCCCGGTAATATGCAGGCTGACCTTATCCAAGCTTATTCAGGAGACACTGCAGATATTCCCCCCATGCGGGCAACTGGATCAGAATACCTCGAGATTCCGGACCTTAGGCCCTAAGCAGTACACATTTCCATTTTCCCTCGCGGTACGTATCCAACCCTTTAGATGACCAGTGTAGTACCGTTAGTGACCAAACTTTCCACTGCCAGTTTCCTACGGTATCAGGATGCTACAAAGCACACTCGACCAAGTGCCTGGAGAAACAGTCCCAAACAGAGCCTGCGCCACCCGTCCGGGGCCAGGAGATGCCCCATTTGCTCCGACGGCTTCCTCCCTCCACGGGCGATCGTTCCGGCCCGGCCGAGATTGCATACGCCGTCGAAGCCAATGTCAACATTGGCGGATTCCTGAAGCAGTCCATCAAGCAGGTTGCGTGACATGCACACCTTCAAACATGCCCCTCTTGCTGACTTAACAAAGCAGTCCCGCAGAATATTCTTCCGCCCCACATCCAGCCTCCCGCCACCCCGGCAGTCTCTCTCGCGGCACCGCGCCGTCATCATCCGGTGCCATCAGAGCACCAACGAAGCCACCGCACACGAGGTCACAGCGGCGATAGCCACAACGTACCACGTCAGCATCGAACTCATGTGCGGCGCCTATCTCCACCTCGGCCAGCGACTTCCCATCAGAGTGCAAGTCACCAAGGTCAATTCTGCCGATCACGACCTCATCCTAAACGATTTCCAAGCGATGATCGTCGAGGAAACAGAGGTGCGGGCCGCGAGCCAGGTACGAGTCCAGCGTCTCTCGCGTATCCTCCGCACCGTTAGCAATCTGCGCATGTTTGTCTGTCTTGCCGAAACGTCCGTCGGGACGACGGTGAATATACCGGATGATTACTGGGGTGGGCAGCTCCTCCCGACAGCGATCACGCCGACGTTCGAGACGTGTAATGTGCGGCGCAGTTACAAGCTTGAGGTGCGGCTGGGGTTCAACAGCCGGCCGTCCAAGGTATGTGACCACGAAAACTCTTCCCTTGCAGAAGGGTACCCCGCACGAAAGCATCGGAGTCCGTTCTCTGACTGCTTCATTTTAACGCAGGTCCAGACGAGGATCCTCGAAGTTCATTTCCCGGTTCATATCGTGGCGACAGAGCCTGCGCCCATTTCAAGCTCGATTCTCCGGTTCTCCGAGAAGCAGCAGGACAACGCGGAGGATACTATCCAATGGCAGGGTATGACCCAATGATCTAGATAAGAGATTAATATAATTTCCGACTGGAACACGCATTGCTGAAAAGAAGCGGCCTTCCAAGTATAACATAACTTCCCGTGACAAACCTATCTGGATAGTAGAATGGTTGGCTATAAGTTGGGGTCGCTCAAGGTAGCTCAAGTAGTGTATTGGATGTCTCATTGAGTAGGCTGTTGGTAGCAACTTGGTTTTGCTTGTGATTAAACAAATGGTTACGTCACCAAGTACCAGTACTTCAAGGTAGTTAGACGCCGTGCTTTTGTATCTGGAAGCATTCTTACGGCTATGGACCACCGACTCCCCGACAATCGAAGGCATTTGGACATTGCAACCTGCGGGTTTCTATGAATTTAACATACTCCACCCCCCTTTTGAGTCTCCCTGTCCGCAATCAAACCCTAACACAGAATAGCCATCACCACAATGCCCACTAATCCCACCGCAAACTTTGTGGTAAAGGTGACAGCACCCGCCCCTCCCGTTGCCGACGCCGTCGCAGCAGTCCCTGACTTTGTGGACGAGGATTTCTTGTCCTCAGTGGTCTTGGAGGTCGATACCGCTTTTGTTGGCGTGGGGAAGGAAGTGGCAGTGGCCGTGGAATTGACATCGCCAGTGCACCAGACATCCGCCCAGGCGACTCCGCCCTTGTACAGACAGTCGGTCAGGTCTTGCACGGATTGCCCCACGGCGAGAGCGTAGAGTGCACAGTCGTCATCGTAGGGCCGCACCCCGGCGGGCAGCGCGCACGAGTCGAAGACGGTCGAGTAATTGGCTTGGTTGGGCACACCGCAGGCGGCGTCGTGGACCGGGAGTTCGTATTGATAGGAGGTTCCGCAGGCTGTGGAGGTGGCGGCTGCGCCGGTTGCTGTGGCGGTGACCATGGTTGGCGTGATATGTGGTTTGAAGGGAAGAGGAATAGATATCAGGATGCAAAATATTGGGGGACCGAGGGTACGAGATAAATCTCAATAGAACCACTTTGTGGATGAGCCTTAGCCCTGAGTGTATATATTGGGTCTGTCTTCTTTGCCAAGATGTCTTCAGGGTTATATGACGGGCGCGTCAGCCGGGCTTTCGGCCGCCTATTTTTAGCCGGGGTAAGCCCTCTGAAGATACGACATTCCTAGACCCGCTGTAAAAGAGAGTGTGAGCTGCACAGCCCTGTCACTGATATAGGGGGCTACTACCATGTAGCACCCCGCTAACATGCGATGACGGGGCCCTCGGATTCCGGTTATGAGTGGACCGAAGACTTGCCACGTGAATGTAACGGGGAAATCGGATCAGCTCAATTCTTATCTGCTAGGCATGAATTATTGACCTTGATGACTAGCAATTATCTATCTCCCTTGATCCTAACCTCTTCCCCTGCTTGTTATCCATATGCATCAATTTCCACTCCTTCAAATTGTCTATAACTTTCGATTTACCATATCGCCTCAATGTTTTCCCATAGCATTGACTTGAAATTTCCTTGCTGATGTATTCTTGTCTTGTTTTTCCCGTCACCGGTCTCTTACACATTGTAATGGATATTGAAGAAAGAACATACGCAAGGAATCCAAGTATCTCTCACCATGGTTTGGAAGGCAGAAGAAGCGATGCAAGGAGAGGTAGTCCACATGCTTGTAACTCTATACGCCTAAGATCTAACACCAGCACTGATAATCAAGCCACGGATGGATAACGGAACGGTAAATCCATCCCAATGCCAATGGTCGTATCACAAAACCTAGAAAGACAGGGCATCTTTCCATCTCCAAGTTCCACCCATCGTGTGCTCAGCGAGAGGACTGCTGCTCCGCTGGTGCGGTCGGCGAGCGAAGTACCTCTGTATCTTCCTCGGCAGGACGGCGGGACAAGATAAAGGATCGCGAGGTCAGGAGTCGGTTGTGGGTATGGCGCTGTCTGCGGCTGTGTCCCTGAGAACTGTAGGGATAGCTTTGAAGCCGTTGTTTCTTGGACCCGAGATGATGAACGAAGACCGGTCGCATTGGCGGGATGCAGCCGCAGACGATGATCACGAATAGCTCGGACGCGGACCAGATACTGGAGTCGAGAGAGGACCCTACTCCAATGCAGGGCGCCAGTCAGCCCTTCTCTCGCCGTGCAATTTATAGTAAAGTCAGACGAGGGATCCAAAGTTCATACAGGTCAGATCCTCACGGGAGCGTAATCTGACGACGTAGGTGATCTTGACTATGCCACACGCCGCGGCTCTGTTGATGAAAAAACCCAACCAGTCAGTGGAAAGAGAAAAGAATATGAGAAAAAAATCTTGACAATCATTTCATGCTTTCTCTGCCAGTGGAACTCACAGTGGCCCAAGTCCCAACAGCGCACACGCGGCCACTCGCTGCTTCACGGACAGGCTTGTGTGCCAGATAACAGGAACGGGTATGGCGGCGAGGACTAAATCGATAAAGATATTCCACACTACACTTGCATAAATCAGCGTGATACGATCCTTCAGCCCGACTCGATACATCGTCCATTTGGACGAACCTGAGAAGAACAGCGAGAAACCGGTTTGCACGCTGGTGTCCCAGCATTTGTGCGGAACCCATGGTTCCCACATAGCACGTGGTGGAGTGCACTGCACGAAACCGAAAATATAATCAATTCCACAGACGGTACATGTTAGGCATATGATGAACCAGAGTAGCCACCTCGTTTGGCGGTTGTTTGGGTCGAGGATGCGCCGGATCTGCAGCGCGACCGACGTCTTGCTGGTCGCAAACCCCAGAACCCCGAATGTTTGAGCAATCCACTCATACTTGACCACATGGAGTTGTTGCGCCGTGGTCAAGTAGTACATATGGCGGGCAGCTCCGATGGAAGCCAAGTACTGGGCAAAGGCGACCATGATGATGAAAAAAATCTAGGGATATAGTGAGCGATGGCAATGATGGTAAAAGTGAATCTGCGTAGCCTACCCACCACTGTGAATGCCATGAGGTGATCATCAGCGCCAAAGCTCTTGACCAAGCGTCGACCATAAAGTCGAAGCGCGAGGGCTGCAACTGCCACGGCAGCTTCAGTCCAAAGAACCGCCATGATAGCCGGACCTCGATCTCGATCACCGCTAGCGGGCGGTTCGGTGGTGGCCATGCCAGTGCACTACTACTGAAAGACCATGAAGATTGAGAGATAATGAGAGTGAGATTCAGCAGGAGAGGGTGAGTACAGTCATATAATGGACAGAGCCGAGTCCATGTAGCATAGCGAACCTTGGGCTCAATGTTTGCCTCGGGGACTGATCGCTTGATCGTGGCCGCCGGCCCGTGGTTAGGGCTGCGACAGACGCATGTCAGATTTTAGCTTCGGCTTCTTGATAGACATCCACCCTCAAGCAAGCCCCAAAACAAGGAATGTACAGAACCCCTGATGATTCATCTGGAAGCCTGTTTGCAGATTAAACAGTATTTTGTCAGTCTTATTTATGGTTTCTTGGTGGCAGACGGAAAACATCTTCAGCGGTCGTCAAATAGAAACTTTGCAATACATGGAAGATATATTTACGTACATGTCACAACTGCGGATTTCGAAATCCCGATGAGTTCAGTTTCAGGAAGATTCTTCTCCTGAATGCACCGTACCCAATCAATTAAGCAAGGGATGCCAGTATTCCAAATCATGGTAGTTCGACAAATTGGCTAGGCAAGGGCTTTGGCCAGTTGTCGGTCGACTTACCCCTCACGGATCGTCGTCTCCTGCATTCTTGGTGGCTGTGACTTCTTGGCAAACAGGACGACGTTCAATGCCTCGAGTGACCCAAGGAAAAACTGTTCGGGGCACATTGACATCAGCAAAGTACCAGAGAACTAGTTGACCTGCCAGCCACGACGGGCTTACACAAATTTTGGTCTTTGCAGTATTTGGCATGCACGAGCCGTTCCGCGAAGGTTAGATCCACAAAGGCTCAAGTAGCAATTTATGTTTGAACTAGATTCCATTACCATTGATCGACGTATGATTACAGGAAAACGGCATCAAGGCGACTGCATGGTAAGTGATCCAAGCTGATCCGAATATACACGCCCTCTTGGGGCCTCTGAGCATCAATTCTGCTATAAATTGTCCTATCTACCACAGAAGAATCGGCTTGATTGTCCTTCCACTCTTCATATTGCGGACCGCCTCATCAAAATTCTCCGCTGGATAAAATCCAACAATCTTGTGCATGGGTAACAGACCCGACTTCACCCACTCGATCATCTTCGGTACGAACTCCCGGTGCACCACATCTCCCTCCACGACACCCATGAACACCTTTCCTGCCACCATAAACTCATGAATGGGGAGATTGAGCGTCGCCGTCTCAGGCGTCGCCCCCAGCTGCACGATCTTGCCCTTGTTAGCCGTCATGCGCACCGCCTCGGCCACAAGCTCCGGCACCCCGGTAGTCTCCAGGGTGACATCGACTCCCGTGCCACCGGTGAGCGCACGAACCGCCTGTGTGACGAGGCTGAGATCCGCATCGGGGTCGATCCGAACCACATGCGTTGCTCCCAGCTCGAGGGCCAGCTTGAGGCGGGCCCCGTTGCGTGCGATCCCGATGATCGTCTGACACCCCGCGATGCGCGCGCCCATCACGGCGCTCAAGCCCACCCCTCCCAGCCCAAGCACCGCTATCGTATCCTCTCGCCGTGCGCCCGCCGCATTGAGAACCGCTCCTGTTCCGGTCTGGATCCCGCAACCCAATGGGGCCAGCAGCTGCAGCTCTTCCTTCTTCTCGACCATGCCCGCCACATTGATCACCGCGGACTCCTGCACGATCGTCCAGCTGGCGAAACTCGATTGTCCGAAGAATCGGCCGAAGATTTCTGGTTCGCTGGTGTGTGGTGTTGCTGCTTCTTCCTCCCAGAACACGCGGTCCGTGGACGTTGACTCGAAGTTTATGGGGTCGAAATTCTGGCAATGGGCCGGGTGGCCGCGGCGACAGCAGCGGCACGTCTGGCAGGAGGAGAAGGACATGAGGACTGGGTCGCCGACGCGCGCGGTGGAGACCCCGGGTCCTACCTGTCGAACGTATCCCGCTCCTATCAGGGAAGACAGTCTGTCAGGATCGTGGTTTAAATATGCCTTGAAGAGCGGCAACGGTAGGGGAATGACGGCGAATACCTTCGTGACCCATCACCCGCGGATAATGCACGCCATGGCCACTTTCCAACCCGGCGAAATGCAGGTCAGTCTGACAGATGCCCGAGGCAATGATCTCGATCAGTAGCTCGTGGTCGCGGATGGGTCGCAGAGCAACGTTGCGGAGCTTCCAGCCTCCATCGTTGTACGGACCATAAGACACCAGCGCTCGCCCGGTGGTGCGTTGGATGTCAGCCATGGTAGATATTTGTTATACAGCTTACGCAGGTTCTCACATGGTCTTAACAAGTATATGCTCGTCTCAGCCCATTGCCGAGTGAACATCCCGAGAACCATAGCGCAGATCATATAGTCTCAGGGGGTGGTCGGCATGCCGACATCGAGACCGCGGCGTTTGAATACATCCGGATTTCCGAACGCTGAGGTGGGAACAGGCCAAAGAATGATTAGTAATGTGGATTCCTGTCGCGGGTTTATTGGGACACGGATATAGAGAATTTCTCTCGGGTTAATCAGTTGCGCCCGAGACCCACTCCGCCGAGCCCTGGCGGAAAGTCCGGCATTTGAAAGATCCTTCAAATGTGAGTCTTGATTAGCTTTGTGATGAGTATGATATAGTCGTGTGTCAACCATCATAGCCATCCCCCGTCTTCTCTATAGGAAGCATCTGGCCGTCGGTATGCGCTGCTACTGCATGCTACGGCCGGCATGCCGCGAGGTTTTGCCCATTACACGCGCACTGTGATAACTTCTGACAAGTCATCTTTGCAGTCACCTTCTCAATCAGTTCCAGATAGCTCACAAGACACAGACATACACGTGACAGGCGAAGCGGAGGGCAAAGGTACGGGTCGATGAGCCTGAGGCATCATATCTCGGGGCTAAGTTTTTCAAAGCACGTGCTGGCTCTCTTCTCGGCGCCCCAGGCACCAAGGCCCTTTATCAATGGGTTCTCGAATGTTGACTATACACTTTTTTAAGACGCAGAACGTCCGGCTTACAGCAGGTCACCTTAGACGTACTGGAAAGCGGTATCCCCGGCTTGTTGCTTTCGTTCCTTTTTCTCTTCCTTTATGTGTTCTTTTTGTGGGATGGGAAGAATGCCATTTGGGCTTCCCCAATGCAAAGAGCAGCGAGAACCTTCTTTCTACGCTTCATATACATCGTCCAGACGTTCTACCACCCCGGCGGGGCCTCTAATCCTCCACCTCCAACGGCTGCCCAATCTTCCCCAGCAACCCCACCAACGCCTGCTGATCTTCTTCCACGCAATCCACTCCATCACCTTCATAGGATGGCTCCTCGTCATCGCTATCATAGATCGTGGTATGCATATACGGCGTCGGCCCGAACCCGTCGCAGAAGACCATGTAGCTGTCGTCATGCATCCCAACCGTAATCCCCGTCTCGCGCTCCAGAGGCGTCATGTTATCCTCCCACCACAGTTCCGAGCGCCCGTAGCGGAAATGGCGCAGGTGCGGGAGCCCCGCCTGAAAGGCCCGGAAGTAGTGGTGCCAGCGCTTGTCGTACGTCGCGAAGTGTTTCTCGCGCAGCCCGGGTTTGTGGGTGTATCGGCCAGAGTCCAGCAAGGCCCGGTCTTTGTTGTAGACGGAGACCTCGAAGAGGATGGGGGTGTTTTCGAGGTAGAGCTCGGTTAGGGTCTTGCCGTGCGAGAGGATCCATTGGAGCTGGGAGTCGTGGACAAAGGCGTACTTGCCCAGGGCCAGGGTCTTCAGGCGCGGGAGGTGGACCCCGCGTAGATCCAGCTTGGGGTAGAAGCCGAAGTAGTTGCTGGAGTAGATGGTGAGGTGTTCGAGGGTCGCGGCCGCCGGGGTCAGCCAGAAGGAGGGAAGTTCGGGGAAGAATTTGTGCGGTTCGTCTTGCTAGAACTTGGTCAGGAGACTGGGAGATGCGAAAAGCCAAGGAGGATGAAGAATGAAGAGCGTCCCACCTCAAGATCGTTTTCGCCGTTGCCTTCGTCGTGTTCATTCGCGATATTCAGCCGCAATGCGCGTAGACTGCCCAAGATCTGGGTGAGATTCAGGACCACCGTGAGGTCCGTCGGGTTGATGTTCTGGAAGTTGCACAGGGACAGCTCTTTGACAGGCTCGTCGAGGGACGTCACCGCCGAGATAAACTCAGTCATTACACAGGAGCGGAACTCGGCACTCTGAAAGGAGTCATCCCAGGTATCTTCGACATAACAGCCCGGATGAAAGCGAAGCACGATGCTTCGTAGACAGGGGAGTTCCTTCAAGCGCGGGACGAGCTTCATAAATCTGCGCAACTGGAGGATCTCCTTATCGCGGTTGCTTTGATTGACATAGCGTGCTTGTGTGAAATACTGTGTCGATGAGTACAGGGCTCAGTGTGCATGAGAGAGGAGGGGAATTTACGCCGGCCCAAGCGCTGACATCCAGATATAACCTATGCACCAGTCGTGCCCGAGTCCTGTCTTCGAGGATATCCTGAAATCTTTCTCGACTCTCTTTCCGGGGGTACACAGTCACCACCTTCAGCAGCTCCCTTTGACTGATTGCACTGAGGCGGCGATTGGTGAGGGCAAGTTCGCAAAGCGAGGATAGATCCATGAAATAAAGCACGCGGTGGATAATCTCCAGCGGGAGACACGCGAGGTTGGTGCTGGTCATTGTGAGCTTGTTGATGTTTGTGTGTATGTGATGCCCTGTGGGGTGTGGAGGCTCTGCATATATTTATGGTTGTTGGTGGCCCTAGGCAGCAAGTCCCGCCGCTGCCTGGTTGTGGTCTTGGCATCCGCCCGATCGTTGAATTCCCTGATCCACACTAGCTTCTTCAAAAGTTTCCACTCGGACTTTGTGTCTTGCAAATGAGTCAACCTGCCTTTGCATCATTCACAAACCTGGAGATCAAACCTTGGCATCGCCGGCCCAGATTGTAGACCAACTCAACTGGCCCGATCGAGCTCAGCATCAGACAACCAATTATCACATCACCATCTCAGGATATTCGAGGTCCAAGTCAAGAATTCTGGTTCGTCCATGACAGAGCAAACAACTACTTTAATTAAATCAATTATTCGAAAAACCCGAAATACGAAGTACATCCTTCAGTCATACATAATAAGGTCAGAAATCGACCAGAACAGCTCCGATCAAACTTTTGCGCGCCAAATCCCGCATCGAGTGAGGTTCCACTCCCGCGCGCAGACAAGCGTCATCTAGGGCTTGTCGTAGCACGTGTCGCAACCGCGTCTGCGTTAGATCGAGATCAAGCATGTTGTCCAGAGCGACGCATAGCACCCGGACCAGGGCATCCATCAAAGGAGGAGTCAGAAGATCCGTGTCATATCCGAGCCGCAGCGACACCCCCTGCTCATCGGCCGTGAAACGCCACTCGAACAGGAGAGCAAAGATCGCGCCATCGGGCGAGACTGGGTGAGGCACCAATCCATCGATGTCCGGGAGCTGCTGGCCATCCTCAACACTGCGCTCCTCTCGAAACGTGACGGCGCAGTCAAAAACGGCTGAGTGAGTGGAGGGAAATGGGAGTCCCAACAGCGCTAGCAACGCATGCCACGGGACTGCATGCGCTACGGCGGACTGCGCTGTCGTTCCCACAGCCCGCAGTAGATTTTCAACTGTCTGCGTTGATTCTGAGGAATCTGCCACCCTGAAGCGAAGAGGCAGCGGCTCCAGGTGGAGTCCGGTCGTGTCTGCGCCTGCGTCATTGGAACGGTTGATGTATGGGCATCCGAGTACGACGTCTCGGGTATTGGCCAGTGTCTGCAAAGTGATCGCTACAACAGCTAGGGCAAAATGTCGCAGCGATACATGGCAATCCGCACAGGTCTCCCGGAGACGTTTTGCTGAGGATGCGGGGATTATGGATTGCACGGAGGCTCCACGGTAAGAACGGGCTCGCTGCGCCGCTAGAGAACGTGGAACCTCAAGGCCCGTTAGATGGGCACACCAGAAGGCTTCTAACTCTTTCGGCAGTGGCACCGGGAAGGACCAGGGTTCCTCGTCGAAGTATTCACGCTTCACAGCAGGTACTCGTTTACCGTGATACAAGTTCCCAATCTCCTGCAGGAGATGTGTCAGGGTGTCATTGTCACAGAGTAGATGAGAGAAATTGAGAAGCAATGTATCTTTGGTCATGGCAGCTCGGACCAAGCCTTGTCCAAGTTGGAACGGCTCACTGATCCATTCCCCTACATCGATGGTCGTCTCATATGCCACCTCGATGCGCTGGTCCGAGATGGTGCGCATGTTCCCGTTACGAGTCCTCTTGATGCGAGTCCGCAAGATGCGGTGTCGATTTAGTGTCTCCTCCACGCTCGAGGCGAGCCTGTGGAGATCAACACGTGGCGAAAGGCTGGCATAGAATGGAACATTAAACGCGCTTTGACATTTAGAGGTGGTGTAGTAGTGCACCCACAATGTTTCCGGAGGAGACAACTCGGTGATTCCTAGGCGCCTGGTGCTCTTCCCTTGGGCCCCCTCTGGGCTGAGTGAAGCCTTGGGCAGGGCATCGATCAAGGCCGCAAGATCCCGCAGGACAGACCGCAACACGACATCCCGCACCGTCACCCGAATCTGAAAGGTGTCGTTCAGCTCGCGTGCCAGTTTGAGCATTGAGATTGAGTCTCCGCCGAGTTTAAAAAAATCATCTTCTCCGTTTAAATTAGCGGAGGGCTCGAGGCTTAAAATGCGTTTCCAGGCTTCAGCTATAGCTCTTGCCGTTCCATTGAGTGGGTGGATTCGCATGTCCGGTTTCGACCCGGAGTCTCTCCTGGGGTTGACCTTCTTCAGTGCTTGTAGATCCATCTTCCCATTTTTCGTCATCGGCATTTTATCCAGTATCTGTATCTGAGAGGGCTGATAATGAGGCGGTAGGGCGGTGCGCAAGGCTTCACGAATACCAGCCTCATCCACCCTCTCCGGGCACACAACGAGCACGATGGTACCATCTTCACGCAGAACCGCCACGGCTTTGCGGACTGTGGGCACCAGGCGGTAGACTGCATGCGCGATATCGTCGAGGTTCACTCGATATCCGCGGACCTTCACCTGGCGGTCTTTGCGGCTGCAGTACCAAAGATTGCCCTCGTGGTCAAAGTGGCCCAAATCTCCGGTGCGATACATTCTTTCGTGTCCATCAACAAAAGGGTCTTGCTGGAATTCGTTCTGTTTTGGCGATGTCGTATTGATGTATCCATCACTCACCTGCACACCCGCAATGTTGATGTGTCCGACCGTATTTGGTGGAACAAGATCCCCGTCATCGTTCAATACATACAGCCGGGAGGACGGGACTGGACTAGCCAAGCATATTGGCAAATCGGGGGCTAGTCGGCCTAGGGTATTCATAACCGTAGCCTAGCAGATGACATGCTCAGTAAAGATAGCAGTGGCAGAAGAAGGAAGGTGTCTACCTCGGTGGAGCCGTAAGCATTGTACAGCTGCCGCTCTGGGGACCACCAGCGGGCGACAATGGGCTCTGTGGCCGGTTCGCCAGCAAAATAGACCTACCAACCATGTGGTGTCAGCAATGCCATATAGAGAACCAGGAGAGGAGAACAGATTTTCCACTCACAAATTTGATGTTAGGAAAGTGCCAGGGAACCATTTCGGCGGCAACGGATGGGGTAAGAATGGTGGCGTCCACCTGGCCCAGGTGTGACAACATATCATCGTCCTTTGCTCGTAGCACCAAAGTGGCTCCATAACACAAAGTACCAAAGACCTCGAATACGCAACCTCCAAAGCCAGGAGAGAGAAATTGGGCGATCCGACGTCCCGGTCGGCTGAAGATTCGATATTCCTCGCGGGATTGAAGGGCTACTAATCCCCGATGAAGACACTTTACACCTGTTTGAAGGGAGAACATTAGACAAAAAGCGAGCGTTTGGGGAAATTCCTCGAGGAAACACACCTTTGGGAACCCCAGTCGACCCAGAGGTAAAACAGACGTATGCCACATCACTTGGTTTTTGTGTCGGCCACGATCTCATAATGCGGATTTTGGCGGTCTGTAGAATATCCTCAGTTGCAACAGCTGTCACGCCTTGGAATCGCCCTCGTCTTCGTTGCTCTGATGATGGAAATAACACTAGAGGGGCACGGCTTTGCTTTACCAGTGATACCTGGTAGTCGATAGGAAATGAAGCATCAATTGGGCAATAGGCCGTGTTAGCCAGCACCGCAGCCCAAACTCCAATAATCCAGTTGATGGATCGATCAGCGATCACAGCAACGACATCTCCCGGGCGCGCATGCGAGAGGACGGCAAAAGCCACGCGCTGAGCCGAGTCCAGTAGTTGGCGATAAGTTATGGAAATTGTGTCCTTTGTTACAGCGATGAGGTCGGGATGCTGACTCACTGTCTTCCGGAAAATGCTGCCGAGGGTCGGCCCAGTGTTGGTCACTCGTGATTTTGGTCGATCGGTATTACCCAGCTGCAGGAGAGTGTGATGCATGGGCGGCGGGAGGCTGTGGTGAAGGCAATGCCCTACAGTAAGACGGTCATCGGTGCTGGTAAGAAGGTGGACGATGTTTTGAAAGATGGCCGCCACGTCCTGTATTATTGGAGCTGTGAACCGATCACTACGATACACAAGGCGCATCTCGCCTGCTCTTTGCACCTCCATGACAAGGGGAAGGCTGGTAGATTCTCTCATGCGTGGTTCACGCAATGGGGGCAGGATCACTGATGGCCTGCGCATGTCGGTGTCCTGCACCACGAGCATGGTGGTAATTGGCGGGGTGCCCACGGGGCTCTCACAAAGCTGAAATCGCGCGTAGTCACGAATGTCCTTATGAACGCGCTGGACGAAGTCAGACACGGCCATTTGTCTTTTGATTGCGCAATTGTAGGGTAGCTGATTGATTAAAGGGCCGATCACAGACGGGGCCCAGGTGAAAGGCAAGTCCCGGCCCGAGAGCACCATCCCAAACATCACCTGGCTGGAATTAGAATACAGTGAAACCAGCAAGGCCCAAGCGGCGTGTACAATCGAGGCCGAGGTTACGTCCAATCGTTTTGCGCTCTGGTTCAGTTGCACTCGGTCCACAGGTTCCGGGTGCACATACTCGATATTCACCGGGCCACGGCTCTCCTGGGACACTGTATCAGGAATATTGAATTCGCCTTTGGACTCTAACAGCTCGTTTTGACGATCTTCCCAGAACCTCGATGCCTCATTCTTTATCCGTTCTCGGAGCTGGTGCAGATCTTTTCCTGTTTGCGCAAAAGGAATAGAGGGTTTGATTTCGTGTCCTTGAAGTGCCAGGTCCAGCTTCTTCAACAATAGGAGACTTGAGAACCCATCCAACAGAGCACGATGAGTGGTCCACACTACCATGCTTTCACCGCGTGGCAGCTCGATCCCTTCGTGGTGTAGTACCAAAACGGACATACCTAGAGCAGTTCGTCTGATGATGCCATCCTGAAGATTCTTGACTTGCTGTGAGGTGCGAACTGCCTGTTCCTCCCAGTGAAATTGGCTCTCCGTTACCACCTGTTGAATAATATCGGATTCACCTTCTGTGAAGACCGTCCGGAAAATTGGCTCTGCGCGCGTCACAGTCACCCATGCTTTCTTGATGCGACTGATATCCTGGGTGCGATAGTAGGAAATGTGTTGTGCATAATTCACTCGGGGGTCAACCTTTGTCTCCAACACCATCTTGTGCTGTAGAGGGCTAAGGGTTGAATGTGTCACGAGACCTGTCTGCTCGCTGGAGGGCCTGCTGTTGGGCGCGGACGATGATGCTTTACATCGGGCAATCACCTCCTTGAGTGACGGCGCCTCCAAAATATCAGCTACTGAGACTGCATAACCAGCCTGCCCGCAGAAGGAGGATAGGTTGACTGCAGCGAGCGAACTGACTCCCATTGACACACACGATGCACTCAAGTCAATCTCAGTCGAAGGAACCTTCATCTCATCCTGGAACCAGTCCAAGACAGTTTGCTTTGGCGTCTGGTTCAATTGGGAGAATGAAATCTTTGATCTCTGGGCTTCTTGGGGCTTTGGAATTCTCTTGTCCATAATGGATGAGAGTTGATGCGGATCCACTTTGCCATTGGAACTCAAGGGCAGCTTGGGCAGCCGAATGAAGTGGTCGGGAACGGCGTAGGGCAGGGCCGCTGACTTCCAGTTGGTCAGGACCTCTCCAGCATCCACCTGCGGGCTGACGATGGCTGTACAGAGCATTCCATTAACCTTCAGTGAATAAGCCGCTTGCACCGAGGGGCACGATCTGATGATCCCCTGGTCGATGTCTTGATCTAAGTTGACTAAGAACCCCCGGTTTTTGATCAGGCGATCTTCACGCCCATGGAACTGCAGAATACGAGTGCCATCCATGTTCTCTACCCACTCTGCTATGTCCCCTGTGCGGTATGTTGTATGGCCACCGAGATGAATGAACTTTTCGCTGGTTTGAATCTCGTCGTCGAGGTAGCCGGCCGAGAGACAGGGTCCTGCAATCCCGATCTCCCCTGGCGTCTTGAGCTCAGTAATGAGGCTATCATCTGTTGGGTTTAAGAGCATAATCGTGGATCCTGGAGTCGGATGTCCGAGTCGCGTGGGCGAGAACCGTCCCGTTTGCGGGTCACGCTGTAATCTCTGAGTCAAGACGGCGCAGGTGGCCTCTGTCGGCCCATAGGCAATCCAGATCGGTACTTGTATGCTATCCCATAGGTCAAGCAGATGTTCTGAGGCAGTCTCACCCCCCAAGACAATGCGCCTTAATCTCGAATACTTCGCGGGGATAGGGGGCCCGAGCGCCGCCAGGATCGAAGGGGTAGCAATGATGATGCTGCTTTCTCCTGCGCGCTCTGCCAGAGAATCCGAGTCGGCCAGGACTAACGTACCCCCATTGCACAGTGTGTTGAACATGGTCCCCATGCACGCTGTGAGATTCACCGTCAGCATGATAAGCCGAGATGATCGAAATTGGTCGATGGAAAATCGCAAGATACGTACCATCAAAGCCAACGGATAAGACCAGCAAGACCCGATCAGCCGGCGTAACATCGTAGTTAAACCCTGGAGAAGTCACAAAGCGCGCTACTGAGCTGCTTCTGACCCGGACACCTTTGGGTTTATTCGTTGTCCCAGAAGTGAATATGATAGCGAGAACATCGTCGATGCGGTTGGCTACCTGGTCTTTATAATCAGGAGAGACCGAAGCCATCGGTAGGCGAATTGCTCTTGCCTGACCGGCGGAGAACTCAGTTCCCGTATATAGCACGATCTTGGCTTGGCTTTTGATTATCACATACTCTATGCGGTGACGGGGACATCGTTCTCGGTCGATAGGAACATACACAGCGCCCGCTTTCATAATGCCAAGGACCCCTACCACCATCTGTATGCAGGTGGTAGTAACGATAGGCACTATGTGACCTGGCCTCACTCCGTTAGCCTTCAAGGACGCTGCCAGGTCGGTGGATTCTTTGTCCAGTTGTCGGTATGTCCTCGAGCCCTTGCGCCCATCGTATACCGCGATATGGTCGGGCCAGCAAATCACTGGCCCAGCGAAAAGACCTAAAACAGTGTCGTGCTCGGCAAGCACCATGGCAACAGAGTTTTATGAGTCTCTTTGCTTTGATTCTTGAATCTTCAATCATGCATTTATATATTATTTCGTGATTTGCCCAGACGATGCAGAGATCGGCAGAGGAGCGTAGGCCAAGATGCAGTGTCGATTCCTGGCATGGTCAAAAGACGTCAAGAACAGGCATTCGAGAACGAGCCCACCCACCGGGGTCCAGCGCCATAGTCAGGTCACCGATCCATCGCTATCGCCGGCGCTTGAGTCATGTGTCATGTCCTCTGTCATGGCATTGTAATGGAGGATTACGTTATTTGTCTTCTGCACGGCATAGTCTTTCGGCTTGTTCGGCCCTCCTTATCCAAAGATTCTAGACCGACACACAGCGAGATGGAAGGACTCGGGATTACGACAGATTGACACCGAACCAGATCTCTGCTGCCCATATAAGCTTTCTGGGTCCAGATCCGGTGAGCTTGTCATCGGGAATCTGCTTTCCCACTTGCCGAGCCATAATCATCAACAATAAAATGCCCCCAGGTTATCATTGACCCGGAGCCGCGGTTTAATGATCACTGGAATGTTGATACAGAAGAATACACGTTGACTTTCCCTGAGATGAACCTCGCTCTCCCTGCTGGATCTACAGTCGTCGTGACGGGAGCCAACGGCTACCTTGCGTCACACACCAGTAATGAGCTGCTCAAATTAGGGTACCGCGTGCGCGGCACCGTTCGCAGCCCTAAACCTTGGCTAAATGCCTTTTACGAGAGAGATTTCGGGCCAAGCAGCTTTCACACAGTTCTCGTGCCGGACTTTCGTGATCCCGAGGCCATCGAAGCTATACTGACCGGCGCGGATGGGGTCGTACACCTGGTAACCAATCTCCTTCTCTCCCTGCGGACACGGTCCACACTTTCCATGCCATCGTTCATCTTTCACTTGTACTGCTTCTCCTTTCCCAATTTATAGCCATATGTCTCTAATGTATGTGACTTCGTGTAGGTCTCCGACTTCACACTAGGAACTGACATCAATGAGGTGGTTCCTTGGTCTCGACAAGCAACCTTGAGCGTCTTACAGGCAGCGTCACAAGTATCTTCCGTGCGCAGGGTGGTGCTCATCTCCTCATCAATGGCGTTGTATACTCCAAACCCTGGACAGCAAGGCATGGTGGTCGACCAAGGTAAGCATAAAATTGAATCAAATGGCTGTTGGGCATTAACCTGAATTCCCACCCGAATCAGATACCTGGAATGTGTCCGCTGTTCTCAAAGCCTTATCGCCCTCTTGGAACCTCAAGACGCAACTACATGACTCGGCGCCCCCAGGGCTGCAGAAACGGCAGGTCGAGGTATACAGCGCCTGTAAGATGATCTGTGAGTGGGAGGCGTGGGAATGGGTACGCTGCCACCGACCTGCCTTTCAGTTCAACACTGTAGTCGCAGCGTTTGCGGTTTGTTCTTGTCCCTCCAATTCCTGGCGTCTGTTTCACTCGCTAAAGCCAAACAGGTCGGCAAGATCCTGATGGACGAGATCCCCGCCTCGACCATGAACTGGGTACGCGGCCTGCTTCACGGTGACCGTACCCCAATGACTCTTGTTCCACCCAGTGAGCCTCTCAACCTTTCAATTCATGCCCTCTTCTTGTCGGAATGAATATTTTACCACCAACTGACTCGTCCCAGAGTGGTTTGTCGACGTCGAAGATATTGCCCGGCTGTTTGTGATTGCTTTGCTCGAGCCGACAGTAGCCTCGGAACGCTTGTTCGCCTTTGGTGAGTCGGCCAACTGGACAGATGTCCTCACCATTCTGGAGCAGCTACAGCCCGAGAACCCTTTGATTCCACGCCCGATGCCCGGGGAGTTGCACGATTGCGCGGACATTCAGCCCCGCGGGCGGGCGATGCAGTTGCTTCGCGAGTTTTACGGCCAACCAGGCATGACGCCTATTGCAAGGAGTATTGCCCGCGGAATTGGCTGTGAGCCCTTGAAGAACTGAGAAAGGACATGTCGAAGACAGGAGAATTCTGTTGGTCTTTTTGCTTTTTCCATACCTTTCCCTTTTCTTTTCTCTTCTTTTCTTTTCTTTTCTTTTCTTTTCTTTTCTTTTTCTTTTTCTTTTCTTTCTTTTTTTTGCGGGGCAACAAATATAACAAAGAAAGTGGAAGACCCAGGAGGTGGGGTGCAGGTTAAGTCCCGCATAATCTAATGTTAGGGTTCTGGGCAGACTGAGCAAGGGATAGGAGTTACTTCTGTAGGTAACGTTGTGCGGTAAAGAATCAAAAGCAGTGTTCACTACGAGTACCAATTTCATTCCATTCAAATCTTCTTCCCGGAGAGGCATATACCAAGGCAAAGACCGTATAACGGATAGCACACCCAGACAGAAAGTGAAGAAGTGAAGTAGGAGAATGAGAAGAGAAGCAGGAAAGGAATGTGAGCAAACCTGAATCCCGGGCTCTGGCATTTCCCGCCGCAATCACAGGTTTGGCCACACATGAAGTATGCATGGCGAATAATTGTCATCACGCGCCTGGAATTTTAATTTTGTAAATGTCGTCTAAGACATAATGCTGCCGCCAGCAGAGCGGCTTGGGCCCTGAACTATGGAACATGGATTCACTGCCATTATACTCTTTCCCAAGCACAGATCATATTTTATCGATTATAAATATTTTCCACGACAAACGACTATTTCCTCTCTGCGTAGATACATTTTATTTCAATGATAATACACAGTAAGATACGGGCCCCTGCTCCTAGCGTACGAAAAAGACAACCACGCTTGGTGATGCGTGGTCTCGTCCAGGTTCTCCCCAGCACTAGAATCCCAGTCAGTTTCAACTGCACTCCTGAGCCTGTTAGCCCGCTTGAAGGTAAGGATAAACTCACAAGCAGTTCTGCAAGTTCGCAGCATAGACAGCGGCTTGATCTGACATGTCATGGCGTTCAAAGAAATCCGTCAGCACAGCCGCGACCTTGGTATCCGGAATCCCGGAAGTGGGGAAGTAGAATTTAGGGATCGGGGCGCGACGGCCTGGGTGGATCTCGTAATTGAGCATCAAAGGCAAGTACGTGGGAGGATCACCGGGCTGCGAGGGCCGGGTGGGATAGGCGCGAGGGCCCTCCACAATGTCTAGAGCGCGCCAGAGCTCCTCTAGCATTGACAGGCCCTCAGTGATATCTGGATCCTCCTTCGCCAGCCGGCCACCCATTGTCCAGTGCTCGATGACACGGTCGAAGCGGACGTCGAATTCGGCGAGGTAGAACTTCAGCCGTGTGCGATGCGGGTCGACCAGGTTGCAGGACACGAGGAAGATGTCCGCCTTTTGTTCCGGCTGTTGTAGGTATTCCTGGAGGGCGTCGCACCCCTGCGCGAAGAGTTGCTCGGAGTCGATGGTGCGGATGGCATCCAGGCATAGCTGCGTCGCGGACTGAGCTGTGACTTGGCCCTTGAGTGTTGGGTAGAAGTACTCCTTGATGGAGACTCCGGCTGGGTCCAGGTCGAGGGCAAGGATTGTCTGTGTCTTGAAGGGTAGTTTTGCGATTTCGGTGGGAGGTAGGCGTGCAATGTCGCTGTCGCTGAGTGTCAGACGCTCGAGGAGGGCATGGTGTAAGTCCAAGTTGATCGTGGAACCTGTGGCCTTTAGGTCGTGCAGAGCGCAGGGTAGCAGGGCGCGGTTGAATGGATCTTGACCTGTAGTGGCCCTGTGGCTGGTCGGCTCGAATGCAATGCGCGTGGTTGAACGGGTCTTGGTGAAATTCTGGCTCAGTTCAAAGGGACCAGTGCTACCTAGGATGCATTGAAAGAGCTCGCGGCCTGGGCTAGGGAAGGGACCCAAAGAAGGAACGATTAGGTGGGCGAAGAGGCAGAGATACTCATACTGTCGATGCACACTGTAATTGCCATCGAACAGTAGCTTCCCCAACATGGGGCCGTGGTGGTGCCAGTACTGATATTCATCTAGACTCGAGAAGCGCAGCGATCTACTGAGATGGAGATAGGGCTCAGATCCAGCCCCGCCTTCCTCACCTTCTTTTGTTGTCGATGGGCCCGTCATGATAGCGGTGTATTGTCAAGGTCTTGGGAAATCTGCAATCACAACATGAACTTACTCCCAACGACAAATATCCAGGTAGCCCATGACAGAGCGTCACAATTATCAATGCGCTGCCCGCCAGCTCGGCGCGGTCAAGACAGCGAGAGACATGTCCTGTCACTGCCGGTCAAACTCGTTAACATGGGACAGGTTGGTTCTAGCCTCAACCCTGTGAGCGGACGTACCATATCCGAGCCCGGTGCCAGACTTCATCCTTGCCACCGCTTCCACAGGACAGTCGCATGGAAGTGGTTAAAGTTTCTAGCCCAGAAGCAGCCCAGAAGCGTCTCTGTTTGCGGCCTTAGATGCATGCATCCATTGCGCGAGTCATGCATGAGGTCATAAGCTGAACGGATCGTGATCTTGGAATGACGTCCAGTCATCTGGTGTGCATCAAAACTGCGACAGGCATTGATTGCTATGGTGTCTTCTCATGTTGTGCAGTAGCCTGTGCAGGTTGATGCATAAGTATACTTGACTACATCAGTTTTATTGCATTCGGCGCAACAGTTCCGGTAGCATAGGCGGCGACTCCTTTCTACGATCAAGGCACTTGGGAAAGTGGATGAATTGTGCAAGTTAGGCTGGGCAGTCAAATGTCGGGGATTCTGCAGCAAGAATGACATGGCATTCCATAGCCCGCGGTCTAGCCGGATTGGGAACAGGATTTCAACTTTGACTAATGCAGAGCTTCCCTTGTTGTCTCACCTTTCTTCGGGATTTGATCTCCGGAAGACCCCATCTGCCGTTATTGGTGAAAGTGTCAAGAGAATTCCATGCTCCACATTCCCCTCCTCCCCGACAAGGTTTGACACCCTGTGTTCCAATGCCTCCCTGCTGTCTCATTCTCTGGCACCTCGTTGAGGTAATTCATCGTCAGCGATGAACCTTGGATGATAATTGACAAATTCGAAGACATCATTCTTGAAGACAGCGCGACGGAATTGGACATTCGGGATGGCTTGTTCAATTCCAGGTCGGTCCCTGTGGCCATCCTACTATGGACTGATCATTCCTTTCCCATGTCTTAATCACAGACTGAAGCGCAAGCTTGTCTCTGCATTGACCTAGCTATGACGGCTACAGGAAGGTTGACTCGACTGTATGCATCCGCGTGCAATGTCTGTGGTGTAGCATCCACACCTAGCTGTGCCCGGTCTTTTACTCATCAGGTCTTTCGTCATGTTTGCTGTCCAGTGAAAAGAGCGAAATCATGCGACCGAAGCCACAAGTATTTCCGAGCACTTCCCTTTTGATTGCATGTGAAGCGTTAGCATCCTCGCATCCATACGTAATTCTGCCAAGTGGCTCAAATAAGGCGTCTAGCAGCGCTGGAAGCTGTGTGGTGAGAATAGTCAGGTTTCTGTACAGGGCCGCCAGCTGCTGCAAGGCGCGTAGACTAAAGACCCATGGCTGCGAATCGAATATGGAGAATATGAGGTCGCGTGTTGGGTGGTAAACAAGCATGCCTTCGATAACAAAAACCGTGGCCTGATCAAATCCTCAGACCCCTAAGCTAATGTTCACCATCAGGAATTGCGGAGTCCCTGCCTGTCCAGATCTACCAGCATCTGTATTCTTCGGCTCCATTCTCATAGTCCTACGTAGGCTTGTTTCACCCACACGATGGGGTGTGACTGGCGCCGCGTGGAGCCACCGCTACGTCCCTTCTGACCTCTTGTTGATACTATAAGTATACTATGTAGTGTCCAGTCAGACAGCATGGCGAGTCGTGTATCACGTTTGTGAGGCCAAATGGCATTTTACCAAGTCACCTTCAGGTCGCGGGGAATGTAGCACGGAAGTGATAGTGCGTTGGGAGAATTGGCCGCGCTATAGACCCTTTTCATTCACGCGTCAGAACAGTATTTACAAATTATCATACTCCCCGTTCCCTGCCTAACATCCACCTATGTTCCATCGCAAGTCTGCTCATAATCTCTCAACATGCTCCATCCCCCCCAGTGCTCCCTTCAGCTTGCATACCAACTCATCGACTATACCGGGTTTATTTATTCGACTCGCGTTTGTCTCAACTATGACCAGACGAACCTCTCTGCCTCACCAACCATCGCCCCAACGGTGCTATCTAGCTGAAGGTCCCATCATACCTGACTAGGCGTTCCTATGGTCACAAGCTTATTAAGTGTTCCCAAGTTCATTCGAGCCTCGGGCGTCGAATCCGAATAGCTTGCACAGTTACTCGCAGGGTTTATATTAATATCTTTATGTTGAAAAGGATCCATGAACGCAGACTTTCTGCCAAGAACTATATATCTCCGGCTTGTCCAGATTGAAATAGTCCCATTCTCTTCATCACTTCTGCCGTCAGTGCAGCAGTCGCCAATGCGCCTTTGCCACACGAGGCCATCAAAGTGCTTTTCACCTGAGCCTCAACCAGCTCCGTCAACAAGAAACCCGGTAGCAAGCCCACGCTCCCAGCCCCAAGAACGTACCCCAATGACCCCAAGCTCTCTGTCTCCGGTCCGCACCTCCACAACACCACACCACGACGCCGTCCGCCAGCCCTACACAGGCCATCACCGCCGCCAACGTCGTGACGGCCGTCTCTTGGCCCTGGGATTTTAACCCGATGAGCAACAGGCCATAGCTGATCTCCCGGATGCCTTTCAGATACATGAGCGGGGAGACGGCGGAGCCCCGGTGCGGTGGAGTCTGACCGCCGCCGTGTTCCAACGGCAACCCGAAACGCGGATACTCTGCCGCAGGGCGAAAGATGGCGTTCAGACCCAGAGCCATGCTGAGAGTTCCGAGGGTGTAGGCGGGGACATGGCTGGTGACGGTGGCTGCCATGGGCGCAATTGTGAATCTCTGCGATCATCAGTTTCTGCGCATTGAGCCAGAGTTCCAGTGAGAATATACCTGATTATGTGAGAGGGAACAGACAGGTTGGGGAGGAGAGAGTCCTTGCTTGCTACGAATATGAGAGAAGGGCGGTTGGTGAATTTAAACCTGCTGTGGAGGAGAAACGCTAGAGCAACCTTTCTATGCACGTTTTCAGGCGGTTCATCACAGTGACTCTCATCATCGGAGATAATCGACCGATGCGTTGCTCCGGGTGGGGAATTCAGCGAGATCGGAATATTAGTGGCAGGCTCGTCTAACCTCTAGCCACGAGTACAGCGTGGGACTGTAAGCACTAAGCCCAAGGCGCATGAAGCCTGCTTATCATGCTACGCAGCTGGGCCCCCACAGAGCCGGGCGTTTCCATACCTTATTTGTTGTCATTATCCCCACAAAAATGTGCCGAAATTGCGGTGGATCTCATTTTCTGGGGTCTGTCTGAAGCAGAAGGGCCCGGAGGAGTCATGTTTAGTGGTAGCACTACCATTTCTAACACCGTCTTGAGATTGAAAATAGGACTAACACGTGTGCGGTTTAATCTCTGAATATTGAACCTCAACTATCTGGCTTGAAGTATGGTATATGACGACTCCATTTTTGCGTCTGCCTCAGCTCTACAACTGGTACAGCCGCCTAAACGCAGTATCCGTGCTGAGCAGTGCCTCGGGCGTATCGAACTCGACCAGCTGGCCCTCGTGCATCACTGCGATGCGATCGAAATCCCGGATCGTCTCGAGCCGGTGCGCGACCGCGAGCACCGTGCAGCCCGCAAAGTCCTCCCGGATCACCTGCTGCATCCGCGCATCCGCCACGACATCCACATTACTCGACACCTCGTCCAGCACCACCACCTTGCTCTTCCGCAGCAGTGCCCGCGCGAGACAGAGCAGCTGTCGCTCGCCGTGCGAGAACGCGTTCGCGTCCAGGGCGACTCCGACTCCCCCCTTCGTCTGCACCGCCGCCCACAGCCCCACACGGCGAAGCGCCCGCTCCACCTCCGCATGGCTATGTCGGCCCCCCGGATCCAGATTGGCCCGAATGGTGCCGTGTGTGAAGAACGTGTCCTGCGGGATAGCATTGAGCGCGTCGCGGATCATCTGCCGTGGGATGCGCGCAATGTCGACGTCGTCGATCAAGATGCGGCCACGGGGGTCGAGCTCCAGCAGTCGGAACAGGGCCGCCAGAAGAGAGCTCTTGCCGCTCCCGCTGCGGCCGCAGATGCCAATGCTTTGTCCTGGTTGCACTGACAGGGATAAATCTCGAAGCACTGGAGTGCTGGCTGCGTCTCTGGCCGTGTACGATGCGCAGACGTTTTGGAACTCGATGGCTCCCCTGGACGGCCACGAGGACCAGTCTACCTGCTCGGCCAGCCCCGCAGTCTCGTCAGGTTGATCCTCGGACGGCGTGTGGCTCACAAAGTCCCGAATGCGGGCGATCGCGCCGATGGAGGTCTCCAGGTCCGCCCAGTTGCGGAGGATCTGCGACAGCGACTGGCTGAAGGTGATAACGTTCAGGATGGCAAGCCCGACGTAGCCGGTGCCCAGCGTCGCGCGTAGCTTGACTACTAGCACCATGAGAACCGCACTGAGCACCGCAACGGATAGGTCCAGCGCGAGTTCCAGCCATCGCTGGATGCAGAACAGCAGGTAGAAGGGTCGCTGGGACGCGTCGAGAAGGGTGAGGCTCTGTTCTTTGAAGGCGGACGCCCACCCGAACGCACGGATGGTCACCAAACCGGACAGGGTCTCGAGGAATTGCGAGAAGAGCGGGGATTTGGCCTCCAGGTCCAGCAGCCGCATCTGCCGGGAGGTGCGGAGGTAGAATTTCTGCAGCATCCACAGGAACAGGCACAGGGGCGGAATCACGGCGGCGAAGTACCGGGTCGAGATGCAGATCATGACCGCAGAAATAAGCCCCCCTGCGAGAGCAAACACGAAGTCTAGGACGGCGTATGGTAAGTCATGATCGACCAGCGTCATGTCCTGACTGAACCTGTTTATAAACCGTGGTTAGTAGTGTGACGCAACGACGTGAATCGATTACCCAGAACGGCTTACCGATTCACTGTGGTGCCAGTATCGACCGAAGTAAAAAATGAGAGAGGCGCATGCATGACCGAGTTTAAGAGACGCTCGTGCAGTCTCTCAGCACTGCGGGGCGCAAAGAACATAAGTAGGTGGTACGAGCCACCAACGAGGCTCACAGCCGTTATGATCGATGACATGCTATAAAGACCCAGGTAGAAAGGGTTGACGGCGCTGCCCTGGCTCGCGACTGCGCCCATCCAGACGTTGACCAACCATTCGCTCATCTTGGGAAGTATGCCTTCCAATATGAAGGAACTCATCCAAAGAGCCGTAGATGCCCAGTGCACGGTGCCAAAATACCACAGGTAAAGAGTCCAGTCTCCACTCTGCCTGGTCCTCTCCTGGCTGGCGGTGTCAGCCCGCTGTCTTTGTTCCGAGCCGGTATGTGCATCGTTGACGGGCGTATGTGTTTGCGAACTAGAATCCTTAGTTGTTCGATCCTTATACTGGGCTCGCAATGTACTCATGTAACCGTCACTCGCCTCGAGATCCTCTAGTGTACCCTGTTCCGCAATAGACCCATCACCTCGCATGGCGACGACATGATCCGCATAAGAGATACTGTGTACAGAGTGCGTAGCCATGATTACCGTTGTCCCCAGCCGACGAAAGAGGCCCTGGTTGGCAAACAGGCTCCTCATAATATGGTCTTGGGTGTCTAGGTCAACTCCTGACAGAACATCATCGAGGATGACAATCCTCTTGCGTGCATACACTGCACGAGCCAGGGCCAGCCTTTGCTTCTGTCCACCGGAGAGGGAGATACCAGATGAACCAACCTTAGTAGCTGACGTTGTGGGTTAGAGTGTCTTTTGGTAACACGGGCACTCGAATATGGATAACTCACCGTGGCCATGCGGAAGATGAGCAACATCTTGGTCCAGTCCACATGCGCTGACAACCTGGTGATACCATGTCTCGGTGAATGGGGAGGCGCCCACAACATTATCGCGGAACGACATATTGCAGATCCAGGGTGTCTGATCGACGAAAGCCGCCTCTCGGTGTCTTGCGTGTAATAATCCCTTTGTTGAAGGCGTTTCGCCGAGAATACCCTTCACGAGCGTGCTCTTCCCGCAGCCCACCGGTCCGATTATGAAGTAGAATTGGTTTTCGTGAAAAGTCAGATTGATATTGTGAATCGAGAAAGATGCTGATTGATTCCATGAAAAGCTCACATCGCGGGCAGTGATTACCTCCGCAGCACTGTGGTGTCCGGGGCTGCTCATACCTGCGAGTTCTATGTTCTCCGAGGTTGCCTGGGATTCCTGGACAGAGGCTCGAGGATCTTCCGTGAAGATGCGAGAATCCCGTCTGCTCTCCGATTGCAGATATTCTTGGATACGGGTGAGCGAGGCCAATGCAGTATTCATGGCAGGGAGAGCTCGAATGAAAACATTCACGGGTGAGGCAGCCAGCGAGATCAGCGACAGTGTCGAATAGGTTGAGTCCACATTCAATCCCTGTCCCTCTTTGGCTCCTAACGCGTAGATGGCTAACGTAACTGGTGGGGCGAGGAACCTGAGACTATTTGCAAGGAATACACGTAATACGAGCAACCGTCGAAATAGCTTCGCCTCGTGAAGCTCATGAACACGAAGCTGTTGTATGTTTCGCGAGAGCCAGTCGGTGAAACCCAGCATTTTAACTGCCTTCATAGACCCTAGCATGGTTGCCGTAACATCGACTCGCGTCTGAATGCTTTTCATCCAGACTTTCTGTGCGTTGCTCATGTATTTAGCCATGGACAGAATAGCGGCAGTGCAGAAAATTGCCAAGCCAGCCGGGACTATCGCTGCCATCTTGATCTCCTGCGCTAAGAGATAGACTACAATAGCCAGTTCTAGGGGTACCGCCCAGAGATCATGAATCAGCTGCAGCCCGTTGCAAATGGATTGAACGTCACTGGACATGAGTGTCACTGCAACTGATTCATCGAGAGCCGTGATGTCCAGATCCAGCGTTTTGGCATAGATGATACTGATCAAACTCCCACGAGCACTGGTCACGAAGCGAAAGGTCATGTGGTAAAACACGCCATTCGACAGAGCGACCCCGAGGAGCACGAGGAAAAAAGCGCCCGTTAGACCCCATCCTATACTTTCAGGTTGGCTCTCATCGTTCGCAAAGCTGACGGTGCGGGTTAACAAGAGGGGCTGGGTATATTTGAACCCAATCTGAACCAAACGGGGAAGAACACAATAAAGAAATGGTCTCAGGTTCGCATGTAGCACTGTCCAGAGCAGGGCTCGCGGCTTGTTCTGTGCCGCCACATTCCACGCATTTTTAATGCGCTGTTGAAGGAATTGTGAGGACATGTTCTTATCGATGGGATACAAGTCTTCGTTCTGAAGGTCACTGTGAAAACCCGATATCATGAGTTGGCTCAGCCAGAAGAAGAAGGATCGGCTGTAAATGCCACTCGTTTCCTCTGGCGACAAGCCTCGGTACGGCGGCAGGAGAATCTGTCGCTTTTCCACTGCCTCTGCCAGTAGAACCATTACCTTCACGGCGATCATGCTAGAGAATACTCCAGAAAGGGAACTGGCGGCTGAAGCGCGGAACAAGCTTCGCACGCGGGCAGCGTCAAACACCAAAGTCAGAAGGATGTAGCCATTGATGATGGCCGATGGGCGGACGGAGCGAGCATGTTCCAGCCGCGAAAGTAGACAAAGGCCTAGACTGGCAACAAATGTTATGGCGGACTCGGGAAGAGTGGCGGGCGTGCGGAGTGATGGGCTCAGGATGTGGAAGATCAACAGCGCGAGGTGAGTGGCAGCCAATGTGGCTAAGAAGATGAACTTGCTTTCGCGCAGAAAGCCTCCGGGAAGGACTTTCGGCTGCTGACCATGAAGGCATGCGATGCGATACGGTAGGATTAGTAACAAAAGTGCCGATGGTAGCAGCGACAAGACAGTGTCTTCGAAGATGGGTGTAAAGTCGGAGCCTACAGAAGTCACCGGGCTGCGCTTAGGCAATACTGAACTGTTCCAACGCCCTGGTTGCTCGAAATATGTTGACATGATCAAAACCTCGTGGGGACCGCCCAATGCCCATCGGTGGAGTCACTTGGGGGTCCAAACTTTATGTACGGAATTCTTTGCACGGAGAAAATGAAATCGACGTGATTACTTGTGATGAACATTGCAGCCTACGCCTTCTTGTAGTCTGTTAGTATTCGATGTATTTGGTGGCTGCTTACTGACTCTGCTTATCGGCCCAATCGGACACTGTCAACATGCATATTGCGAGGTCAATGTGCCTGAGTATCCCTGTCCCATCCTCCAATAAACCGCCGTGACCATGTCGTCATTATCTGCCAGGCAGCAGCAGCCCAGCAAGTCTGTGGTTTGCTGCACACGATAAATCGGGAAAAATCGGCTGTTGGGTGTTCGTTTATGCTCCCAACGGTCACCCTTACGGGGTCTATTACCGTGTTCCACTCTGTAATGTTCAGTGCCTAGCTCCTCCCGTTCAGCCAGAGGACCCCTAATATTTAGGGCCAAGACATAGATGTCTCTGCCGATGTCGATCACAGGAATGTTCCGACGAAACCCCGAGTACCGAAGGAACGCTTGGCAGGTGGAGCTGCGAAACCGATCCAATGCAATCCACCCAATTCCCCCGAATGCCCAACTTTATATAAACCGTTTCGCCGTGCCAGAGGAACGTCGAACCTTAACAAATTGACCAACTGGAACCTTTCCACTCATCTTCATCCGACCCTGTCTGGGACCCTGCAGGCTGTGTCTTCTTGGCAATCGTTTGATCCATGATCCGGCCAAAGGTCACTCTATGGTGAGTGTTTCGACCTCGCGTTTTGGGCCAAGTACCAAGTACATGACCTTGGCTGTGTCAATGAGGCGAGGTAAAGTACATGACCTCCTGAATTGAGGGGTGCATGCTTTTTGAAGCTGTGTCCTGTGAAAAGCTATATAATGGAGCTCGAAGCCGGCTGCACCTCAGCTATCACTCGCACCACCCAGCAAACACTCACATTCCTCAACCCCCTGTTACTCAAGCACAATGCTTCCCAAAACCATCATCAACCTTCTCACCACCATCGCTGCGGTGCAGGCCTCACCGCTTCTTAAGCGGGCCGTTGTTCCCCATGACAGCATCACCCCTTTCGCTGAGACGGTTCCCAATGATGCCGTCGGTAACACCTTCAAGAAATTTGAGCCCTATCTTCACATCGCCCACGGCTGCCAATCCTACCCAGCTGTCGCCGCCAACGGCGATACCAGGTCAGGCCACCCTCTCCCTCCCGTCTCGACCCGTCATCGTCCCACTAACAGTCAAACAAAAACAGCGGAGGCCTCCAGGACACCGGAAGCGCGACGGGCGGCTGCCGCGACCAGTCGCGGGGCCAGACCTACGTGCGTGGGGGCTGGTACAATGGCCGCTACGGGATCATGTACGCCTGGTACATGCCCAAGGACATGCCGACCAGCGGGGTCTCGACGGGGGCGCACCGCCACGACTGGGAGAACGTGGTCATCTGGGTGAACAACCCCAGCAACGCCAGCCCGACGCTCCTCGGGGGCGCCGCCTCGGGCCACGGCAAGTATAAGAAGACGACCAGCCCGCCGCGCCAGGGCGACCGGCCCAAGGTCGAGTACTTCACCAGCTTCCCGACCAACCACGAGCTGCAGTTCACGGAGACGCTGGGCCGGGATCTGGCGCTCGTGGCGTGGGATTCGCTGCCGCAGGCCGCCAAAGATGGGTTGGAAGGCGCGGACTTTGGCAAGGCGACGGTGCCGTTTAAGGATGCCACGTTCATGAACAATCTCGCTAAGGCGGCGCTTTAGATTGCTTTCGGGGAGAGACTAGCCCCCTCGTTGACCCTCGATGAGGTCCCTAGATCAGCAATATGAGGTGTACTGAAGAATTTAGTCTCACCCCTCTTGAGCTCAAAGAACGGTTGTTGTGACTGTGAATCTTTTACTGTGTTCTGGGTTGACAGAATATATTTTGTGGGACCCCGTGTTCGGCATCGTTGATTTTCCATACCATCTAAACGAATATAGCACTATTGTACCAACCGCTCGGCAATCTCGGCTCGCATTGAATATTGTTAGCACTTGTCCAGCTCGCCGTGTGCTCGGGTTTCATCTTGCTTAACCGTAGCCGACGTAATGGTCGGTGCCGAGCAGCCGAAGCGTCGATCCAGCCCCGGATTTGTAAGCAAAGCAGACTAACTACCTTACCTTGTCTCTCATTTGCTTCATTCTTCACTCTTTCACGTCGGATTGTCTCATCATTCTTTGGTCAATTGAACAAAAGATGACCCGGTCAATTCTGATCACAGGGGTTTCGGGTTACATGTAAGCCAGTCCATGGGCCTGTACTGCACACGACGATGACCAAAATGCTGACTCGCCTTTTACCTGTAGAGGCGGTGCCATTGTGGCCGAAGTCCTCGAAGCCCAGCAGAACAACGACTTGTCGGGCTGGCACATTGCAGGGCTCGTGCGTTCAGAGGCCCAGGCAGCCAAGATCCGCTCGCTGTCTCCAGTCGAACCGATCGTCGTTTCGGATTTTGATGAGCTGGACAAGCTTGAGAAAATTGCCCAAGGATTCGATGGTAAGAAAAGATGGATACTGCTTTCATTGTTTGGCTTCTTCGATGCTGATCCTCGAGGGTGACAGTCATCATTCATGCCGGAGCAGGTTGGCACACGGCCTCGGCGAGGGCATTCCTGAGGGGACTCGCCATCGGAAAACGCAATCGGGCAGGGCATCGCCATCCCCACTACATTCAGGTACTCTCGAGAACTTCTTTCTCCGCCTCTGTACAAGGAGATGGGCAGACCATCCGACTAACATCCCCCCTCGCCTAGATCTCTGGAACCTCTAACTTAAGCGACCGGCCCCACTCGGCGAATTTCATCGAAGATCACATCTTCTCCGACGCGGAGGATGATATCTTCGCCTACGAAAAGGCGCGAGAGGCGCGGGAGGTGTACTACCAGCGCACCACGGATATTGCCGTGGTGGAACTGGGCGAAGAGCTGGGGATTCCCACGCACATCGTGATGGCCCCGACCATCTTCGGGCTGTCTAAGGGCTGGTTCAACCGATTCTCCGTGCAGCTGCCCGCCATCATTGCCGATGCGGTGACGACGGGCCAGGTGAAGGTTTTGGGCGATGGCCAGACCGTCTGGACCCACGTGCACATCGACGATCTGGCCCGCTTCTTTGTGGTTCTGCTTCAACACATCGCCGACGAGGACCGTAGCAAGGAGATCCCCTCTGGCCGACGAGGCATCTATTTTTGCGAGTCCGGCCAACACACCCACCGCGAGTTCTCGCAGCGCTTGGCCGATGCGGGGGTGGAGCTGGGGATATTCCAATCGGCGGAGCTTGCCAGTGTCTCGGTGCAGGAGGCTGCCGATGCATGGGCCGGGGGGAATGCAGCTCGGGTCGAGCTGTCATTTGGTGCAAAGTGAGTTTCTCATTGCAGACTCCTTGTGATACCCAGAACCTTTGACTTGTTCTTTCTTCGTTTTCATGGCTTTCTTTTTCTTGGTTCCAGATGCTCCCTCGCTAACTGAGATCCTATGCAGTGCTCGTTGCAAAGCCGTCCTTGCCAGACAGCTTGGCTGGATTCCCAAGCATGAGAAGAAATGGGCGGAAACCTTCCATATCGAACTCCAGGAGTATGTCGAGCGACCTCCCGACCCTAAGACCCTACCTTTGGTGATGCAGAAGAAGAAGACCTCCACCTGATCGATGGCGTTTGGTCGTTCACCACATGCTATTTAGTAATATGCCCCAGCCGATACTGGGTTTCTTTGAATACCTCTTTTCCCAGCAATCATAAAGCTTCGCGTAAACCGCATCCTCCTTCCTTCACGTAGTCTGTAAATCCGCTACTCCAGCCTTGCACTGCTACGCATGGGCCTCTTGATCCGTGGCAAGGTAAATAGGAACCCAGGTTCTCATGATCCCCGGTAGGATTGGCCTATGCACGAATTACACGTTATCGGGGAAAGATACCGGCACGGAGCGGTACCGGGCAGATAGAAGCTCGCGGCTTTCGTTCCGAAATGCCGTCCACCGCGCGGAACCTGCGCGCATTCGATGGGGTTTTGGGGTAAATGTAGATGTGGAGACGCCAGCGAGCGGAATATGATTTCCGCCAGCCATCAATGATCAGCGTATGACGACGCCTCGCCAATTCTTTTAGGAATGCAATATGGAAGATTCCTTAGAGGCCTAGTGGGCCATTACTGATAGACCTTCTGTGTCAATTCTGTTCTAGAAACCCATTTCTCAACTGGCCCGTAAATGATTCGCGTAGCATGGTCAATATTCTCATTTCATCGTTTGAAGCAAAGCTGCCCACCAATTTCTCAGTCCCCTGTATTTCTCTTCTCCAATTTTAATAGCGTCCCCGCAGACATCCGATGACGTCTTAGTCCAACCGCCGATCCTGTTCCTGCGCTGCAATGATTGTATTGTATGCCAGCGTACTGAATAGGATCTCTCGCATGGTAGTGCGTGGATTGTCTGCCAATCGTAAGATGTCGCTATGCCATGTAAATCTATTGCGTAGCAAGAATCCGAAACAGCTGTTCGAGAGTCCCTCCCTCGCCTCTATAGCCAGCTTGTGGGTGTTCAGAATCAACTTTCCATATGTCGTGTTTTCTGAAACGTGATCGAGAGGTATAAATGGAAGTTTTAGTTTGCAGGAATCTTCTGTTCGACGACAGGAATACGGCGACCTGCTCAGGCCGCTGCTGGGGTTTAATTCGCGTTGCCCAGGGCTTTGATAGAGTTGTTTGCTCTTTTGAATTCGGCACTAAATCTCCAAACAATTTTGAGATGCGCATGGTACGGAACTCGAAGTAGTGGAGAAACATTGATTCCTAGCGGAGAGGCGACAAGAATTAAGGGAGCTCCCCACCGCGGGAAGCCTGCCCGTTGCAATCTCATCGATGTTGCAGAAAATTTGAGGTCGGCCAGCAACATCTGGCTCATCGCTTCGAGTGTGCCAAGATCCTCTTTAGGTGAGTGGAGCTCACGTGCGAGGAATTCGGCTACCGATTTATATACAAATTCGACGCTTGGCTCCGAGTCGACGGCCGCGTTTGATACCACTGAGGATAGGCCCGCAGTCGTGTTAGAGATTTCCATGACGTGCGATTCTATTTGGAAGTGGCGAAGCTTCTGGAGTTTCTGGATTTTTTCAGTGTAACGGTTATTCCAATCAAGTTGGAAGCTTTTCGTTCATACCGAAGCTAGAAAGGGAGGGGCAATAAGTCAGCACCAGGCCGTTACGGGATCTCAGCAACCAACAGCTCCCTTCGCCGACCACTTAGCCCATGATGGTTTTCAGCCGCTCTTCGTACGCTTTAAGCTTCGCTATCAGGTTTCTAATGCGACTTTCATCCCACACAGTCCCGTGATACCTCGTCTTTACCGTCCACCAGCAGGATAATAGGAAATAATGCAATGGGCCAAAGATCGCTCTGGCAGCTTCTCCTCCAAACTCAGTCATCTTGCTCAAATCGCCCCTATTTAGCCATTTCCTGCCCCGGAAATGCATGTGTGCATGGGGTAACACGAAACTCGTACTGCCCGAATACTGGTCTATCCTGATGGTGGTTACCTTTCAGCCATCTTGTCGCACAATTTATCTCAAGCTTTCCTTGCCAGATGAGAGTGAATCTGTATTACACGGGTAGTATTATGCTATTAGACTTGTGATGTCAATTCTCACCTTGACCCTGCATGAGTGCTTCAATTGCTTCTGCATTCCGATCGGCAAATATGTACAAGGTCTGACCACGGGAGATACGAGAAGTCCAAGGAAACAAAGACTCTCTTTCACTTGCAGCTCAAGCCGATTTTCAAAGTCAGTACCTAAAGTATCATGAACCGTGGATCTGTTGGCTAATACCACTACTGCGAGGTGCGCTCATCTGACAGGATGAAGGACTTTCAAGATCTTCCGCAATCACCAATTACGGACCCCCATTGGCTCATGTGGAGCAAGGTATGCTTTTTCTGCGAATATAGATGTTCCTCAGACTTGGATGACGGCATACCACGCTGTAATACCCACAAGTCTGCCAGGACTACGGTACATCAATCGGGTCATGGTTATTATTTTCAACAAAGCTTCTTTGTCCCTCGTTTTCAATTATCTATTGTTGTGATTCTCTGATCAAAGACTCTTGTTACACAATAGCTTTATATGACTCTTGCTGCTTTATGCGGCTAGCTGTATTTCTTCATTGTTCCTTAAATGAATAAGATAACTGGATGAGAGACAAAAGCTGTTGATATATGATCACCGACTGGAGCTCGATGGTTCCTTGTCAACCCTACTCTAATCATAAGGCTCTGCCTTGGGCTTTGTTCCTGCAACCTCTAGATACCTTCCAGCCCCTGGGACATTTTCGCAGTATAAGTAGCACGGTCGACCCCTCAACAGGGTCCAGATATCCTGCCTCAACCACACCTCCTGACAGAAGGACTTCACTCAGCCAGATTCTTGTACTGACATACCGATAGCCACCATGCCTGACCAGAACGAGACGAAAACCTTTGAGGAAAAGCTTCAGGAGCTCCAGGAGCTCCGGGAAACGCTATCCAGGATCCGCGAATTAAACTCTGACCAAACCCAAGATCAAAAGCAGATACAGGATCCCGCTTTACTCGAAATGATTGATAAGTGTCAAAACAACATCGAAGAACTTGAAGAGTGGGTGAAACTGTGGACAAGGATGTTGCAATTCCGCGTTCCAGAATTAGAAGAAAGCACAGAGACGGGTAAGATCTAGTCCAAGGTGCTTTAAATACTGCAAAGACGGCCTATAAGTGGAGACCAGTACCAGTGGGAGTCGAGATATGACAATCTTTGCTGGACTTGCGACCTGGAGCCCAGGCATCCTAACGTCGGCCCTGGGCCTTGGTGCCTGAAATTGAAATCCCACCGCCTGGCCGGCTGTCTCAGCTAGTTCTCTTAAATAGTCTTATATAGAAGAAAATTCTTCTTTATATTTTCAGAGGTGGTCACCAGATTCTAAGATTTTGCTCTCGGTAATATATTCTTTCATTCTTTCTTATCAATATCATACTTGGCCAATTCCATGCGGACTTTTCTTGTTTTTGACTGCTATATTAACTTAGTGAATTAACAGCTGTTTGATTTTTATTATGTTGCCTTCGATCCTTCAACTTTTTAAGAATATCGGCTTCGCCTTCTGCCATCATGATATCCCTCCGCCTTCAGAAGAATCATGGAAGTAGATTGATTTCAAGATAGCTAGATAAAGAAATCAATTACCTATTTATAGTATTATGATTCCTTCGAGGCCTCGACTGACAATCTTAGTGATATGTCCTACTACGATTCTCAGCCTATCCAAGAATCGAACAATCAAACAAACTATCGATACAAGTATTATCAAATTAGCATATCTACTCGGAACTGACACTTCGCCCAGTAGAACGCCTACAGCGCTATTGATAAACTTTTTTCTAATTTTTTTATACTGCCAGGGATGAGGTGGTAGCAGCGGATTAGCCTTACGACGAGCACAAGATCTTCCTCATAATCGACAGGCTCAACAAGCTCGACCCAGCCAACCATCCCAGAATGATTCGGGCGTTAAAGGACTGGGTACAGGCCAGGCCGCACAATGTGAAGATCTGTATCTCCAGCCGCGGCGCGAAGGCGTTTCAAGAGGCTTTCGAGTCATATCCTGGGTACAATATCGATGGAGTTAACTTGGTTGATATGCTGTGATATGCTATGGTATGCCCATGTAGAGCTCTTACTCCAGGATGCCTTTCCGCGTATGACCAAGTTAGTGTCCCCAGATGAACTATATAAGCTAGAGTACAGCATGGCAAAGATGGCCGATGGCTCAATGCTATACCTCCTCGAGCTCGTGCGAGGCCTGATCAGGGAGGAAAGTCGTTCCTGTGGAAGTATCAAGGAGATCGTAGACGCTCTTACCAAACGTGGGCTCCGGTACCAAGAGAGCTATGACTCGGATATGCTTTGCCCGCCGCGCGATGAGGATTAATAGCATCTTTCTGAGGATAGATGCTGGACGAAGGTTGGTTTTTCGCAATTAATTTGAACTTTTAGGTTTAACTTCAAATTTGGCGAACACCTCTCGTTAAAATATCTAGTCTTGTTTCTTACAATATGCCTATGCCTAGTCATCGATACTTATGGTTTTTGTCCGTTTCTCTTTTTTGGCTTTTTTCTTTTCAACATTTCTATGGTCATATCAAAGTACGTACCCAGAGAGCAACTCACCATGTTTCAGCCTCCGCAGTCATAATGCGAGCATCCCTTTATATGGTTTTCAAGCCATATTACATTCCTCGGATTTTTCGAAATGCCGTGGTTGTCTGCTTTTTTGTCCTTTCAATGATTTAAATAATGATTATAGTCTCCCCGTACAACTAGAGCCCACAATTCCCTTTACAGACTACTCCGACAGCAACCCCTTCCACCCTGATCTGCAGCAGCAGTCTCACTTGCCTCCTTCTTCTCCACATACTCGTACTCATTGTCATTTAGGTATCCTTCTTAGAGGCGGTGCTATATGGTAATACAGACTAGATAGCGATCGCGGAAGGTCAAGAACGCCATTAATCAAAGTAAGCACAGTTGTACCCGCACATATACCTCGACAACGGCTGGTCGACTGACAGCTCAGATCAGATCCACGGGGATGTATTTGGACCAGTCGCCCTTTACCTTCATAAAGTCCAAGGGCTCCATGTGCTCGACGGACCCGCCGTACGGTCGGCTCACGGCATAACCCAGGAACCGCTGCACCGACGCAGGGTACCTCTCGACCACCTCCCACGGCACCGCGAGGTATTGGTTCTCCTCCTGGCGGCGGTATCCTGCGGTCGCGGTCGCGCTCAAGAGCACGGTGTCTTGGTCGGTGGCGTTGGCCGCGCGACCGAAGTATGTAGAGCCCAGCCTGACAGAGGGATCGTCAGTTCTGTAAAAGTACGCAGCATAGTGGGTATCCGACTCACCAGAGCAAAGCGTCGCCTTTGCGCAACTCGACGAGATATTCATCCTCGGGGTGGGGGTCCCGCGAGTCCGTTCAGTGATTGGACCCGATGACCACGCGCACCGCACCGTTATCGCGGGTGAGGTCGTGCGCAGCGTACATGATCCCCGACTGGGCTTCGCGCTTGGCTGGGTGGGAAATGTGGTGGCATTCGTCTTGACGACGAAGGCCCCAGGGGAGGCTGTTCGGCTGGGCAGACAAGATAGAGGTCTGCGAGACCTGGGGCTCTGAGATTGACACGCTCCGTTCCTGCTCATAGTATATGATACACGCGTCGGTGAGGATTCGGTTGCTGAGATCGAGGTACAGGGGATTCATCAGGAGCTGGGTCGCGAAGGCCACACTCTTGGCTACCAGTGCAAAGGTCTGTCCATCAGGGACAGTGCCGACTTCCTCCAAGACGGCGTCGATGGTCTCGCGCGTGGTGGCACCCTCCACAATCACCACGCCGTCGGCCTTGAGGTATTGATGGATGATGTGCGGGTCTGCAGCGGCGGCCAAGAAATGCTTAACGGCGGCGGGCATGGCGGTGGAAGACCTGGGCAAGTGCTAAAGTGGACGCGTTTCGTGTAGATGGTTACTTGGTAGGCGGGATAAAATAAGTAAACAAGGTGGACGAGATCAAGGATTGAGTATCTCCAGCCCCTGCTGATCCTGATTATAAGTGGATGGTTGTCTTATAGGCGTAGGGTCGCCCGAGAGTCGGGATTCGCCACGAACGGCCACATTGAGTGTTGATAGCCGGCAATCATTATTGCGCTAACTCTCGTGCTGAGAGGTGGTAATTTCGTGGGAAACGCATTGGTCTAGGCCACGCGAAGTTGATGACCTTGGAGATGTGCGATATCCTATCGATACCTCAAACGTACCGCGATTGCCGAGGCTATGATGACCATTTTCGGCCTCGCCCCAAGGATCACGGAATAACCGCAATACGACAAGAATAAATAGTCCAAGAGAGGACAAGGCTCAAGACATCGAGCTACAGCACCAGCCCCTACCTTCTGTATATCCCAACACACAGTATGCCCAACCCCCCTCACCAGGCTGGAAACCCCGAAGTGGTGGAGCTGGATGCCACAGCCCCCATTGAAGCCATTGTCAACATTATCCGGCGAGACGGCGGCATCATCATCAAGAACTTCCTGAGTCCGGAAACCATCGACCAGATCCATGCCGAGGCGCAGCCCTACTGGTCGAAGCTTGGGACCTATGTTGGGAAACTCTTCGATGCCGCGGATCCCCCCCTCAGCGGTTTTGCAGGGAAGTCCCCGACCTTTGCCCACCAAGCGATCAACCACCCCACATTCCGCGAGACTGCCAAAGCGCTACTGAAGGAAGAATCGTGAGGGTTTTGGTCTTCTCTATCTTGGACTTCTTGGACTCACCGTTGTCATAGAAATGTGTATCGCGATGGGAAAAGGTACCACACGGTCTCCTACCCCGTCTTGGCCGTGTCGGAGGCCTTCAACCGCGGCTCTCCCTCAACCGCCCAGCAGCTCCATCGGGACGACATGGCCCAGCACTTCGAGCATCTGGAAGGGAGCGGAGAGAGCTCCCTCCTCGGTCTGCTGGTTGCGGGGGTGGTAAGCAGAATTCCCTCCTTTCCGGACGAAGCATTTCCCAGCGAAGAAACCAAACCGAACGCGCAGCTCATACAGGCCAATTTCATCTTTCTAGGACACGAACTTCGATAACGGCGCCACTCAGGTCATTGTCGGCTCCCACAAGTGGCCCGAAGCATCCATCTGTGGCCCCGCGGATCGATCTCTGCTCGACCTGCGAGATGAAGAAAGGCGACGCGGTATTCATCATCGGGAGCATCTGGCACGGGGCGGGTGAGAACCGGACAAACCCGCCCGAGCGCCGCATCATCTACTCCTGCCATATGACCCGCGGCTCCCTGCGCGCAGATGAAAATCAATACCTCGGGGTGGACTTGGATGTGGTCAAGACCTACCAGCCGGAGGTCCAGGCCTTACTGGGATACTCGGTTAGCCACCCCAGCTGTGGTCACGTCGGCATGAAGGATCCGATCACGCTGTTGGGAAGCAGGGAAGATCAGTTCGGCTATGGTGACTTCCACGGCCAGGTGGCTGGTGCAGCCTCCTAAGACAAGATCTTCGTGTGCAGTTGTTGGAACTGGTACGCTGAAAGGGAGGTTGTTGCTTAGATTTTGTTCGGTGGAGCTTGACTTCATAACGGTATTAAAAATAGTCGTGCAAAGTAGTATTAGGCTTGCCGAGTCTGATGCTCTCCCTGTTTCTTCTCGAGGTGAATATTTCCAATTTTTCTGCAAATCTGTAATCAATACTCACTGTAATACCGCATGTATAGCTATTAGCGTATGTCAGAAACTCATTGAACGGGAACTCCTAGATTATGAGATGATGATGCATTTGCATCTTTTACCTGTCATCATTGAAATAGCTCTATAATTCTTCATACGTCCGTGGTATTCTTCTAAGTTCTATCACTAACTTGACATTCATTGCATGTATACATACATTCTTGATGTCACGGTATCTGGCAAAATTGTCTGTAAACTAGCCGTCGACCTACAATGGACTAAGCCCAACATTAAACTTTAAAGCCGCCTGGCGACAGATTGCATCGTCTTGGGAAACAGGCTTGTCCAGAACCGTCATTGAGGTTGCTTCCTTCCCAAATGAACAAGTTAAGTAGATGGAACTATCATCACCCGAATACTCGATTTTCCTTGTAGCATAGCAAACTCACCTCATCCTCATTGTTTTTATTGCCGGAGGAACAAATGGCAGAATTACCCAAAGCGTTATCCAGAATGCCACCATAGATCTCGTCAACCTGGAAGCCTGGAATCGAAAAATCCCTCCTCTGAGAAAAAGACGTGTTGAGTGAGTCGACATGTCTAGGCCTAGGCCTATTAGCGGCATTGAATACGCATATGGCAGGACATAACTATACCGGTGATCAAACGAACAGGTTTGGGAGGGGCCTATGCAAAATGCGGGAGAATGCCTGGATTCTCTGGAGTAATTCTACTCATACTCCAAGTCATTCCTGGTTGTTGTATGGTTTGGGGTATCATGGGTGATGAAAGCTATCTAAGGTGAGCGGCAATGACGGCCTGTTTGGGTTAAGCCTGCCGATAGCCCTGACTGGGCCTTCCTTGCCGCATGAACTATCTCTTACTAGGTCCGTTATTCAAACTGTGTATAATTATGGAATGAAAGGGCAAGCAAACACTTTTTCCGGTCAAAAGGCTTATGGCTAGGATAACAATATCATAGAATGTTCTACCCAGCCGTCACGGAAAGGTTGTAAGATCCGTCTCTATTGCATTTACGATTTGAGGCGCCCGGCTACCCATAGCATTCGTAGCTGCCATGAAGGCACAGCGTCTGGACATGGGTTAAGATCTGACCTGTGTGCAACTCACATATATTAGGCCTTGAACCAAGGGTTATAGGACGATATTTCAGTTCAAGCATGTACAGTATCTGACTAGGGTTAGTGGGCGAGTTGTTATTGAGCTATCCCAGTGCTACTGCCCGATTTGTATAGCATCGAGGTGAACCTTCCTATTTTTTAATGGTTGATGCCAATTTAAATCGTAAGTGTCTAATGCCTTTTGACCAGTGAATCTTTCCACTCCTGTGGGGTTTCCAATTAATTCATAAGGTATTTCTCTAGTGCCCGAACTGTTCTTCAAATGTCGGGTATGGGGACAGTAGTGGGCGTCTGCTCTGAGTCCCAATCCTCACGGTCAACATGGCGTAGTCTCACGAATGCCAGATCCAAGACCAAAGCCGAGATCAAGAGAGCGGCACCAAACCAGAGGGCAGCCCTGTAGCCCGCGACTTCAGAATCTTGGTGCTTCGCGACCTGCACCTCAATGATACCCGCAAACCCGAGTCCCAGGCTGTTGCCGTGGAGATTCAACGTGCCGATCAAGCTACCCGCAACCCCCTGCTCGTGTTTCTGGACGCTATTGCTAGCAATGATCTGAGCGGCGACGTAAACAAAATCGGGGCGGAAACTGCCGAGCACGGTTGAGGGCAAAACCTGGGCCCAGTACAGCTGCTGCTCCGGCATGGTCGCTAGAAGCATTGTAGACGCCAAGGGGGCGAGGCACCCTACAGCGAGAATATACTGCGCCTCCAGGTGTGGGATCAGCCAGGCCGCACCCGTCACCGCAATTGACGCGCCGAGGCCGTAGGGAATCCACCCTACTGCGACATGAAGAACCCTCCAACCGCGGATCAGCTGTTCCCATGCCACCATGTACCAAAGTGAGATTCCAACGGACATGTAAATGAACAAAACGACCAGGATCAACGCCTTGAAACTGGGGGCCTGGAAGACGGCCACCGGCATGATTGGCTCCGCGGCATACCAGGTCTCCCAGACGAAGAAGAAGACGATCATGACCACCGAGGACACCAAACTCACGATAGTGCTCGGTGATTCCCACCCAGTGGATGGAGCTTGACTGGATTACGATGATCATCAGTTATAGACGACGGCAGAATTGTGGAGGGGCCACCATACTTCCACGTAACATTGAACAGAATAAGCCCGCCCAGGCCAAGCACGGCGCCCACGTAGTCCACTTTGCCATCTTTTGCCAATCGCTCTTCGCGCGGGGCGGCAAAGAAAAGACCCCCAAACGCTGCAACGCCCAGACACGCACTAAAGCTGTTTCAGTTCTGGATGTGTTTCTTCCGACCATCGCAAACTTACATGATTACGAAAATCCATTTCCAATCGGTAGACTCCAGGATTGCTCCAGTGATCAGTGCCCCGATCAAAGCGCCTATGGGCGGTGACGCTGCAAAGAGGGCCAGGGTGTAGTTCCGGGCTCTGCCCGGTGGGATCATGATGGTAAGCACCGCCACGGCGTTGGGCATGAGAATGCCCCCTCCGATCCCGGTCAGCGCACGCATGGCGACGAACGAAGCATACGTGGTGCAGAATGCGTTGCAAATCGAGAAGATGACGAAAATCGCTCCTCCCAGCAAAAGAAGTCTTTGGTGGCCATAGATCGCTCCCAACCGACCGCTAATCAGAACAAATGCACTTTGAGTAAGTCTGTTACGAAAATTGTCAACTGAGGTTCTCCGGTCTAGCAGCCCCGCTCTCGGCCGTCAGTGTCCTAGAGCATGCGACAAGTTTCAAGTTCAATGCAATTCAATCCTTCCACTTCTGGGGCACCTACCCAAATGCGGCAGGCATCCAGTTCGCTTGTGAAGCTCCGACTTTCCGCCCGAGTCGAGCACTGAATTCATAGCCTCCAGCTACGGTGGAGAACATTGAGGTAAACTGGGAGAGGAAGGCGTCGCTGTTAGACAGTTTTCGGGATATACGAAGAAGAAAGCTCGCAAGAATGGAATTATTTGGGTGCGTGAAGGGTGCAGACCTGGATCAAATTGCACAGTAGAATGAGGCAAGTGACGAGTCCCTGCCTAGCCTTTCCCAGAGGGGCTGAACAGCCTGTGTCTAGAGGCTCCCTCTGTCGAGTTTCCGAGGTCACAACCCGGCTCACAATTGAGAGGACATCATCCCCGTACCCTTCACGGGCCGCCAAGGCTTCAGGGTTCCGCATGTTTCTATAAGGGAGAAGGCGACGGCGAAAGAGTCTGGAAATAGAACAGAATAAAATGGCATTATGTTGACCGACTTTACAGCCCGTGGCAATCGGAAAGGGCAGATGGTGTCGAAGATGAAGAGAAACCGACCCGCTGACCACGAAGTGGATGTCATTCCGCGGGCCTCACGACCGAGTGCCACATCAGGATTGGAAAGCATGGAAATTGGTGAGAACTCGGAATCGTCTTTTGAGTTGATAGACGACTCTCTGTTTCTGGACCTCGATTCGCGCTGGGATGAAGATCTGGACTGGATTGTATCTGCTGAACCTGAGGCGCAACGTAATGCCCTCACGCCTCCCACCGTGGCTGAAGTAGCAAGAGACTGCTTTGTAGATACTGCGCACTCAGTGGAGATGTCGACTCTCGACCCTTCCATCCTATTCATGAATGAGTCGACAGCCCTGCCACCCATTCCTCAGGATCCTTTTGACCAGTATCTATTTACCTACTGTGAGTCTCAGTCCCCCCTTCGTGACTCCATCTGCCGAAAGATTTGGTGACCTTTTTCTTCCTTTCTAGATATGGAGACCCTTGCTTTGCGACTGTACCCGGTCAAAAAAGACCAAAATCCCTATCGAACAATATATGGGGCTCTTGCAACGGAGTCAGAACCTCTATTGAAGTCGATCATGCTAGCGTCTGCACTCCATCTCACTAAGCAAGGACGATTACCCAGGTTTGCCATCAAGCCCTACCGCGTGGCAATGCAAGAGTCATTCCGCGAGGCCTTGAAAAGCCAAGATGAGGCATAGAGCCTGGGAGTAACTGTCCTTCTCTCCGTTGTCTTTGATGTATACCGTCTTCTTCCCGTCATGCAGAAAACGCATTAACTCTCCTCAGATCATCGGTACCGGATTGGCGACATGGAGCTCGAAGCTTATAGGCTGTCGTCGACTGTTGGAAATCGCTTTCTCGGCTTCAACAAGTACCAAGACCCTCACCGGCCTGCATTGTGTCCTTCTTCAATACAACTGGGCAGTTACGATGGGCAAGACCCTGGTTAGAGGCTTGGTACCGGAGGAAACTCTCAACGAGCTTAAATGCATCGATGAATGTGAGAGTCTCGCCCTACTAATCTAGTTTTATGCTTAATACTGCAGATAGACTGACGGCACGCCTTTCGTTCTGGCAATAGTACCATCTCGAGGCAGCTCCACCGAAGGGCTAGAGATGGCCTCCCATCAGCGTCAATGGTGGGACAACTTACCCGACTACCAGATGCATCTCTTCCTGCGCGAGGCGACCGATTATTCCCTCGCTGTGGCTCGGATCAGCGCTACCGGATCAAAGGACGAGATGTTGCGGTTGATGCCCCGGGTCGCGGATTTGGTCAACAGGATCCAGGGATGGCACCCGAATATATCCACGGTTCCTGAAGAATTCGTCAGCTCAATTCAGCACTTCAATTGCATCTGGAAGGTGGGCATGCTGTGCTTTGTGTACAGCGAGATATATGCCCTCGGGCCCAATGACGACCTGATCAAGGACTTGGTGCAGGCTTCCATGGAGCCGCTGGATAAATTGTCTTGGCTCCAGGCTTGTTTGTTCCCTGTGTTCATGATTGCCCTGCATGCTCGGACCGAGCAAGCACACTCCAGGTTTGAGGCGAAGTTGAATGAAATGCACACCGTTTTAGAATTTCAGGGACCGCTTTCCGTGATATCCATTCTGAGAGCCATATGGCAACAGACGAGTGCCACTCACGAGGGTAGAGTGCAATGGAGGGAGGTTATCAGGGAACTAGGAGCGGAGATCAACGTTTTACTTTGATGGGCTGATTATCTCTCATGTTTCCGTGAGTCTTGCCATGGAGAAGATTGTAGCCACTTTATGCCCTAAGCTCAAAAGCCTAATTGCGGGCCTCCACTGCCTTACTTTTCAGCATTCCTCGCCCATAACACGCTTTTATGGGTAACATTAACTCGATACAAAAACGCTGATCAATCTAAAAGGAGTCCAGAGGCCGACCATAGAGCTCACTCCCTATACACATAATGACCGCCCGAGTAGGAACAGATGAATGAAGATTGTCACTTCACAGGTCACGTTATCAACATAAGATCTCCAGTAAGTTGAGCAAATAATCACGTACATGCGCCCGGACCAGCCAAGTCAAGACATCTCCATGTTTATTGGCCTGCGATAGAACTTTTATAGATTGCTTATCAGTGGCAAAGGCTTCATAGTTCAACCTTTCCTTTCTTGTCTCTAATATGCTATCAAGATATCTTATCATCTCTGATAGGGAGCAGGATGCCAATACCGAATGTCGGCCTCCTTTCAGTTCGGTGTAGTGAGCCAGGGAACTAAATAGCACTTTCCTCTTTAAAGGCAGACAGATAAGGTGATGATCCTTTCAAACTTCAAGCAAATCTGCCAACAGAACTCACCAAGCCCCCGTCGCTATGTCTCTAGAACCTGAAACACAGTCTCCCCATATATTTGGTCTCTGGAGCGCGATCGGTCTAGGGTGGCTGACCCTCAATGTCTTTGGAACTCTGTCATTCATCATCGTCGTAGGGTTACCGGCCGGCGGTGTCCCGGTCATTCTTTACGGATTGTATATACAATCCCACCTAGCCAGCCGGAGAGAGTTTGGCGCCGTGTCGTTTTTCGCATCTGACCGCCATGTGGACAGCATCGGCTCCAATATCGCGGTGATCTGCATGGTGATGACCTTTGCCCAGTGTGCATCAAGGTTCTCTATAATGCCGCCGCCATCGTGTTTTGTCTGATTTTGATTATCAACAATGCCACCTCGGCGTTGGGCAGCGCGGTAACCATGAGCCGACAGGGCTCTGCGTTCGCCCGAGACGGTGGCCTTTTTTGGAATGCTCAGTAGGTTCTTCGGGATTTTTGAGGTTAGAAAGGTCACTTGACATTCGACCCCTAACAAAAGATACTCTGGGCTAGGCTCGCCAAGCGTTGCTTAAATTCCAATCTGCCATTTTGGTCGATTACCCTGCCGTCCCTGATTTGCGCTCTGGTGGGATTGATGTGCGTATCATTTGAAGACGCCCCTCTGTCGTGCAGTGAGATACCCGATCTGACACAAAGTCCAGTTATCTCCTCTCCAGCTCCGCCTACAACGCTTTCGTCGGCTCTCAAGTTACCTGTATGATAATCAAATTCGGTATGGCATCAGCTCTGAAACCCCTAGCGACCTATGAAGGGCGCTAATTGGCAAGTTATTGCAGGCTCTCCGGCCCTTATTCTTCTCATCACCAGAGGCCAACTGTTGCCCGAATGTGATCGATGGAATTTTGGGGCCTGGTCCACCCCGATCTATCTCATTTCGGCGCTATACTCAATCCTGGTTGTCGTTGTTTCCGTCGTAAGTCTCATACCTGTGACTATCCCAGAGAACCACTTCCTTGTACAGTAGCCCCGATTTATTGACAATGGGTGTAGCTCCCTCAGTCCCATCCAGTGACCACTTCCAATATGAACTACACGGCTCTGGTGATGGGCTGCTTGGCATTGGCGATGACACTTGCGTGGATGTTTGAAGGGCGCAGATTATTTTCACCTCCGACAAATGACGATGTGTTAACTGGAATAGTCCCAACATTGAGCGGGATAGAGCCGGACCCTGAGGCAGGTGAAGAAAAGGCATCTTCGTTGACTAAACGACCGGAGTTGGGAAAGGGAGTATTCATTACGCCCATCACACTATAGTACATGCTGCTCTGAAATGAGCTACGAGTACCTTGACAGTCTGCCAGGATTATGATGATAGTGAGCCATGTATGTAGCTCATCCGCCGTAGGTCAAATTCGGTCCCACACAATTGACCTGTTGTCCTTCAAAATTTTAGACCCAACTCCTCTACAACCTCTTCTTCTCCCCCTCCTACTCGTTAGAAGACCTCCGAAAGAACCAGTAGACTAACAAGGCTAGAGTAATATATAAAATTATACATATATATTCCTTTGTAAAGTTATATAGCTCGCCTATGCCAACTTATACAAGTACAGTACTTTGGGGAGCAACCGGCGGCACTAAGTCGGGTCTAGAGCGGAAAGGGAAAATGGCTAGTAACGTACTGAGTACCTAGTGACTTACTACCTAGTTAGTAGTAATCCTACATTAGTACTCCGTACTAGGAGTCAATCTAGTCTAGGCTCCAAGCGAGGGTCTTCCAGGCATCCTTTGTGTGGACCCTTAGCGTCCCGCCACCACCACCCGATCCCACCAAAATAAAAGGCCACATCGCGCCCCTTTTACCTTTTACAAGAAGAGAAAAGAAAAACACTCCAAAATATCTCCAGTCGCTTCCACTTCGACACCCTGAATCTCTACACCTCCAATCGCAAATGGCCACTTTTCCAATCATCTCCAAGGCCATCGCGGTGTTATTCCTGACCTCGTGGACTTTAACCGCTTTATTCTTCACGGCCCTGGACGCGCTCAACTCCGACCAAAGCCTGATTGGCCTGATCGTCCCCACCAGCCTGCTCACCTTTCTGGTCTGCCGTCTGTTCATCGCATCGCAGCCGCCTAATGGTGCCGGAGCTGGATCCCCCACGGTCGCGCAAACCATCACCAGCGCGCACCGCCACTCGCCGCGCAACGCGCTCATCCTGCTCCTGTTCACCCTCTCCTGGCTCTACGAGCTGCTCTTCAAGTGCGTCGGCATGTTCATCGTGACGCTGGTTGGCGGCTTCTTTTTCACGGCTATCCACAACGATACCCTCGTCGCAAAGAACGGGACCGACGTCAGCGAACTGGAGTCCACGGCGATGGCGAGGATGGCCGATTTCCAGGACAAGACCGGGGTCGACCCCACGCAGATCGTCAAGGCGATCCCCCCGCGCGCGCTGCTCTACTGGGTTCTTCTGGTGTGGGTCAATCTGGCGACCTTGGGGCTCTATATCTTGCGGCTGGCTTGGAAGTCGTTGAGGATGGTGCTTGGGGGTCCGACTGCCGCTCCTGCGGTGGCTGATGAGAAGAAGGTAGAATGAGGGAGGCATTTCGGTCGGAAATGGTTCAATGGCTTTCTGTTTTGTTGGAAATCATCCCAAGATGCGGTAATAGTTGGTGTACATGTTACTGTTTCACGGGGCCGGGGACCAGGTAGGAGAAGTACTAGCCTTCACTTTGATCTCTACCCGCCGATAACTTACCATTAAGTGACCGTGAACACCCACTGTATGAACCATCATAAACCTCACACCCCACAAACTGAAAGACGGTCGCCTCCTCAATCGTCCTCACCCGGTCCGTCAGCAGAAAACTCGTCGTCAGCCAATCGATCCCGTAGTACCAATCTCTATCCCACAAGACAAACATACTCGGCAGACCCCGCGGGACCAGCATCACATCAGCCCTTTCACTCAACCCGAGCCGATACCACTCCTCGCACGTCTCACACGCACTCCGCATGGTATGGTCGAGGCATTCGCCCTCCAGGTAATCCGCCATTCGACAAGGTATTCCCCCTCGTTCGAGCGGATCCGGGTCTTGCCCTGGCAGAGAGACAGCTGGAATTGAGCGCCGTAGTTGTATGACCAGCCGCGGAAGGCCAGCTCGCCTCTGGGGTTGTGCGTGTCCCCGGAGATGCGGGAGCCGCCGTTGATGGCATAAAGAACGAAGCCGGTATCGGGCTGGTAGAGATGTATTCCGTCGGCAGAGATATAGACTTGCTCGGGATCACTGAGGTGCGGAGTCAAGGGTGGGTCCGTTGCGTTGTGGTTCTCGGTGATGGTGGTGGCGGTGGTGGTGTTGAAAGTATGATATGAGTGACTTGGTCGTCTTCCGGGTCGAGCTGGACGTGAAGCGCCTCGCGGTCCGATGCATTTTTTAATGGTAGAAGATTCGGGTCTCGTCGGTCGAGAGGTGAAATATGCTACCCTTCCAGATGAACCGATTATTCTCGTGGTGAACGGCGAGGTAGTTTCCATTCACCATGAATCGGACAGGCTTCCGGCACGCTCATTTTCCAGGAGAGGCTGTTCATATGACCCCGATGCTACAGTGAGACGTGCTGCACTTTCTGAAGGATGTACGCAGTTGAGAGTTTGGGTCCGGGGTTTCAGGGTCCATTTGTACGCCATGTGGGTCCCGGGCACCCACTGCGTCTCCCAGCCTCGATTCGAACAGACTAACCAGAGTCCACCTAATTAATGGGATATGCGCTCAATTCAAGATACGCTAGGATTCAAGCGAGGACTTGAGGGCCTTGTCTCAGCCAAGCCACCACACCGGCATTATCACCCTTCCAGCACGGACACGCCTTCGAGCAATTCCAAGTATTTACTTCGGATCTGCTCGCAAACACCCCAGATCCTCCGTCGGTTAGCCAACCCAAAGACATAGTCGTCATTCTCAGCCGCGTATCGACTTCTACAATCAATGTTGAGCAACAGCTCTGAAGCCTGAGATTCCACCTCCTGAGATTGGAAAACGTCACAGTCCGCGAGTTCCCACAGCCACGGCACCTCGCATTCTAACTTCCGCCTCCAGACTCTGGCAGGCAAGGGGGTCGCATGCATCACTGCAGAAGCAGCCTTCAGAGAAAGGATCGAACCAACTGGCAGGGCTCTGAAGATCTCATGGCGAAGCTCAATTGGCAGTCGACTGAAGACTTCATGTTGCCGAGGGCCTGCCTTCGCCGCCGTCTTATCACTCATTCCGCGATACTTTGTGATCCGGCCGAGGTGAGCATACAATTCGGGTATCTTGACCGGATTCACCACCAGGACCTCCACAAACCTTAGCCGATAGTCTCTGACGCACGATCCTACACAGGGTTAGCTGTAACTTACCTCTTCGCCCTTGTTAGCTTCCCAGTATTGTTCTTCTGGCGGACTTGGCGCTCCGTAGTCCACATTCAGCCTGACGTGGCCCCAATCATGCAGAGCTTTGAATGCATTGAAGAGAACTTGGCGTTGGAGCTGCCGGGACACTTTCCAAACGCATCGCAGAAGGATATCCTCGTAGCAGATGGAATGGAAAGGGAAGACATGCGGTGCCTCCTCGTCGTTATAATCCTGGTATCTATTGATGGGTATTTAGCGCGGGTCAGGGTAAGTCAACGCGGTAACCCTACGCAACTAGGTTAATCTCCTCTTGAGGCTCCAGATCGGGGCGCTCCATGACAAGGTTGGGGTCTGAGGAGAGCATGAATTAGCTGGAGCCAGCTTGGTCGCCAGTGGGCGAAGGGGGGGCTACCATTTCCGATGGCAACATCTATACACCCCTAATCTGGAAGGTTAGCCGGTACTGGACTGAGTCTCGAATGGGTATTGTAGCCTTACCATGTCAGAGTAACAACCGAGACCAGTTAGATATGATCTAGCATCGGTAAGAAATCATGTCGTTTTGGTGGTGGTGAGGGGATGGCAATCACAGCGCACCTATCGGTTGCGGGTGAGTCCGCATTGATTCCCAGGGCACGGACTTCATCGAGCCATTTCAAGCTGGAGTTTTTGAGGATCTCGTAGCGGTAGTGATTTTGCTTGGTTCCTTTCGGGTCGATATCCACCCGGCTGGAAAAAGGAGCCCCGCAAATCGCACAGTAGATATCCCACTCTCCCATTCTTGCTGCTTGAGCGCGGTATGATTTTTTTTTTTTTTTGGTTTCGCTGACGAGGGGCCTCACATGTAAAAAGGGACAAAAGCGACATAAAACGGGAAGAAAAGGCTGATAGATTTATACATAATTCTTACTTGACTCTATGTGTCCTCAGCATTCCAGGCAGAAACGGCTGGCTGCCTGGAACGAATCGGTATTCAGGGTTGTTTGACACGTTTGCAAGTGACATGCGATAGGTGGGATCCGACGCGGCAGGGCTGGCTCGATGACCTTTAGGAGCACATACAACACGAACTGCAGCAAATGCACATCTTGCACGCCTTTGTCTGATGCCATTTGGGCCCAAGTATCAGTCAAGAAGAAATCATGAAGAAAAGGATACGGGTTTGAGGTGAGGTGCCTTCTGATTGATTCACAGGAACGGAGAAGAAGACAACAAAAACGAAACAGGTGTGCTCCCACGCGGATTCGAACCGCGGACCTCATGATTACTAGTCATGCGCTCTACCAACTGAGCCATAGGAGCCTCTTTGTTAAAGTAACCTTTACGCTACATAATATATTTGTCAAATACTCTAGCAATCTCACTTGACCTTTATTAACACCACTCGCTGGCTTAACAGTGCATCGGCAGTATGACATGACTTCCTTGGATTACATTATGTGTCTCGTAGCTCTACTACTAGCAGGACTATTTAAATGAAGGCTTGGAAATACCGTCCCTTTTCTATGCTTGTGGTTTCGAAGGGGCGGTGGGGTAATCTATATATTTTTCTAGGTTACGATCAAGTTTGCGCCTTGCGCACCGGGCCGACACACCCAGCCAATTCTCACTGAGCTCGATTATAAGGTAATCCGAACCATCCACAAGTGCCCACTACACAGGAGGTACTGATGAATCCTGTATCTATAATATAGTTGTAGGGGACTGTATTCACTGACAAACCTTTGGCAAAGGGGTCAACCCATCGAATCTCCACCAGCAAGTAAATGCTGATACCAGGGGACCAAATACGAGTCTGAGATAATTGATGAAGGGCCTTCGAGACATGGCTGGTTACTACAGCAATATTGCACTTTAAGCGCCTGGGATTGTGTTCATCTTACAGGGTAGGGGCTCTCGTCGTGGCTTCACCGAATGCTGGCTTGTCTTGTATGATCAATGCCAAGGTTTCTGCTATTCATTCTACAGTATGTACCTCATATACCAATTCTAAAGCATGTTAGCACCTTCCCAAGTCTCCAATGGACTGATTCCCAAGTAGGAGGAATGAGTGGCAGATCCGTTCAACAACTGAACAAGAATCGACATGCGGATGTAACCCTGAACATGACGGGTCATAGGTGAAAAAGGTGCTGCCTGGCAGTAACTTACTACACTGTCATAATATTGAGCAACAGACAACCTATCTCGACGGATAGTCATTGCCGAAGGATCGAGTTACCATCGTGGCTTTTGATTGATGCCTGGCAATCTAGACCCACTGGGGAAGGGTCTCCGGAGAATTGTGGAGATGGTGGAGTCGGGTCCATCTTATCTTCTTGGCGAGTGAGTTGGCTCCGCTCGTCAGGCAACCATCTTTCATCTGCTAGAAAACTCGATTCTTACCACTTTCGGAAACGACGTAAACTCCTTCGTCCTAGGTGATCTCTATACAGTAGCTTAGTGCTGATGCAGGAACCAACATGGGTAGATCATTGGCGAGATCCGAGCTACAAGATGGAGATCTTTTGGGGGCTTAGACGTTAGACATGAGACTTGACCAACCAACGCCAATCCTGTGCAGTACATCTTTTGCCAGAGGCCATGATGCTTTAGTATACTATATAACATAACTCAGGTGTTGGTGTATCTTGCATCTTATATAAAGCCCTGCTCCCCCATCAAAATCTAACCCCCATCAACTCAAGCCTCAACAGAAGAACAAGTACCCAGCACACCTCTCAAACAATCTCAACGCAGACACAATGCCTTGCAACGTCATCAACAACCCGAGCTTTGAGACCGGTGCTCTCGACGGATGGTACGCCTCCGCCGGTAACGTCGCCAACATTGTGCAGGGCACTATCGCACACGCCGGAAACTACTACCTGTAACAACCCCTCTCTCCCACCCCTGAAGACCGTTCTATTCAATTCTAACACTTCATAACCCTCAGCGATGTCACCGGCACAGCCAAGGTGCCCCAAGTCTCCGTCGCACAGGACTTGTACTGGCTCGATGACGAGAACGAGCACGACCTAACCCTTTGGGTCCGCGTGGCCGACCCCATCCCCAGCACGGGTCACTGCGAAGTGAGCGCATATCTCGGCGAGGACCCCGAGGCGGGTGCGATCGCCTCCGACTTGATCTGGCACGCCGACGAGTGGATCCAACTGGCTGGATCCATCCAGCCCTCGGCGCGGGATTTGACCCTGCACTTCGTCGGCTCCTGCATTGACGCTGGGAAGGAGGTCCCCGCGCATATCCTGTTTGATGATGTGGTCCTGAGTGACTGTTAGATGTGGCTGTGGCTTGACAAGTAGAGTCGCACAGAATGTTGAACATGGTCGGATTCTTCCGCGTTGAGAATATACTGTATATAGGCCTGCTTGTCGATCATTCACCAATCATATCTAGGTACACACCCTACTGGTTCTTCTGAACTTGAACGTGCATTATGGTTACTGGGCAGGAGTGTACAGAAATGGTGGAAGAGAGGAAGCCCCAATAGTCCCACTGCGGATAAGGACCGTGAGGTGCTCAACCCTAATCATCCCATCTATTGGCGCCCAATGTGCATGTCGTTCGAGTGTTGAGTACGTGGTGACACAAAAAGGCTTCTCCTCTTTCTTCTCCACAGCGGTTCTTCATAGGCTTCCTTAAAGATACATTATCTGTTCTAAGTGCCAGAGCGACCGTCTGCCTTCTGATGCCCTGTAAGCGTAGCCAATGGCGAAACAAACGCCGCTTGTAATCAGGATAAAGGCATGACTATCATTCATTTATCAATGAGATGTCTGGATTTGGTACGAGTTGATGTTATAGTTCCTTTTTCTTTTTTCTTTCTTGGCTATCATTATATCGCCTAGTCAAACAGATGGCAATGGTATCAAACAAGGCTCCGGTTCGTTGTTTATAGTTCCCCTTTCCAGTCGCCGCTACCTAAGCTTCCCTCAAGCTTCGCCCTCAACCACGGAATCTCCTCCAATCCGTACCGATACGCCCGAAACAAGGCATTAGACTCCCCCGAAAACAACCGCGCCGTCACCTCATCGGGATACGGCGCGAAGTGGGGGTTAACATACTCCCAGCAGATCTCGCTCTCGCGCGTGACCTCAAATACCCGCCCAAAGGCACTCTCGCACAGCAGTGTGTTCCCGTTCCCCAACCGCTGGGCACTGCCCATGAACGGCGTGAAGAAGGCGATGGGCTGCGAGCGATCGCGGTACTCCCAGACGATCCGCTTCGTGGCACGGTCGACCTCGATGGCGCGGGAGTAGGTGATCGACTCGCCGGTGCGAAAGGCCCCGTTGTCGAAGATGAGGATGTTGCCGTTGTCCAGCTCGGTGGCGTTGTGCTGCTGCGCCAGGGTCTCGGAGCCCAGGTGCCAGACGATGGCGCCGGTGGCCTTGTCGATGATGATCACCGCGGACACGGAGCGCAGCGAGGCCAGGATGTGCCGCCCATCGCGCAGGGGCAGGACGGAGTTGATGAGCGGATAGTGCTCGCGGGTGTAGTGCGGTTGCAGGGGGAACTCCGCCGCGCGGGGCAGCAGGTGCTCCGAGACCTTCCATTGCCACACGAGCTGGCCCGTCGCGTCGACTTCGTTGATTGTGTCCGCGTACGTCCGGCCGTCGATCTCGCTGCCGGCAACGCCGCCGAGCACCTGTGCCGCTTGCGTGGCGGACAGCAGTTCCAGGCTCGTGTAGAGCAGACGCCCGTCGCCGTAGTGATATTGGTCGTGGTGGGCGAGGGGGTCGATGAATTGGCGCACGATGGTGCCCTCGGGGTCGAGCTCGCTCATGATGCCCCCGCCGTACTTGTTGAAGAAGGGGAAGGGGAATGGGCCGCCGTCGTGTGTGGTCTGGTTTGGGGAGGGGCGAAGCGTGTTAACGGCCAGGTTGCCGTTGGCGAGGATTCGCGCGTGTCGGCCGATTCGACCAGGGAGCTTCCAGGTGTGTACTTCTTTGCCATCGATGTCGATGAGGTGCGCTCGATCGCTGGTGAGAGGGCAGAAGAGTGTGTAACCTCCGAAGGATAGTTGCTTGTCGACCCCAATGAGACCAACGCCTCGTCTCTTCAGGGTATTTTGCTCCATTGCAGGGTAAAAAAGGATGAGGCTGTGAAAGTGTCTTAATAAAAGCAGTGATTCACAGCAGACAAAGCTAAAAAAAAAAGATTCGACTTCTTAAATGAAAGTGGCAGGGGTTGACTCTGTTGTCTGCCTATGCAAACGAGATGCCGCGGGCCGGCGGCTTGCCGGCGGCATCCCGCCGGCATCGGATCCCTCCGCACTTCTGCTACAGTGATACTTATTCTGATATCAGAACATGGCTTTATCACCTCATCTACCAACCTATCCCGTGCAGGTATCGAATCAGTGCTGGACAACCAGTAAAGGATAAAAATGGAGGGATCTCGTCCGAAGCAGGTGGTGAAGCCCTGCTATCTCCCACCTGATATACAAAGCCAATATGACTGCCTCAACCAAGTCAATGTCGGTAGTGCCTGAGCCAAAGGACACCTACTTCCATGAGCCAGACGGACACATCGATGACCTTATCAACATCCCGGGGTATGACCCGAATCTCCAACCCACAGCTGGTGAAACCCGCAAGGCCAAGATGAAGGTCGACTTGTACATTCTACCTTTCATCGTGGTCTGCTTCTGCTTCTTGCAGTTCGACCGCACGAACATCGGCAATGCTTTGACAGATACGCTGCGCGTTGATATTCATGTGAGCAATTCGGCGATCAATATGGCCCAGACCCTGTTCACCGTGGGATTCATCATTACCGAGTTGCCTTTCAACGTTATCAGTCGATACATAGGCCCCGAAAGATTCTTACCTATCACCATGTTCGTCTGGGGCGTCGCCACATGGTCCCAGATCTTCATCAAGAATGCGTCGGGGCTGATCGCCGCCCGATTCTTCATCGGAGCCCTCGAAGGCGGGTATATCCCCGGGTTCGCCCTCTACATCTCACAGTACTATACCCACCAGGAGCTTGCGCTACGATACGCGATATTCTGGGCCTCAAATAGCTTTGCTGGCATTCTAGGCGGTCCTATTTCAGTCGGACTTCTCTCCCTAGGCGGTCGATCCGGGCTTCAGGGATGGCAGTGGCTTTTCTTGATCGGTGAGTTCTTCGTTCGAGATCGACTTCCCACACAATTCAACTGACAAACAATCAGAGGGCCTCCTTACCTGCTTTCTCGGTATTGTGGCGTATCTGTACCTCCCACACAGCCCCATTCGCCCCAAGACCTTCTTCCGCCGATCATATAACATCTTCACCCCCCGCGAGGCCTCTATCCTGATAACCCGGGTTCTCAACGGCGACCGCACCACGGCACAACGAGCACAAGGGCATCACCAGCGGCAGTCTATCACACTCTCTGACGTGTGCAGCACCTTCACCGACTGGCGCCTCTACGGACACCTGGCCGCCGCATTCTTGTCGATGTTGATGATCTCTCCAATGAACACCTACGCCCCCTCTATCATCAAGAGTCTCGGCTTTACCAGTCTGCAAGCCAACGGCCTCAACTCTGTCGGCAGCGCTGGCGCATTACTCTTGTCCGTTATATTGGCGCTTAGCAGCGACCGGTCGCAGGAGCGTGGGGTCCACATTGCCGTCGGATACCTCTGGGGTGCGGCGGGGCTGTTGTGGTTGGCGTTGGCGCCGGATTCGAGTGGGAAATGGTTGCTCTATGGTATGTGTTTCCCACTCGGTGCTCCTGTTTCTTGTGAATATACTTTCTTCTTTTCCCCCTCCTGCTTTTGTGTTTCTTTCACCTATAATAGGCACTGATAGCAAGCACCAGGGGGAGTCGTGTGGACCCAAATGGGGATGGGCTGCGCCCAAGCGATCAGTGCCGCCTGGCTGACGACGAAGATGCCGGAGCGGAAGCGGCCAGTGGCGCTGGCGGCGTATGTCATGAGTATTCAGCTGGCAAATCTGCCAGGCAATCAGTTGTTTCGAACGCAAGGTATGTTGCAGTTATTTATTTGTGGCGCTCTTATGGTTCATCAAGGCTAACAAAGCCAAACAGATGCACCGCGGTATACCCGTGGGCTTATCATTGCCGCCTCTTGCGCCATCGGAGCCGCCGTCATCATTTTGGTTTGGAAAGTGCTCTACCGCGTGTTCGATTGGGAAGATAATCTGGCTGAAAGAGAGCAGGCAGGGTCTTACGATGCCAGTCGAAAGGAGGATCAGCCATGAGAAAAGTGATACAGAGCGGACAACTGGGGATGTAGTTATCCGGCGATCAATTGTTGGAATACTAGATAATTAGTCATGGCTTCGCATTTGATTTAAATTATCGATTTGCATTACTTTGCAAGGTTAGCTGGTCAGACTCACTTGCGGCTCTTTGTGCTGGTCAACCCCTCGAAGCCATAGTGAAGTGCACAAGATATGCTACAACTGCCAAGGTACAGTTGCAAGGTAACTTCGCGTACCTTATCAATGCCGCTAAACCACATTGGACCTGCTATCACCCCATTCCACGCTAAAGTTCGCCATTGGCCCACTCCCCGATAAGATAAGCACTCCATCAGCTTTTCGAGTGTAAGTTACCTGATGCCCCCGACGACCGCAGTGTCTTCAAACTCGGTCGAACCATGCCTCCTGTACGGTCAGCTAGGGCCTCAAAGGCGTGTACTTCGTGCCGCAAGAACAAAACACGATGCTATCCATCGCAAGGTCCCGGCAGCGGCTGTCTTCGCTGCGCGACGCTAGCGCAGCCTTGCTCGCTGGATCCCGAGCCGACGAGCCCTAATTGCAGGTCGAGCCCGTCAACTCATTGCCGGTCGGAACATACTCAGAACACAAGCACCGTCGCTTCTGAGGTTAATCAGCGGAGTGCGGTTGATGAGAGGTTCTAGTTCTTCTTGCCCATGCTGCTTATTCAATCTTGAGCATAGTCAAGAGCTAACAGCCGTAAGCACAGAATCGCCAGACTGGAAAGAACAGTAGAGAGTTTGGTTGACCGTCTGGATGCCAAGATCGATGCCCTAGCTAGCCGGTTCAACGAAGAAACCCCTCCGAGGAGGGCAGAACAAAGTATCATTGAGCGTGAACCAGCTCCTGTGCTCCTCATCAGGGAGGCTGCCTTAGACGCTGGCGTACGCTCACCGGAGCAGAACGACGCTCATCCTGAAGTGTATGCCGACCTGATATCTTCAGGGCTGGTTTCATTGTCTATCGCCCACTCATTGGTCGAACTGTGAGTGTGCATCCCCAATCATACCTAAACTGGCACCGCTAGCTAACACTAAGCTACCAGATTCCATACCCACTACGGCAGATGGGTGAAGTTTCCAGAGGATCTCTCAACACCGGCCCTTCTCTCACGGATCAGACGATCGTCGCTTCTTACGTGCAGTGTATTGCTAATTGCAGTCAGACACACCACGCCAGACCTTGCGGACAGACTCGCGCCTCAGTTGTTCCGAGAAGCAAAACGCCTTGTCACCTCCTCCTTACTCGTGGTGCCCCAGACGACGCCATTCTTCCAAGCGGTTCTGATTTTGAGCCTGTGGTCGACGACCATCGGCCAAGTGCCGCTGAGTGTTGACAGCTGGCTTTTGACCGGCTATGCTTTGCAGCAGGCATTGATCAGCCCGGACTTTGTGGAAGTCATGCGACCCGACGCAGCTCTTCCGACCGTACAAAAACATGTCGATGCATGGTGCCTTTGGAACCACCTATGCCTGGCTCACTTACAGCATGTCCCTCCCCTCGTCGCTCGTACACGCCTACCTTACTAACCTGTCTCTCAGATACTGCGTAGGCACCCGCCGCCAGGCTCAACTGACCGACGTCGACATCGAACGCTGCGCACGATTGATGCAAACGGACAGCACCACCAACTACGAAGCGCGAATGATCGCTGAGGTCAAGCTGTACTGGATCATCTACCGCAAGTGTTGCGGATCGCAACCGGATCTCGAAGCCGTGAAACGCGCTCTAGCGAATTGGCAGCAAGAGTTCCTCGTACTGTTTGGTATCTGCCTTCACCTCCTTTCCCCACTCTGCGGTTTCTAACCATGCTTTCAGCGCAACCTCGCTCCCAGTTCCTGCGCATGGGCTTCCACTTCGCGCACCTCCTCGCCCACAGCAACCGCCTGAAATCCTCATCTCAAGAGTCATCCGACAACATGGCCACCACCACCACCACCACCAGCGCATCCCTCGTCGCCGGAATGCTGTCCCACGCGAAAAACATCATCGACCTCGCGATCGACACCACGGACGACCGAACCCGCCACCTGACGGATCAGATCTACCACCTCGTCACGTTCGCGGCGCTCACTCTCTGTCGCCTCGTGCACACCTACGAGGCGAACCTGCGCGCCACGGGTCACGATCTGGACGCGTTGGATGGTCTGGTGGTGCAGCTCGTCGACTGGCTGCGGTCGATTGGGCTTCCAACAAACCACACGGCATATATGCTAGGTGATATTGTGTTTACGCGGTTCGCCAAACTGCGACCGCATTCGCGAGTGCTGGCGTCGATCACCGCCAGGAGAGGGGGAGGAGAGGAGAAGGTGGACGCCGACTTGGCGCAACCGCTTCTCGACGACAGGTTGTTCTCGGATGATGTTCCGGCGCTGTCGTATCCCGGGTTCATCGGGCTGGAGCTTTTCGACATGGGGCTGGGCGGGGCAGAGGTGTCGTGGCCGCAGTGGGAGGGGGAGTTGTATTCGTCGACGTAGGTGACTCCTTCGTCGTGTGTATGGGCGTTCTGCTGAGTGGGGGAGGCTTCTTGAGGTGAAATGTAAGGAGAATTCCCTCCCGCTCCAGCCCTATCTCCGTGTATCTTGGAGAAAGGAAGCGGAGAATCGCGTCTGCTAGAGTTCGAGGTTGAGAATTTTGACGCAATCTCATTTTCGCTTTGTTTGCTTTACTGGTGGATGACTGCTGGATCATGAATAAGAGGTACTTCTCCCTAAGTTAGGGCTAATCCTGTCGCCGATACTCTTTCTGTTCCACAAGTTCCGAGGCGATTCTCTGTAGGATGAAGGTCTTCACCTGAGCACTGGCGACATCAATACCATGTACCAAGTATATAAGCGCAGGACATAAATCCACCTCACCCCATCCAACCCAAACCTAACCAACCCCACACAACCTACCAACTGACAAGTGACCTTTACCTCGACCAACCACTGACAAACACTAGCAACGATGGCTCCCACATGGCACACCGACCTCCGCAAGCACGCGTACGCCAAGTACGAAGAGCTGAAGAAGCACCAAGTGCTGCTGGAGGAAGTGCGCGGCGACGCCGGCACCTGCGATCTGTGCCAGACGGGGCGCAGCGAGCACCAAGGGGCGCTGTGTGAATGCTGGGCGTGCCGGCACACGTACCACCACACGTGCATCGACGTGCTGCGGGTGCGGGCGGCGAACCGGGGCGAGCCGCTGGCGTACGGGTGCCCGCACTGCGGCCGCCCGTGGGCGACGCTCGCCATGCTGGAGCAGCAGGCCGAGGAGGCCGCGCGGCGCCCGGGCCCCGGCGGCTCCCCGCGGCGCGGCCTCCCCTTCACCGACGGCATGTATACCTTTAAATTTCGAGCGGCCACGCGCCAGTACCTCTGCAAGTGGAAGGACCGCGTCACGGGCGGCATCTGCGGGCAGGGTCCCTTCGATACCTTTGAGGACTTCTACCGGCACCATTCCTCGACCCACGTGGAGATCCTGGACTACCAGTGTGATCTCTGCGAGCCGGGGCGGGCCTTCGTCTCGGCCAAGTTGCTGGTCCAGCACAAGAAGATCGTTCACTTTGGGGATCCGCGACGGGGCGACAAGACCGAGCCCGAGCCGTCCTCCGCGGTGGCTGAAGGCGAGGCCGCTGGTGGCTCCGTTGCGTCACTGGCGGAGCAGGTAGAGCTCATGGACCTCGACGTGGTCGATAGCATCGAGGACGAGGCCATGCAGGTGGACAAATAGGTGAGTCGAGCTCCTGGCTGTGTAGATACTGTCCTGTAGTATGTCTGCCGACATATCATGGATTGCATTGTCGGCGGCTGCGCATGTCTGTGGACCACGATATTAGTACGTCTATCGATACTTTCTTATTCGTTGTAACAGTCTGACGGAAACAGACAGGAAAACAAACAAACAAGCAAAAAAAAGGCAGCTTGGAAAAATAGGCAGGAAAAGACAGAGTACAAAGTCATCAAAAAAATGGATATTTAGCACCAAATAAAATCTCGCTAACTGAGTCAATTCACCTCTCGAGTCCCGAAAAGTACACCGCACTATGATTATACATATTTCAAAAATTTTGCCGACTTCAGTCACTTGAGCAGAGATCAATTGCAAGAACAATGAGAAAACACTATCACAAGATCAACTCGCACACCATTCTGTCTAATGTGGCTCAGTTCTGCCCCCGGCCTCTTCAAATGAATTCCATCATCTTCCTTGGTTTTATCCGTTCTTGGTTTTAGCCGCGCTCAGAAGACCAACTTAGCAACCTTCCTGGCCTCCAACATCCATTGGGGCTGTGGTTTAGTGGTATAATATTCCCTTAGCATGGGAGAGGTCCGGGGTTCGATTCCCCGCAGCTCCATCCTTTTTTGTCTTTTTGGTTGCTATCCCCGTTAGCTGGAGAGGATCTGTGGTCAGATGCTGAGGCGGGTGGTGGGTCTGCGCGCTCTGCAGTGATCCACTAATTCTAGAGAAGGGCGATCAGATCTGCCGCAGAGATTCTTACGCCCAGATAACTTACCAGTTGCTGAGGGATGCGCCAGTAGCTTCATCCGTAAAATAACACTACGGAAAACGCTTTATGAATCTGTGAAGAGAAACCTCCACTTCACTGATGTACAAATCCGTCTTTAACCACATCGGAAATTATAATCTTCAAGATTGCACGCAACAGAAATGCTGACTCATTTGTTTGTGTTCGGCTGCCCACTAACTTATAATCCAGATATCCTTTGCAGAAAATACACCAGCACTTTATGAATGTCCGAAACCCCTTTACCATTCGAATACAGCCTTGTAGGCTCGCCAGCTGTTATCAAGCAACATGTCCACAATTATAGAATAGCAACCTTATTTTGTAGACTGTCAATCTACCCGAGGATACTGGGACCATCGATCATTGATTTAATGCGACACTACAATTACACGTGATGTTGAAACCGCCAGGATCGTAGTTTTTGATTGTAACAGCCCGACACTTCAGGCAAGTGCTGGTGATTTCGACATTAAAACCAGATTGGTAATGCGTCACGACAAAATGATACCCATTTGCTTAACTCACGCTCGCTTCGCAATTGCTGTGCGAGGCGTGTTCGTAGCTCAAGCGACTTCTTGATTTGTATCTGCCATTCCTTTGTCCGTCTCTCCGACTCTTTTAGTTTTTCGTTCGGGAGTCGCAGGACTCGGAAGGACGCATCGTGCGTGAAGAGATTCATGCGACTGTCAGTCCGTAGGAAATCGTCGAGATGGTCGGCGACGGTCGCTGCAAGCTTGTCGCGCAGTACGCCATCATCGCCAATCTTGAAAGCCATCGTCACCGCGCCAGCGAAGCCCTCCGGGGACCACGGCAGTTGCAGCGTCTCGTCAACCTTCTTGTGAACGAGTTCTTTGAGTCTTGGCACGCTGTAGTAATCCGCGATCTCGGCCATATGGATGTGTGCAACAAGGTTCTTCGAGAGATCGGCGGTGACGGTAGCGGTGGTAATAGCAGCGGAGGAGGAGGAGGAAGAGGAGGAGGAGGAGGAGGAGGAGGAGGAATGAGAGGGAGGCGGAACGAGGTTCTGGTCCGAAGGAGACTTGTCTGCCACACAAACATTTGCAATTAGCCTGATTCTCAGCAAGGAAGTCACAGTTAACCTTGTGAGAACATACCGGCGTCGCTTGGAAGGTCATAGTCTCCGGTGTAGAGAAACTGTACCATATGGCGGATCGAGGATAATGGGAACTCGTCCATTCGATAAACGCCGGAACAACCCTCCTTGTTAGAGTTAGCTTTCATTGTAGATCGGTCTAATTGGGCGATTAAATCGGACCTTGAAGCCTCCAGCGCAGGCAGCTGCGAATGCCTTTATCTGAGAACAGACAATCACTTTATGGACAGGGATTTCGACACCGTCACACTCCAGGGCGAAGTCGGTGTACTCTCCCATCTTAGCTTTCTTGTAGACGAGGTCGTTGACTGTGTCCATGTGGTCAATAGACTCTTTACGTTTGAGGGCCATCTTGACGGATCTCCAGTTGTAGTTGATCAGATCAGGAGAAAGTAAGGGGAGCGTCGGAAACCAGGGAGTGAAAGGTGAAAGAAGGTGATGATTTGTAAAGAGATAACAGAGGAATTTATATGGGAAACCTGTCAGGAGACAGGAGCTTGATCGCTGTCATTCACTTGAGTTCTGGTCACGCCAGAGTGGTCCTACCTCAGGCACCCATCTCTCGTGTTCTCTGACAGTCGGCTTTCCACTTCTTCATCTCCTGCTACCTACTATCTTGTCGACCTCCTGTTTATCTTCCAGGCACTTCACAGCTCTCTTCCCGGCCTTATGTTCTCATGTTTTTCCTAGTTGTCATCTCTTTCACATCCTGATCACCTGTCCACAACTACTCCGCCATCCAACGTACAAGTCATTGTCAACTGGGTCATTGTGGTGATCAATCTGAAGAGAACGCTTTCGAAATGTTCGCCAAGTCCCATTTAACAAGGACCATGATGCACATTAAGGCGATTCAAGAATCTGATGTTGTCAGCTTTCCATTAGATGAACCGGACAAAAGACGAAAGAGCGAAAGTCTGTGCCAACGCAGACCATTCACCGAGTCGGAATGCTCAGTGCCCTCCAAGGTTCGAGAAAGCTACAATATTGAGGAATACACCATAGAAGCCAAGAGCGGAGTCTTGACCTACGTCTAGCAATCGCGATGACGGTGAGAGAATGCTCAATGCTTGTCGCCTCGAAGTAGCTGAAGGGGTAAGCGAGCGTAGCAGTTCTCTCGCCCCTAAGCCTCGCCCTCCGCCCCTTCCCCGCTCTTTCCGTTCTTCTCCCCTCAGCAACATGACCATCATTATAAAAGTTGACCCCAGGCCAATACGGCCCTTTGCGAGTTGTTGCTGCCGATAGACCATAAGACACACTGCGTTCTTGCATTCCTCGGAGCCGGATTCCGCTCTGGCTATGCGCACTTATGTTGCCAGCATTGGGTCACTGCTAATCAAGATAATGACTCTGGCGCCGTGGACGTACAGGTACAGAACTCGCCGGTGAACACGGCAGCCAGATTCGAGGGAAGATGGTGACCCACCCCGTCTGCTGGGGTACCGCCCCGCACCTGGCAGGGAGTGCCCGATATCCCCTCCCTTGAACTATTCATACTTGCAGCATAGTTGGTGTATAGGACGGGCAGGTTGAAGAAACACGACGGGAGGGAGGAGGTCGAGTATCCGGATCCCGGAATGACTGTGGTGAGAGGGGTGTAAGCTGCATGATAGCGGTTGTTTGTTGACTGGCACTGCAGGGAGCTCCTGACCAGAGCAGTTTGGTTGATCTTATAAGTGCTATATATCAGGTCCGAGACGTTGCCGCTGAGCGGGATGGAGATGTCCGTGTTGCTTGCCCCGGATCCGGGAATCTCAAGCGTGTAGCACACGGGGTCGTCAGAGTCCAGGTCCAGCACCACTCCGCCCCACATTGAAGCGCACTCCTCGACTCGGTGACCATTCTGAACGATGTACACATTGGCGCTGGCGAGTAGAAGACCGAGCAGGACCTGCTGGATAGGCAGGATGAGCTCGTCGGCGAGATTACTGCAGGCCATGTTGGGGTCGGCGAAGCGGCCCCCGGCAAAGACTCTGGGTAGCCGGGTAGTGTAGTAGGGTCCGAACCGATCATTGGAGGTGTCAAGTGCATAGCCTGGGAAGGAGGAGAGATTGCCGGTAGCGAAGACTGCATGGGCGAGCTGGAAGAGGCTGTTATTGTATTCCTGGACCCCGGCGAAGAAACGAGTTTTCAACACATTGCCAGGATCGGACAGAAAGACACTGCTGTTTGTAGGGTCGGTGGGAGTATCAACAGCGGATATAGTGCTGAAGATCCCGCCGAGCAGTGTTGCGAAGGAGTTGGCGAAGTTGTCGATAGGACCGAGCCCGCTTCTGACGACAGTAAGTCCCGCAGCTACGGCACCTATGGCCCTGTCCAAACCGGCCTCGTCATTATGCAGTGTCAGATACCGAGTTATGCTGTTGACCAGATTGTCAATTTCCAAAGCGGATATGAGATTTTCTCCAAACACCTCTGAAGCCATGTCCCGCAGGCACCGCTGGAAAATCGCGAAAGAGCGCTGAGCAAAGAAATATGGCACATGGTCAGTACCCAAGGGGCAGGTTTCAGGTATGGAGCAGGAGCTGTTGTCGCTAAGATTCGCACAATTCGTGACATTGACCCCATCGAAAGCGTTAAAGTGGGCATCGAGGCTCGGGAGTGTGCTTGTCAGAGCACGGCGAGTTGACGAAGAATGACGAGTCGTCTCGAATTCCAAGGCCAGCCCAGCTTGACTAAGATACCAGGAGTCCGTGGCTGATGCATTCAACAGCAACTGCTGACAACCAACCGTTGCATTTGCGCTGTTCCAAGGGATGTATCGCAGAGCTGAGGTCTCATAAGTACAACCGGTTGTCGTGTGCCCCGGTACCAGTGGCAAGACCTGATAGTTCAGGTTGTAGAATCCATCCCTACAATATGAATCAGGGCATTTACCTCCTGAGGCATGGTAAAGGATGTCGCCACCGGAAATAGGAGCTAACACCATGGTAACATCACTCCCGCCATGCACATCCGGGCCCTGAGCGAAATTCAGGCCGGCAGTCAAGTTGCTGGCCACCACCCGAACACCATCACCAGTGGTGATGAAGAGCGCCAGTTCGCTGGGGTTATAACCTCCGACCGTCTCGTTGAGAACAACCGCCCACTGGGTCGTGTTGGAAAATGTCTCGTACCCTGCAGGTTTGCTCCAGAAGGTGGTAGTAGGCTCCCCGATGTCCTCAAAAGGGCACGGTATATCGAAGGCCGGGGTCTGGTACCAGATGGCGCCGGCTGCCTCATTCCCATTCTGAGGTCTCATTTCCGATGGGCCCCGAAACGCCCTGAAAGCGGTCGCAAACGAGTGGATGAGCGGCTGCAGGCCTGTATGAGGCCAGATCGTCATGTTGGCGTAGTTGTTCAGCGCAGCATCGCCATTCTGTTCCGGCCACAGATTTCCAAGATAGTGTCCCTCGGGACCATCGTTCTATTTGGGTCAGCTCTGCATTATCTTTTATCATCCAAATCCGGAACAGATGACTCTTACCCAAGTAATGTATTCAACGAACTGCAACGTGTCACTCTGGATGTTCAAGATGTCGCTCAGGCGTTGCATGAGGTTCTCTCCACCTTGGCGATAGATATTTGTTCCATACTGCTCAGTCTTGTCAGCCTCGAATTTTTATTGGTAGCATTGTGAAAGCTGCTCATACTGAATTCTTATACTGCATCAGACTCAATGCTGTTGACAGTCGTCATCAGTGAAAAGCTCGGACCAGAAAGGTACACAGGAAGACAAACGTATCATGTAAGATGCACCCTGTCTAGCGGCCGCGTCAATGACCACTTGATCCCGGGCAATTCCTCCGAGCCCACCAGTCTGGTTCGAAGCCTGTTGCCCCAGACTTGGCCAGGCAGATTCCCAACTGAAGAGGCCATCGGTGAGATTGCCCCACGCATCCCACCAGCCCGCTTGACTGTCCCAGTAGCCCTCCGTGTCGTCGAGGTCCGGGATCCAATACACCTCGAACCCCAGGTCGGACAACGAGGCCTTGAAATGATTCCACGTCTCCCACGTGCCCCCACCTGAGGTAAACGTACTGATCACATACTTGCCGTCAACCTGGTAGTACGCCTCGAGTGCCATCGCCTCTTGACACAGGGAAACGTAGTCGGCAGCGCCTGCGCCGCCGCACGATGCCCCTCCCGAGGCGTACACATCCATACTGATAAAGATCCCGAATTGGAGCTCCTGCATCTCGATGTAGCGTCCCATCTCTTGGATTAGGTCCTTGGCGAACGCATCGGTCGGACATTGAACATTCAAGGCGAAGCCATCGAGACCCATCGCGATCGCATCGTCGACATCTTGCTGGATATGGTCCTTTGTGGTGGTGCCGACCTGATTAGGTGAATTAGGGCTTACTCACTGCTGGCTGCGGAGAATGATATACTTGCCATGTAATGCGCAAATACTGCACGATTCGCGGCCTGAACGAATGGCACCAATGCCAGCATCAGAGCTAGAAGCATTTTGGAAAAGGCCTTGGCGCTTTTGTGTCGAGGAAAACTTGCTCTCTTTGTTCTATTGTTAATGTATGGTGAGTCGGAAACGGCAAAAGGAAAGACGGCACTTGGTCCGGTTACGAGGCACTAGAAAGTAGAAGGATGGAAAGCGAGTGAAAATAAAACAGAGCTCAAATTAAAAATGAGTAGAGCAGGGATTGACGCGTTTGTCCGGTTCCAAATGCGATGAGGCCTATCCTGAATATATGCATTCTGAGGTTATATGGCAGCGTCCGTGGTTGTAAAGGTTTCTGTCATCGTGCGGAAGGCGCCAATCAAGAAGGATGCTGGGCGAGATAAATCCTTTGTTTACAGTCCCGAGGAACAAGCACATGTCGGAACGGAAACAGTTTGTGAGTTTCAGCGTGGGGCAAAGCGCAGGAATGCTGACGGTTGGTGTGCGATCCTACCGCCATCATTCCTCAATGGACGCGCTGCACGTGAAACATGCCTGCATATTGAACCCCTGGCGTCTAATTAACTTTGATCTCGCAGATGTCTCGATCCACAGCAGGATCGCGTCAAGCACAAAGGTCTAACTCAAACAAAAGTCCATTCATCCAAATCAGACGAATTCGGCCTTTCCCTCGCATCCTCCTTTCCCTTGGCCTATCTCAAAATATAATGACAATCGGTAATCGCGATAAGAGAAAAGCTTAGGGCACTAATAAAAAATCAATTCTGATAAGTCAGCCGCTTTATGACACCCTAATAGTTGCAACCTATCGTACTGCACTCATACGAAAGCCCCTATCTAAGACCCTTGTCTGATGCTTTGTGTAATATTACTTTCCTCGAAGGCACAAGTTCTTTGAACCACAGAACAAAGAAACTTCAATATTCGGAACGCAGGACTTTAAATACGGCTAATACGAAGCTGTCGACTCACACCAGGCCTTTCTTCTATCTGACACCTTAAGTCCCCAGGTAAACCACCTTCACCTTTAAAATGGCAAGCTTCCCGTTGCCATACAACTTCTCCACCCCGTGCGACAACATAGAAGTCTACCCCCTCCAGCGCAACGACCAAAGGGTCTTGATCGTAATCCTCAAGTGCTGGAAAAACACCACCGACGACTGGCTCCCCGCGATGGAAATGCTCCGGAGGCAATGGTGGCATCAGCGACAGGCGCACCCGCATCTTCACCGGAAAAGAATGGGTGGGGTCCTCATCTCCTCGCAAAACAGCTTTCGGATGTTCACCGAGTCCCCGGAGCTGGACTACGAGCCTCAGCAGTTTGTGTACCAAGGTCGGTGGGTATATCCCATGACGTCTGATGGCGAAGTATGGGCGGAGTTCGAGGAGGATGTTCAGGCTTTCTTCCGCGTTTTCGATGAGGATCCCTGAGGTCTTCGTACTCTATTCCATCCGGGGGGAAGGGCAGTAGGTAAGTTAGGGCCGAGGATTTTAACGGTGGCGATGTTGAAATTAAAGCGATGCTCCATCCGAGGAAATTAGAGGAGATAACAGTTTTATCAGCAAGTCTCTCTCGACAGCACTAGAGAGTATACACAAGTATACGCAAGACTGTCTACCCAACAACAAGCAAAATTAAGTATATCGATCGAATCCTTGACATTGACAACAAACGTCGGGTTTTCTCCGGATCTTGGTTCAGCTCATCGTGCTCATTGTCAGCCGTCACCCGTGGTATTTCAGAAAGAGAGGTTGAGACTCTCATCTTCGCCTCTGCTAGTCTAGCCCTAATTCATACTTACCCCGCCACTGACTCTAGTACTTATTCACATGTGTTCAGCTTGTCTGTATCTCCTAAGAGTATACCGAGCTCAGATCACTCTCACAGATGAGGAGATAGCAACACCTCGCTTTTGTTTGAGGGAGCAGATGTAAGGGATTGGGTAAGTTCGGCAGATCCCTCTGGTTTTTTCGGGGGGGGGAAGTGTGGCGTCGAGCGAGATTCGACGTAACAGTTATTACCCTGGGATATAACTAGCGGAATATACATCCGTTGTCTAGCTATTCTTTGAACTCTAGGAAAGAGGAAAGACAATTGATTCTACCAGAACCCAGAAAATGAAAGACAGTAGAGAGAATAAGAACACAGGCTTATGATAGCTTGTCGTACTCGCATATGGTCCAGGAGCACTTTACCAAATTCTTTGTGCAAAAACACTACTTGCTAGCGAGGGTTTCTGTTAAGGATGTTGCTTCGCATGTACAAAATTGTATCTTGATCAACTCTTGCAAACTATCTAGCACATACGACCACAGGGTGTGGAAAACAGGGCTTCCCGTCCGCTCAGCCGTACTTAAGCCACACGCCGGGAGGTTAGTAGTTGGGTGGGTGACCACCAGCGAATCCCTTCTGTTGTATGTTTTTGGTCTTTTCATTTGATTCATTTAATTAACTCTTTTGGAAAAATAATAAACACTTCCGGCTGTTCTCTCTCTGCCTTTATCTCTTCATGGCTCACCTCTTCACTATGCCTAACACGCAACCAGCCCCTCCCACCTGATGTCTCACTACCGCACGATTTCCTCCGGCTCCTGTTCCAAGCCTTCTGCTAAGCTTTGGCACGGACTCCCATCTGGGCTACCCTGCGTTGGCCCAGGGAGGCATGCAACACCGGGTGGGTCAGAACTTCAGATGTCATGTGTAAGTTAGAGGCTTTGCCGCAGCTAGTAACTAGATTCAAACAAAGTTGGAGCCCCCGCCGGCTCAAAGATCCGACATGAATCCAGCTACACCGTTGTGCTTTTTTTTTTTTTTTCAAATATTAAAAGTTATTAGATTTGGCTTAAATAAGACTTGATGTATCTCTTAATGTAATAATGTCCTTATTTCATTCTTTCTTGTCAGGCCTGCCTCTAACTTTCAGAAATTTGATTATACAACATAAGCATTAACACTATTCCGGAATTCTTACGACAGTAGAAATCCTGACCCAATAAGAGCCGACGCAGGTGATAATTCCTGGCCCGGTCAGAGCTAGCTAGCTCTAAAATCCAGCGCTTGCAACGAGGAACCAGGTACTTAGTACTACATGTGACTTCAGACCCAATCACACGATATCCTGACCCAATCGGCGCTAATGCCCCGCGTTAATAGGGCTTCATAGCACCGTGGATTCCGGTCATTCCACTGCTGAACGTCGTCTCAGAGCTACGTGTTCCATCGCGAGTAGAACGCCCTGTCTGCATGCAGACAGTGATCCCCACGAGCTGACGCAAAGAGAGCGTTACAAGGTGACTCTATACAACGTACTAACCTACCTGAACTGGCCATAGTCGCTGACGAGCTCTCACCTCCAAATTTCTCCAGATAAATTTGGAGTCGAATTGCAAGGTATAGAAGCCTCAAGCTGAAGACCACCAACAACATGGCCGGCATGGTTTCAGGTACAATCTCGGACTGGCAGCCTTGTCAAACATCTTTATCCAGACCACCTTCCCCACGAAGCATATGCCCAGTTCGTCCATGATGTGCTGGTTAAACACCCTAGAGAGGTGGCGAAAATCGTGGGACCTATAGTGGGGCCAGTTGCACGCGAAGTTGACGAGGCTTTGACCATTCTCGCCCTTGGTCCTGGTACCTGGCCGTTCGTGGTAGCTATGAAAGCTCTATCCCTCTCTGCGCGCGGTTGCCGGGGCTTATATCGATACCTCATTCGGTCTTCCGAGTCCATGGGGTACACACCAGACAAAGACCTTGATGCTATTGCTAGCCGCATGACCGTGGAAATAATGACAAGAATCACATCGACAACCATAGCTGTCGGTACTTCAAACGCTTCTCTCCCAGAGACACTGGTGGCCGGTGCTAGCCTCCCAGGTCGGAGCTTAGGAATAGACAGCAGCAGCAGCAGCAGCAGCAGCAACAACATCGCAGTGAGCCGCATTGAGAACTCCCAAGCCACCCACGGCATTTGCAATTCAATTGTCAACCATGTTAGAATCCATGGACCCCAAATAGTCCAATCCACACAAGTGGCTCAGGTGATCAAAGAACTGAACTATGTTTCCACCGACCTCGGCAACGGTAATTGTCTAACGGCATCGGGTAGCAGCGGGCCAGATGGCTACGGCAGACATGTATACGATCTCGTTCAATCTAAGCTCGGAGACATTGCGCCTGCTGACCGGCGTTATCATCGAATTTTCGTCTTCCACCGGAGCACAATCTGGCACCCCGCATTCGACCGGCTGGCGAGCGAGAGCCCCCTTCCAACCGAGTATTGCATGAAGAGAAAGAACCTCGATGTGCTTTGCCAGGACATGCAAAAATACCGACGACGATTGACGGCAGAGTTGAACTATGGCAAAGACATTGTTTTCCACGTGCTGGTCCCATCTTGATACAAACTATGCATCCGTGAGCCGTTGCATTTCCCAGCTGACCTGTATCCACTTCGAATCGAGGACGAACTCTATCATGGCAAAATGGTCGTCCAGATGAACCTCCCCGCTGCACCCCCGGGGCTTCTTCCTCGATCCTGGACACTGGGATACAATAGCTGCAGGTGCCGCACTTGTCACAACAATGCCCAGCAGTGGGGTGGGGTGCCATCGGTGCTTGTCTCGCTCTGGGCGTGGGCGTGGGCGCTCTAACAGGGCTTGGGGCATTGGTTGCAGTTCCGATCTGGTTTGCGACTGCGCCGAAAGCCATCGAAAAAACGCATTCTGTGATATGTCCCGCTGTCTACGATGCGCTCCGTGAAGAGGCGCCGAGAATTCTCGGCTCTACTCAGCGCTTGTACAGGGAGGCAGTGAGCCGTTAGTGAGAGCACGCAAAGCATGGAGGGTCGTAGCAAGATGCTCTATGACCAAAACCTAGAGAAGAAAGAATGGACAAGTGCTAGAGCGGGAGTGCCTAAGGTATTCAGATCACCCATGTCGCCCACAACTACAATACTGGACAGGGCAATGCCTCTAGATCTCAGGCAGACCGCTAAGCAGGGGAGGGTGTTATCGTTGCCTGATCTCTGAAGCATAGAATTCACGGACGTTGATAGATCGTGCTTGATCACTTGATCGGCTCTCTTATGACCAATCAGGTCTACATGGTCCTAGTTCTGAATTCTTTAAAGACAGCAGCCGAACGGCCAATCCACTTCTGCTGGTCAAAATTTGTCGAAACCGGGCTTCGATCTCCTGTACCTGCGGTAGAAGTTGGAGTATGCGTTGAGCGTAATCCTCTCCCTCCCATTTATCTAATGCGTGTCCGAACGGCGTGATTATTAGTGTACACAGGTATAAACGCCCGACGGCAGTGAGCGCATACGCTGTCGATTCTGCAGAGCAAAACCCTACGACAGCAGACTCTTGCACTATTTTCCGACGAGGCTAGAAGTGGCATCTCCAGAATAAGAGCTATGCAAACTTGATTCACTACCTATCCTGGCCTCAAAAGACTGTGTGGGTCCACATGCCGCGAAATGACAGACGAGACAAAATCAACGAGAAACAATCAAACGCAGATAAGGCCAGATGGTCATCACAAATGCGCGGTAGCTGGGGCCCACAGGTACATTCCACAACCCCAGTCCGGTCTCTCTCTCTCTCCGACCCGAGTTACAGGCATACATGCGACCTGCCAAGCCCCGTCACCCACCGCGCTCCTCGTACGGGCCAGCATCCCACTCAGGGGAGTCTCAAGAAGAACTGCTGATTCTGTTCTCCATTATTAGTCCAGAGAACGACTGGAGTCTCGTTGTCAGTCCCGGCCCGGAAGACATCCATCACAAGGTCCGGATAGACAACACTGTAAAGGCTAGAATTCCCAATCCAGACACGGTTAGCACGTGAACCTTTCATGGGGGAATCAAGGCAAGAGGTATGCTCTCGAGCAGAAGGGTGTCAGTTACTTGTAGGCTCCACTTCCACCGCGCACCGGAACCACCTTCCAGCGCACCCTCTGGTCAACGGGCGGGAGGAGATTGCCAGTGACGGGGGCGTCAGTTTCACCTATCGATCGAATGTATTAGAAAGATTCCCATCGGAGCCCGAGGTGGGTGGGGCGGGGGGCAGAAGGTAGGGGAAAAGGGACTTCTTTCATACTGTTAGCAGTCATGTACGTGCCGGTACCCAGATTCAGAATCAGGTACTCGTCGTTGCCCGCATCGGCAAAAACAAACTCCTGGTTCGGATTGCCAGGCTGCGACTCGCTACAACGAGAGGTCAGTTCGGTCCCGGACAAAACAGAGTTGAACGGCGGGAGCCAGAGAAAGACCATACTAAATCTGCAGCGTGGTCCCGTCATTCTTGCTGCCCTGGTATAGGTCGAGTTTCTTGTCGGTGTGGCGGGGCGTGATGGTATACTTGTTTGATCCGATGAAGTCACTCATGATGGCGGATGCGTTCGCAAAGCGTATCAATTGGGGTTGGCTGGCTTGTTTGTAAGTATAAAAACTTGATGAGGAGGATGATGATGGTTAGAGAGGTGAAGAGCCCTGAATTTATAGATCAGGCTTGGAAGCCAAACGCTCAACCATGCCGCGCAGATCGACTCCGTTATTGTTTTGGAAAGTGGCCTGTAGTCAGGCTAGCGTCAGCACAGAACAATGTCAGCCCTATCAAGAAAGGATTCTCTATGCTGGATCTCGTGTTCAGCAGTGGATCTCAAGGTTGCACGACGCGCGAACTGCATATTCCATAAGAGTTCATGGTGTAACGTTACAAGGAACAAGCAATATTTTCTGCAACCTGGTTACAAGCAGTATGCGGACTTCTATAACCCAAATTTCTGCTGTATCTGAATAAACTAATTACGTAAAAATTCGAAATCTGACCGAGCTTGCGTCTAGACGATATATAGATCATGGGTGGCAAGGTTTATTTGCATACGAGAGCAGTGCAATGGCATGGATATGATACACAAATGATCATGAAGAAGCCAGCTTACCTTATGTTTACTGGCTTCAAACTATTGTAATGCAATGGGATGAAGATGACGCTGTTCAATACAATACTAGGACACCCCCTCACATGTTACCTCCAGTATGTGAAACGCTTCGGGGAGAGTACATGCTCAGACAAGGCAAAGAGCCACAGAAAGATGCGAAACTCCACGAGGAAGAGGAGCTCATCATTCAAACCTCACAGTGCACACGGCATGGAAAGAGCTCTCAAGTTGGGAATGAATTGCTCGTATCGCACGCAGAAACACGAGATTGGCCCAGTCAGCAACTAGGTACAAACTATGTCAGTCTCCATAGCAAGATTCAGGGCTGTTCACCAAGCAAAGGATATTAAGAAGGTTAGAAGGGAGATAACACAGCGCGAACGGGGTTCTGCTTTCCGGCTCATCGGGTCACCGAGCCACTATGTGCGTGTCTCGGCAGGTTATCATGTTATATAATTTTCGCAGTAACATTGCTTTCACCTTCTTATCGGCTCACTTGAATCACGTAAGTAACAATCATCTGTGGAGAGCCGAGTTACTTCCATAAGTCAATGTTGTCGGCGTATGGTGATGCTCACCATCAGTAGAAATCGCTCCGCCCATCTGGCCACCAAGGACTTCAGCCGATCATAAATCTAGCATCAGCACTCAAGTTCAACTCTAGATAACTACCTCTGCAGCTCTTAATACATATGTGTCAGGATGTTGATAGTGGTTTTCAGCGCAATAGGCCATCCCAGCTATGAATACCTGACGCGGGTCAAAATACTGTTATTCAGGATTTCAACCTCGGTCCTATATGATATGAATCCATCCTCATACTGTTTAATAGATGTTTGCACACCTCATTATTAGCTATCTCGGGGGTATTCAGGACAGACCTAGCAGTCAACTTGACCGAGGGATCTGGAGGATGCACTATGGTTCGTCTTCCTCCATGTGATACGTATAAGCCCAGAATTGCTCGCTCATCTAGCCAGGAGGAGTCATATGCAAAGCAAGCTTGGGGTGCTACTGGCTAGTCTAGGTAGTGCTCGAGGTTGGTCGGCTGTTGCCATTATCAATCTTGAATCAGGCGGCTGGATGCCTTGAAGACTCGAAAGTCAATGCTTCATGCTTACTGGAATTGAAGGGTATTGATGGAAGCCTGGAGCGTGAAGATGGTTGATTCCAGGCTCGCTTGGAGGAACTACTAACTCCTAGTACATACCTAGTACAGTATCTTACCCTACGCCCCGCTAGTACCTTCACACCTACGTTAGGTAACTCAGGTCTAAGGTACTGCGGTAGGCATAGGTAGGTACCGTACAGGTTCCTTACTACTAGATATCTACTGTACTGTACACGCGGCCGAAGCGGTGAGGTGCCCAACCAATCAGAGGCCTGGGACTCCGTCAGGTAAGTTGTAGGTACCTTATAACAAGAGCCTGGAGTAGCCCCCAGTCATCGTGCACTGCAGGAAGGCTTTCTTTGTCTGTCGTTTGCCTTCACAAATTCCATCTTGCTCACTTTCCCTTGTGAAGGAAGTGGGGAAAATATCTTGCCTCTCTTCCGATTGAAGCCAGGGGAAAGGGAAAAGTTTGGATCGGCTCACCTGTGGCTACACATGTACATGCACCCTACCTACCTCGCCTCTGCCACCAACCGTCTCCCATCTTTCCAATCCATCCCGATCATTCCCACCTCTCCCCATGTGTCTTTGTCTGCTTGTGACCAGTGAGGATAATGGGAACAGGCAGCGCCTGTCCAGGATTGCCTGCGGGGTGGCATCAAAAATCTCAAGCTTGCCCGGCATCTGATACTGGTTGACCAACCACCAGGAATCTGCTCTGATTGAGCCAGGTAAAGCATCTTAGTGCCTTACGGTCGGAGGAGCTACGTGGAGCTCTGGCACTCATCTCTTGCCGACACGCAATCGGACCTTGTGTCAGCCCGCCAGTGTTGCCCATATCAGTTGGGCGGCGAAATCCCCGTTTGTCTTTGGCGGGACACGGCACTTTCACCTAGCCTGATCATCGGTCGACCTCCGCGCCAGCTGCCATTGAAACTGATGAGCGGTCTAGACTCCCACCTGGCCACCGGTCCGTGTCGCGGAGGAGGACTGACTGGCCCCAGGCTGGTTCCGAGGTGGAAACAACCGAACACCGAGTTGCAAGCGTTGGCCATGACTCCCGGCAGATGAATCCGGAAGGAACAGCACAGTACTGGTACATCCCGGAGAATCGCCCTAAGAGACATGTCAGAATTCGACGAGCGCGCATAGACTTCATATTCCACGAAATGATTAGCCAGTCATCGAGCTCGACCTCCAGCCAGCTCCTAGATGGAAGAAGGTACAGTACAAAAGAAGGCCCACACTACGACATACAAAGAGGCCAGAGAGTCCTAGAACGAGAACAAGGGCGGGAAAAACAAAGGTACATCGACCCATCCCCTTTGGCCATTTCGTTTACTCTTCCCATCGAGCGGATGGCCGACGGGGATCTTGCGATTGCCGTCCAAACAGACCGCAATCGAAGTCCTTGAGACTTTCTTCCATCACCTTTCGCTACCCGAGAGCGCGAGAAGCATGCGTGCAGTCTCGTTGGGACCAGGTCAACAGCTCCCGGATCACAGTCCTGGAATGTCTGAGACCGTCGCCATGGTGTGCCCGGTGAAACCACGGAGCTCTTCCTACAGGTCATAGCAATAGCGGACACAATATGAAAAAAGGTTGTCTGGTATTTCCCACGTCAGATGCTGGCCCGTTGGGCGACGAGATTTGAAGGGATAAAAAGGACCTCCATCGCTGGTTCAACATCGCTGGTTTAAGATCGCGTGTCTCTCTCCACCTCAATCATTCTAATCGTCTCCACCATTTCAATCCGCTTCTTCGTCTAACTCGCTTCGATCATTTCTTCTCTGTGAGTTCCGCAACATGTCGCAAGTAAACCCAAGCCCGAATTCTCTGTTGAGTATGGAAACTCTATTGCGCATGTTCATGGGGCACTTCTGCTACCTCAAAAAATACTCGAATCTCCGCGATACTCGTTTCGTGGTGGTAGGGGATCTCGCTGAGTTACCCTACGAGCTCTACCATGCACATCGATATCAGGACCACAATGTCGAAACTAGTGTAAGAAGAAAGGTCTTGTTGAGATCGAACCCTCCCACCCCCCTCTTCATTTTCGTTCACTCTTGCCCCTGCCCCTGCTAGATACGTTGACTAACCTCCTTATTCCATTACAGGGCACAATTGTTCTGTTGATTGAGTATGAAGAACGTATCGAGTCAATTAAGAATGCTCTGAAAGAAAGATGGCCGGATTTCTTCCATTTGATTGACAGTCAATTATATTACGACTCTCTCTTGAGAGGATTCATCATGGCCCCCGTACACTTGATTCCCCTGGACCGACTGGGCCTTGGCCAGAACTTCGACAGGGAGTGTGGGCTGACGAAAATTGCCGAGGTTGGCAATGATGCCCCGCGAATTCCGTGGAAGGCCATCACGGAGCAACTACGTACGGCAGTCGGCAGGTACGGGGTGACCTGGAGCGCGGAGCGCATCATGGCGGCGCTTCAGGCGTCGAAGCCTCTTCCTGAACCCCAGGGAAGCCAAAGGCAGGAGTCAGGACTAGATGAGATCCGTAGGTTGGATAATCCGGAGGATTCGAGTTTTGTGGCAGGGTTTTGTTTTGTGGCAGGACTTTGCTTGTGCCTCCCGTGGATCGCGGGGCTGTGGCCGTGAGCTACAAAGACCCGTGGGTCCCTTTGTGGTCACTTTTGTTCTCGAACAGTCTTGGAGTCTTTGGCGTTTTATCTTTGTTCTTTCTCTTACTGAGATTGGGGTATCATATCTTAGTTGGAAAACCATTCATTGAGGTTGTAGTTAGTTTTAATTTATATCCATGGACTCCACCAGGAGGTGATGTCTAGACTGGAGAGTGGATGGAAAGAAAATCCTGAAGCAACTACCTAGTATTTCCTAGTAGTGCCTAGTGGTGCTGGTAGTGATAACTTAAGCTAAGCTAAAGTACCTAGGGGTTGCCTTTGCGAGGTGGTATTCTTGGGTGTCTTCAATCATACTCCCATGTACGTTGGCGCCTGCGCCAGCTGATGGCATTCTTGTACGCCTGGGGAGTCCGCCACTCGTCCACGTCCCTTCTCCGGGCAGTATCGATCTTCTCCTCCAGGTGCGGGAAGCGATCGATCAAAATCTGCCAAGCCAGGATACTCTTCATCGGGAAGGGACTGGTGTCTTCCGGAAAGACGCCGGGATATTTAAGGTACCAAGGGAGCCAGGACAGGTCAGCGAAGCCAGTACACGCCTGGAAGGCGACTCGGAAGGGATGAACCGCCACCCCCCTCTCTGAGGTCTTGTCTCCCGAGGTATCATGCGGGCGGCTGAGCATCATTAAGTAGGAAAACCATGGCTGGTGGAAATCTTCGAGGCGAAGCCATCGAGGATCCAGACCCCTCAGGGTGAGCTCAGGTGCTTCGGTAAAGGCTTTGTTCACGCGAGCACGGGCCCAGGGAGGCGGGGGCTCGCTGCGGGGCCCCCCAGCACCAGCAGCAGTACTGTCCTCTTCTTTCTCCGGGATCAACGAGGAGAAAATGTTGGAGAGCTCCTCCACCCACTTGCAGCTGTCGGACAATGGGATGTAGTCCAGATGCTGGGGCCCGTACAGGTAATAGTCGCGGTAGGCGAGGCGGATCAGGGCCTCCACCATCCGCGCCGGCTGGAACAACTTGACCTCGTAGGTGGCCTGCTCGCACGAGGCGAGACGCGTATCGGTCGAGACCAGATAGGCCTCATCATCTTCGGCCAGCGGACCACAGGCCGGAAGCTTCACGTTCGGGAACCAGTCCTCGTGGATGAACAGGTTCAGATCCACATGGAGCTCTTCCCCCGGAGCTGCCGGCTGGAGGTGGAAGACATGAGCGGGCACCCACCACGCCCGATGGAAGTTCGCCCGCAGATTGTAGATGTAGTTACACGGGGCGGCTTCGTAGTTGCCCTCATGGTCCTTCCATAGACATATATTCTCAATCCGGCGGCAGCTATCGTCGAAGTTAGCCTTGCGCAAGACCTGGACCGCCTGCATCTGCAGGGACCGCGGGATGACTATGTCGAGGGAGTTGATAGGATTCTGGCAGCCAAAGTGACGCCACATACCGTCATTGATCACATGACAGGGTATCTTGTTCTGTTCCAGGAGCTCTGCGATCTGTTCAATCATGGCCAGGTTTGCTGGTTGGCCGGTGTATTCGAATGGTTTGGCCTTGGAGGTCGTCGGCGGCAGGGGCCGTCGGCAAACGGGACCAGAAAATCGCTCGCCCTCAAAGGTATATTCACCCGTGAAATACACTGTCGGGTCGAGAATTGACCTCGGACTGAACTCAGACATTGTTTCAAAGCGATCGATGATGAGGATGATTGAATCGTGTGGGGTTGTTGGTGATGATGGCTGAACAAGCCCGGACAGGGCCCCCTGTATTTATGTTACTCGCTCCAGCCCCTCCAAGCTCGGTAAAGGCGAGTAGGGGGAGCTATAAGTCCATCTATTTCCTGGAGAGTGCCCTTTGCCTTGCTTTCATACCCGCTTTGTGCCTGGCTCGAGTCGATGGGCGGTGCTAAGGCCCCTGCACAAAGGCACACACGTTCACATGAATTGTATCCATTCTTCTCTCCACAGTCCGCGATGTTTCTTTGCCACTGGCTGAGGTTTTTAGCCTATTGACCGGGTCCAAGTCCCTTGTTCTTTGTCGGAAATGTTCCAGCAGAGCCTGGATATTGATCGAACAAGGTAGGTCGGGCTGAAACGACCGAGCTTTGGTTCTTTGCTCTAGACGGAAGTTATCCGGTCATCATTACATAGCGCTTGCCTGTCTTTATTCGTCTGATGGAGTTTCTCTGCCAAATCAACTAGTCACGAAGTGGTATAGAAAAGGTCTAGAATATGTGGATACCTTAGGAGTCAGGCAGCGGGAATTCGCCTGGCCGCTTTGTAACCTTTTCTCAGGTGTTCATCGAGACAAGCCCAAGCAAACTATCCCTCCGGACCATGAAGAAGTGCCCGCCAAAGCTGGAAAGGCTGAGGCTCGGCCTTGCGTAGGTGCTAGATATCTTTAGAATGGTTCCCTGAAGATACCCAACGGGGCCCCCTCGGAGTATACAAGCGAGATCCGACCGATGATAATATCGGGAACCAGGATCCCCAGCGGAGAACATTGCATGGCTCCCACTGCCCACTTTTCAAATGGCTGGATTGAGAGATGCTGCTTCAACACCTGTACTTCCTGATCTTCGACAGTCTCTCGACTCGCACACAGCAACCAGAAATCCCGTGTTTGGACATTACGGCAATCTGCATCAGAAGGGGCGAAGGCACCTTATGCCAATTTCAAATAGGGCAAATCGAGACTAGCGCATCGAAAGACACGGTAGAGTCAGGTATTATACACCATACTTGCTCCTAAACATAGCCCGATTAACGAAAAGAGCTCACTGGCAGTGTAAAGCCTCCTGAATGACGATGGTTGTGAGTCGAAATTAGACCATGGTGAGATGATACTGAGGATTTACATCTAATCTACATGACGAGTTGGAACTAAGCTTCCTGGGCTATAACACTTAGACGTCTACATCACTTGTCTGGAGGTTCTTCCGCAGGGTGACTTTGCATGGGAAGCCCTAAGCGGGATGGCCGGCGCCCTTCCGAGCCATGTTGGCCCGCTCCCCAAAAGCGGTCCCAATGCCGCCGTTGGACGGATGCAAGCGATCATGTTCGGCATATGCATCGTGGAAGTCAAATCGGCCCACGATCATGGCGAGGGGAGTCTTCATGCCCAGTAGCGAGATGTTCTGGCCGATGCAGTGGGAAAAGGGAAGAGGAAAAGAAGAGCGACTGGCGGCGGGCGGCGGATTAAACGCACGTCAAGCATTCACATAGGCTTGATTTCGCTGCACACGACGGAGTAAAAACAAAGAAAAAAGAGAAACGCCGGGGCAGGAGAAGAACGATGATATGCTTGAAGAGACATCACATCTACGAGATGGGAGTTGTTGTGTGCGGATCGCCTGAAGGAACTCAGATAAGGCACTGCGGTCACGGAAGACTCGGAAGACACCACAAGGAAAAAAAACAAGGTAATTTCCCCAGTCCAGGGCTTGGCATTCTCAGGGCTATCTATCGATAGCACGGTCTTTCTCCGGCGAGTTTCATTGGTCAAACTCGAGGTCGTGACATTTGCACCGGCTGCTTCGCGCAGGCTGTCTCGCGCTAATCAGTCAGATAATCTCGGCTAATGATTAGGTTTCGTTGGATGCAATGGCTTGCGAGGTGGAACGAGACCTTGGACTTCGTGCTGACTCGGGCTCTACTAGTATAGCTTCGCTTACAGAAACAGGGTCTATTTGATGCACGAAACCGCCGAAATGCCCTCTCTGTTCAATGTCGCTTTTATCCCACGTGGTGAGCGGGAGGATGTTGATTGCAGGGTAGGTAATTCCTGTCTTCATTCCGGTTCTCCAGTGCAGTCACCCTTCGAAAACCATGATTCCACCACAACAGCCGACATGTAGGCGGTCTAATCGGATTCGTACAATTTACGACATATACGATCAATCAATGTATAAAAGACTCGACGGACAAGCCTAAATGGAATGTGGTGTACAAGGAGCTTGAGGATTCACGACGGCCATGCATACACTCAAGTCATTCGTTCTCTCTGTGGCAATCACCACCGCGGTTGAAGCCAGTGCGATTCACCAGAGAGCGACTCCCACTCAGCCTAATTGGTTCCAAACCTCGCCTAATCTCTATGCTGGTTGGTACCATTGATCTTCATCCCATTCAAAACAACCAGAGCCACTGACATGGTACTAACCAGGCACTGTCGCCACTGGTGCTGCGCCTTTCCTCGCCGAAAGCAACCCTGCACCTTTCGGGAATGCTGCCTATGTTCCCAACGCTCCGCTGGAGACCTCGGAGCCCATTCAGGGTGCGAAGGGGAGGAACATCTTTCACCTCATGGGTGACCTGAGGTAGGATTGATTCCACCAGCATACATGTGGATGATAACTGACTCTCCCCAACAGTCCTTACTTTTCGCCGCCCGAGGGCTTCGGGGTGAACGAACATCCGTTGCCAAAGGGTGCGTACATCACCCAAATGCACATGCTCCAACGTCACGGGGCGCGATATCCATCTTCATCGGAGGGCCTGGATACTTGGGGCGCTGCGATCGCCAATGCAACCGCCAAGGGCCACATGTTCTCCGGCAAGCTTGAGTTCCTGAACCAGTGGTCATACAACCTAGGCAAGGAGATCCTTGTCCCGCAGGGCCGTCAGGAATTGTTCGACGCTGGTGTTCTGAACTTCTACAACTACGGCCATCTGTACGACAATAGCAACCGCACCTCAAAGCTCGTGGTGCGCACGACCCTGCAGGCGCGAATGCTCGAGAGCTGCGAGAATTTCCTAGCGGGCTTCTTCGGGCTGAATTGGCGGGACCACGCCAACATCCTGGCCACCATCGACCCAGCGACCACGGGGCAGTCCGCCTGCACCAAGGCGTCAGAGACCATGATGGAATCCATCCAAGTCCCCGTGGGCACCTGGATGGCCACCTATCTCCAGGAGCGCACCGCCGAGCTGCGACGTCTGACGGGAAGCTACAACTGGACGGTCACCGACACATACCACGCGCAGGCGCTCTGCCCCTACGAGACGATCAGCCTCGGCTACAGTGATTTCTGCCAGCTGTTCACATACGAGGACTGGGAGAACTGGGCCTATCTCATGGACCTCGAGTTCGCGGGGCTCTCCGGCTTCCACAGCCCCACCGGTCGCGCGCAGGGCATCGCTTTCGTGGAAGAGTTCCTGGCGCGCGTGGAGGGCCATCTTCTCGAGGTTCCCGCGAATACCACCGGGGCGAACTTGACGCTCGACACGAACCCCGTCACCTTCCCGCTCGACCAGAAGCTGTACCTGGAATTCACCCACGACGCCAACATCGTCTCCGTGTTGACAGCCTTCGGGCTCACGCAATTTGCCGATCCCCTGCCCCTCACCGGCCCCACCAAGGACCAGCAGTTCCACTCCAGCCGCATCGTGCCCTTCGCGGGCCGTCTGAATATCGAGATCATCAGCGCGCCGCACAGGGTCTCGACCACGCGGTCATCGTCCAAGGCTGCCAGCAAGAACGGCGACTACGTGACCGGTAGCGGCCCGACCCAGTATGTGCACTTCATTCAGAACCAGCGCACCATCCCGCTCCACGCTAGCTTCGACGAGTGCGAGTACCGCGAGGACGGGTGGTGTGAGTTGTCGACCTTCTTGGAGATTCAGCGGCAAAGTCTGGCGGAGGCGCAATATCAGTATGCCTGCTTTGGGAACTGGACGATGAAGGGGTGGGGCGCTGTCACAGACGGTGTTCCTGCGTAAGTAGGTAGGTGGTTGGGGTATGTACGGGCACGATTCAATAGAATCCCTGCAGCAGCACATGTGGTAGCCTCACTGCATATTCCCATCGATGCTGGATTTGTTGCTACTGTTTACCATCACAATGGACAAGATAGATACAGCATACCAGTTTCAGAGTCCTTCCGTCCACATCCGGCAAGGAACGTTGACCCCAGGGGAGAACAGCAGCTGAATTTGGCCGGTCCATCCGTGCTATCCTGCATGCGCTAGAGCTATCGCCGCATCGATGTAGGTTTCTAGTAGCACGATGGAACGCATAGTCCAGTTGATCATCATAACCTAGACTACTAGATATCATTTTTTTCTTGCAATGATTGACACCAATATGGTCATAAAACCTGGATTACCAATTGACGAGGGTTAGGGTTGACTAGTGGAGTTACCCCCTTGGTTGTAAACCCACCCACTACCTGCCAAGGTCACGCCCGACTGATAGTAGTGTTATCCACTCAATTCAACAATTGTGATCCTATCTTATGATATTGTAGCGTAAATGTATACGTTAGTAGGTTATGCTCAAGCCAGCAAGGGTTCTTGTGGCTGCAGGTGGCGGAGATGGCCGGGCGGGGTGCAGGGGAGGAGAAGTCGCAGTGGGGGCGACGTGGGGCCCGCGGGGCTGCAGAAGCATTGTGGTGCTTGTCACTACTAAGGAAAGCAATGTGAGGATGAAAGGCACAAGGAAAAGAGAAGGAAGATTCCAAGTTAATGAATTGGGATAGGGAATGTCTAGAGTGCACTCAGCCAAGGGGCTTCGGAACCAACCCGGATTTCCGGCCTCGGCAATGCGGCGGGGCTTGCCGCTTGCTTGCCTTTTCCGGCAAATTTCCCTTCTTGGCCCGTGGTGGGCTCAATGTACAGGCGTACAGTGAAGCCCTGTATACGGTATCACCATCGCGATTGAAGGTATGTATGTGGAAACTATACTGGTTAAATTTCAGGAAACCCCTCGATGCATCTTGTACCATGCGCTTACTTAGCCTATCAGTCATTCGGCGCCTCGACAATTAGTTCTCGGGTATCAGTCCGTCAATTGTCTGATCCAGAACCAATAACGAGAATTGCTAACCTCGGGCTCGATCACCTGAGTAACTGTCAATAATGGCTATATATCTCAGGAAATCATCTCCATCAACGGAAACTGCTGGCCCTAATTACAGAGAGGTGATGCAACTCCGACGGGGAATCCGGGGTTTGAAACTGTATTTCTTCTTACGGCTGCGATAACCAAGGGTCGGACAACTGTATTCCCGGGGATGGACTCGCGTTGCGCATGATGATTCGGCTCTGGCTTGGAGTCCACCCTACTACCTCGACCGGTACCACTGATGCACTCTCCCTCCCTATCAGCTGATATCCCTCGATGGCGAAATTCACCACGGTTCCCGGTTGAGGCATGGGCTTCTTCTTGCCTTACAAGAAGATGCCGTTCACTGTTCGCTCATTAGTTGGTACATACAGCGCAGCTGGAGTGGGCAGAGGAAGCCCGCGGTGAGACAAGAGAAGATACAGAGAACCGCAAAGCAATGTGCATAGACATCGTCATCAATCGAGAAAAAGCCAAAGAGTCGTTTCCTGCAGTTTCCCACGATGCAGACCGCGGCGCACCGCCACCTCGCGCGGCCTCATGACGAACTTGTATGACATCCCCGCCGGGCTGGTGACCGGCATAGAGGACAGCGCCCTTGCGGCGCAGATCATCGTGGCCGTGATCCTGGCCATCGCTTTCTACAACTCGGTGGAGCTCGTCGTCCTGCTCTTCCTCACCTTCAAGAAGTACCGCGGCCTCTACTTCTGGTCCCTGCTGGTCTCCACCGTGCTGGGCGTCATGCCCAGCGTCGTGGGCCCCGTGCTGCACTTCTACTCGCTCGGCCCCCTCCTGCTCGCCCTGCTCATCTCGAACCTCGGCTTCTACGCCATGGTGCCCGTGCAGTCGCTGGTCCTGTACTCCCGCCTACACCTGCTCCTCCGCAACGAGCGGCGTCTGCGCCAGATCCTCTACCTGATCCTGCTCACCACCGCCATCCTGCTGCCCCCGACGACCGTCACCACTTACGGCTCCGCCTTCGTGGGCACTGCCCCCTGGAACGCCGCGTACCAGGTCATCGAGCGCGCCCAGGTGACCGGGTTCTGCCTCCTGGAGCTGTTGCTCTCCGCCTTGTATATCCGGGAGGCGGTCCAAGTGCTGTGGGCCGGCGATCCCGCGCTGCTGCGTCGACGGCGAGAGTCCGGGGAATCCGACGGCGGAGGAGGAGGAGGAGGATCTGGTGGCAGCGGCGCCGGGAATGTGATCTACCAGCTCGTGGCTATCAACTTTGTTATCATCGCGCTCGATGTCGGCCTGCTCGTTCTGGAGTATGTCGGGCTCTACTATCTGCAGGTCGCATTGAAGTCTCTGGTGTACAGTATCAAGCTGAAGATGGAGTTTGCGGTTCTGGGACGGCTTATCACCCTAACGGGCCGACATTCCCATCGCGAGGAGCCGGTCGCGAGACTCGAAGAGCCGGCGAGAGTGCCGGACTTTGTGGGGGCGGAGTATGCGGCCGTGGACTTTACGCACCCTGTCCGGACATCGAAACCATCCATGTCCTCGGGGTGAGGGACGGGAAATCCGCCCGAAATGTAGATCTAGGGGAATTGATCGGCGTGATGCTCATCGCATGAATCCGTGTTTAGTAATTGGTAATTTTAGTACCATGCGTCTTTATTAGTGGTTACCTGGGCAGCAGCTGCCATATACGGCCCACAAAGGCCCGGTATTTGGGAGACACTAAACTGTCCCCGCGTGGAATCTTGATCTTGTAAACCTGCCATCAGTCAAATAGGTAATGTCCAGGGTCTTCACTCGCCTTTGTCATCGTCAGGCTTAATCCGAAGAGGAGGAGGCGGCTTAGAGCCCTATACTTGGCCATCTGACTAAAGAAGAGATTGACTGACTATACGTAGATTATCAGTAAGCTAGCTTCCGTAATCAAATCCATGAAGCCGATCACCGAAGATTTATCAGAAGACCATCAGTGTAGGAAATAGTAAACAATAAACAGGTCTTGCATTATAAATTGGATATAGCAGGGGAACGAACCAAGTTCCCACTGGCTGTCCCAGCCACAACCCTCTTCTATTGCACATTCGATGCTAAGGTGCTCATCGTCGGTAAACAGTGAATTCCAAGCACAAAAACATAAGGTAAGCCCCCAAGAGCACAACCGCCGCACTTCTCCCCAGCCCCAAAAACACGACAGCACAAAACACCAAGGAAGAGACCCAGACCGCCAGAAGCTCAAAGCTGACAAAACCACCACTCGCTTTCTGTCCCTGGTTGTCCGCCACTGCAACGACACCGACACAGAGCGTCAGCAGGAAGATATTGCTTCCGGCTGTTGTCGCGGCCAGGATGCCGCCGTGACCTCGGACACCACTGAGGATGGCAATCAGTTTCTCTGGGAGAGTCGTGGCAAAGGAGACAACCGTCAGGCCGAAGACGGTTCCGGAGAGATGGAGGGAGTCTGTGACGGTCGCGGCGCTGTGGGAGATGATGTATCCGGACAGCGACAGTGCGAGGAAGCCGAGGATGAGCTGGAATAGGTGGTACGGGAGGCTTTTGGTTCTTCTGCCGTCGCTGTCTTTGCGTGTAGATGATGGAGGATTACGCTCGTTCGCGATGAGAGGAGACGTCTCACAGAGTTCAGGGGCATGGGCGGCAGATTCGTCGACTTCGCAATGACTGGAAACGCCCGACTCACTGCTATCGTCGCTGTCTGATAACTCGGTGGGCGACGCTACACCCCTGTAGATAGCGTAGATGATCGAGCCGAGGTAGAGGCCAAACATGGCGATCAAGACCCCGCCGACCATCGGGTTCAGTTGGTTGAAGAACGCCAGCATTACGAATAGTGTCGTGACCACAGGCAACAGGGCAGAATACAACTTTGCGCTGCGGTCGAAATCCACTCCCTGTGGGTGACACAGTAGCCCTAAAGGGAAGGCCCCGAAAACGTTGGAGATGGTCGAGGCCATGACATTCCCAAGGACCAGGGGCCTTTGATGTTGCAGGATAGCGGCAACCACTACGGCGAGCTAAGGAGGAGATTAGCTATGATACAACTAGATAGGTTCGCGCTGAAACTCAGACCTCCTCCCATTCAGCGCCCGCCGTCACAAGTGCAATGACCGTTTGGGAGACGCCTAGGCGCCGCCCGACAATGACGGTGTGGTCGATGAACTTGTCTGCGCCGTAGTCGAGGACAAACACGCTTGCAATCAGGGTGGCAACATTGAAACACAATGTATGCCAGTCCACTGTTGATAATTGTGCCACGGTGGAAATACCAGGGGCAATCAGAAGATGGAGAAGGCTGATACACGGTCATGTACTGTGCATCAATTGAAGCTTGAGCCTAGCGTCGACCGCCTTTACTTGATGGCAGCCACCCTTTGTCATGCCATCACGTGGCCTGCTCCAAGAGTATCCCTTATGTAATTCTACAAAGTAGATCCTGAAACTTAAATTTATACCCTCTTCACTTTATCAATTGAACCTGAGTCAAGGAAAGTAGTTAGCTAAATTGAAGGAAATCTCGGACACTACGAGTACCTGTTGGTTATAGGATAATCTACTCCCAAGTCATCTCTTGTGATAGATATGAACACGGCTATAGAAAATGGAGTCAGCTGTTTCGGTTTAAGTCCCTCACTGAGGCTGGATTCACTATTCCATCGTCAACTAAGAGTGTCCACCAAAACTCTACCTATTTCCTTGCGAATCGGAACCACAATTCTTTCCTGACAATGTTATATTATTTGGTATTCGTGCTGGCATGAGATTCACATTACAGCAAGATAATCTATAAGATACTGTTTAAGTTTCACGTTAACATGCCCAGGCTGCTTCCCCAGAGACAGCACGAGATCCTGATCATACGAGTGATTCTCCGGTATCGGAGGATTGGTCGGCTTAGCCGGGATCGGACTAGACTCCGAGCGAAGCGGGACAAACAAGCCTCGATGCCAAGCTTTCAACCTTGTTTGAGTCTTTTCTCCACCATCGTCTGTTCGCAACCACCAATCACTCAGAACTTCCTAGTTCCACATTCTTCTCTCCCCCACTTTCATCGCAAGACGGGCCACATAAGACGGTACCTAAAGTAACCCATTGCGCAAGCTGAGCCACCTTCGTCATTCTCAATAAGGCTGTGTCCGTGTACTGAGTATGAAGCTCCCCGCAAAAGCGATCCCTCCGTCTGGACCGCTTTTAGCGTCGTGATCAGGATCTGCAGCAAAGTTCCTGATGATCGTTTCCTGTTCCGTTCTGCGATCATCACCAGTTCCGTAGACTTTGTTCAGGCGTTGCGGAGGATGCAGCTTCGAGTTTAGTCTCCGCTGCTGCCGCGTCACCAGTTTCTTCATCTCTACACCGCAGAGTATGCGCCATTCTAACATGATGGTCACCAACAATGATCAATATGGCATACAGCCTATATATATCATCATACCGAACGGCCAGCTTGCTGATGTTGCAATCATCATTCTAATCATCAGCCATCGGTTCTCCTCTGGTCGGGTTGTCCGTTACATTCTCCAACATGTGGTTTGCGAACGTGGCTGTTTTGACGGCCTTGGTCGGCTCGGCGGCGACGGCGGCCACCCCCCTGACTTCAGCCAACTGCAGGGCGGCTACCTTTCAAAAGTACATTGATGCCGATGGTACACGCGCCAAGGTGCAATGGGCAACCTACATTCCTGCCAATGGAACGTTCAATCCGATGAACTATACATCTTCCTCTGAGTATCCCACCAACCTACCTGAGGGATGTGGCGTGCAGATCAACGTTCCTTCTGAGGGCAACTCCAGCTACCTCGTCGGCCTGATCTTGCCGTATGACTGGAATGGTCGTCTGCTGTATGTATTACCGCATTGTCTTGATAATCCCTACTGACTTGCTCACAGCTCGGCTGCTGCGGGTGGCGGCATCAACTGGGTTGACATGGGCACTGGCACTCACTACGGCTTTGCGACGCTCTCTAGTAACTTGGGCCATGTCGGGATCGACACCGAAGGTACCTGGGCGATTGGCCGACCTGAGGCGGTGGTCGACTGGGGCTACCGAGCCTGGCACGGGGCGACCGTCTTGGGAAAACTATTGATTCAGAATTGGTATGGCTCGGCCACAAAGTACAGCTACTTCTATGGGTGCTCGACCGGTGGCCGACAGAGCATGAAGAACATGCAGGAGTACCCGGACGACTACGACGGAATTCTCGCGGGAGCCCCGGCCTGGTGGACGACGCACCAGCAGCTGTACAACCTGAAGCAGACCACTTACCAAGCCCCGGCCAACTCCTCGCACAAGATTCCGGAGCCGATGTTCGATATCATCGCCGCCGAGGTGTTGAGGCAGTGTGACCCCCAGGATGGCCTGGTCGACAACATCATCTCCGACCCGGCAGGCTGTAACTTCAACCCCAACATCTTAATGTGCAATGCGACCAGCACGGCGGACAAGTGCCTGACGGCGGAGCAGCTCTCCACCTTGTACAAGATCCACAACGACTGGGTCGACGTCAACCAGACCTACGTGTACGGCCACATGTGGCTGGGCAGTGAGTCCTCGTGGCTGACCGGCAACATCGGGCTGGGCGAAGACAGCACGATCGACCAGCAGTACTGGTATCCGCGCGACCTGATGGGCCTCTCCGACTTTGTGTGGCAGGATCTGGATTACAGCACCGTGCAGCTGGCCGACCAGCTGAACCCGGGCAACGCGACGGCTGACCGCTACGACATCAGCGCCTTCCACAACCGCGGCGGCAAATTCTTGCACTACCACGGTCTGTCGGACTCGTACGTCTCCCCCGATGCCAGTATCTACTACTACGACCAGGCCTCCAGCGCGCTCAAGCCCCAGGGCGTTGAGATGGATGATTTCTACCGCCTGTTCTTGATCCCTGGCATGGAGTAAGTTTCTCTATCGTCTTCCTTTCTGCCTAGTCCTTCCCAAATCAGGTCTCATGAGAATAGCTGGCTGACTCTCGATGAACAGGCACTGCTACTCCACCCCGGATATCATGAACGCCCCCTGGTACATTGCCGGCGCGGACCAAGCCGCCATGATCAACACGGGCACGTACAGTGTCCCCGGGTACCGGGACGCCAAGCACGACATCATTCTCGCGATGATGGCCTGGGTGGAGAACGGCACCGCCCCGGACAGTATCATTGCCACCAAGTGGAAGAACGACACGACGGCGACGGAGGTTCTGCGCCAGCGGCCCGTGTGCCACTACCCCTACCAGGCCCAGTACAACGGGACGGGTAACCCGGATGAGCCCACTAGCTGGAGCTGTAAGCTCTTGTACTAGGACTGTTGCAGGAGAGGGGGATTGGAAAGAAGGTTTTGACCGATGTGAATTTGAAGTCAAAGGGCAGGATTTGATGACTTGGGAGAAACGTGTTGACTGGGGTATTTGTTCTTGTGAAAAATAATCATGAAGACACCAATGCTGAAAGTTTCGAGCCGGTAGCCCTGGAGTCAGAGTCGTCGAAGGGGGTATTCCACCTTTATATCCCTTTTCTTTCCGCCCACCGTATCTTGTCAGTCTGATTTCGTCAGTTTCAAGTTCACTCATTACAGAGGTCACACTGGGCTTTGTCACGGTATGCACAGTACCTAACCAAGTTCCTGTTCAAGGCCCTCTTTGCGAGCTGTGGGGAGGATGGGCGGAGTCTGCCGCTTCCTATTGGTGGTTTGTGCCCGGTATCTCGGCTTTAGTGGGTTGGAATCTCGGGGTCTTCCATCTTCATCCCCGGGCATGCTGAATTGCGGACCAGCGGCGTAAGACATATACGTAGCATGATCCACTGTAGGTTCCCGTTCTGCACTGTAGATCATCTTTATGATAGGAGACTATACCTGCAGAATTCAACCATGGCTCTCATCTTAATCATTTAAAAGGGGCAAACTTTCCCTGGTTTCATAGGGCACTTCACAGAGCACCGGCGGTTGCATCAGGAGCATTGAGCCATGATCCGCTTCGTACTTGCTACTACGCTTTCAGCTGTGGTCGCTGTGCAAGCGATCTCTCTAGAGGATGTGTGCACCCCATCCTACGTACAATCCAAGTTGCCGTCCGACTCCGTGTATCCCGGGATCACCCTCGATCGTTCTTTCATCGAGGCCAATCCGGTTTACAACTCGACGACGAGCGGCTCCGCGATCTTTCCAACGGAGACCATTGACTACTGCAACGTGACCCTCGCCTACTCGCACGATGGCCGCGACGACACCGTCAAGCTTCGCTTCTGGCTCCCCCGCCCCGATCGATTTGAGCAGAGATATCTGTCCACGGGGGGTGCCGACTACTACATCAATCAGGGAGTCCAACAGCTTCCCGGAGGGGTCATCTATGGAGCGGTCTCAGGTTCCACCGATGGAGGCTTTGGGAGCTTCGATACCGGGGTTGACGAAGTTCTCCTTGTGGCGAACGGCACGCTGAACCACCAGAATGTCTACATGTTCGGGTACCAGGCCCACCACGAACTCAGCACGATCGGCAAGAGCTTGACCCGGCGCTTCTTCAACATGACCGACACCGACAAGCTCTACGCCTACTATCAGAGCTGTTCCGAGGGTGGCCGGGAAGGATGGAGCCAGGTGCAGCGGTTCGGGGATGAATGGGACGGCGCGGTCATCGGGGCGCCTGCGATCCGCTACTCCTTCCAGATGGTCTACCACCTCTGGGCCAACGTGGTCGAGAAGACCCTCAACTACTTCCCGTCGCAGTGTGAGATCGAGGCGATTGTCAACCAGACCATCCAGGCGTGCGATGGCTATGATGGCCGGCAGGACGGGGTGGTGTCGCGCTCCGACCTGTGCAAGCTGCACTTCGATCTCAACTCCACCATCGGAGAGCGCTACTACTGCGCGGCCGATGGCGACGTCCCGGTTCAGAACTCGACCATCTCCGCCAAGGCGGTCGAGGTCGTCCGCACGATCCTCGGCGGCATGAAGGATCTGCAGGGCAACCAGGTCTACCTCTCGTACCAGCCGGGGGCGCTCTTCTACGACGCGCAGTCCACCTACAACGCCACGACCGGGGCGTGGGGGCTGGACATCAATTCGTTCGGGGGCGAGTACGTGGCCCGCTTCTTGGATTTCGTGGACGCGGACAACCTCTCGTCCCTCGACAACGTCACCTACGACACCCTCCGGGACTGGATCCAGCAGGGCTGGCAGCGGTACGAGGATTCCATCCACACCGCCTGGCCGGACCTCACCCCGTTCCACCGCGCAGGCGGCAAGATCCTGCACTACCACGGCGAGCAGGACGGCAGCATCCCCACCGCCTCCTCCGTGCACTACTACGAGTCCGTCCGCCGCGTCATGTACCCCGGGCTGGCCTACAACGCGAGCACCGCGGCCCTGGCCGATTGGTACCGCCTCTTCCTCGTGCCCGGGGCCTCCCACTGCATGAACAACGACCTGCAGCCCAACGGGCCCTTCCCGCAGACCTCCCTCGCCACCCTCATTCGGTGGGTGGAAGACGGCCTCGTCCCCGTCACCCTGAACGGGACCGTGCTCGGCGGGAGCTTCGCGGGCCAGGAGCAGCAGATCTGCGCGTGGCCCCTGCGGCCCATGTGGTACAGCAACGGCACGGAGATGCAGTGCGAGTATGACCAGACTTCGCTGGATACGTGGGCCTGGGACTTTGATGCTTTTAACATGCCGGTCTACTAGGCTGTCAGTGTTTACTTTTTGTCGGGACATCACTAGGGAGATGGACTCTGTGCATATGGACAAGGGACATGGGCTGAAGACATTTGAACTCTGCTAGCCCATTGAATTGCAGATGTCTAGCCTCTACCGTGGGGTGGGGAATTCTTTTTCTTTGTACTGTTTTCTCATTTCTTGACTTCTTCCGGTGAGAGGTTGCGGGTGGAACTACATACCAAAGCTCCAGACGAGCCCTGGATGCCCATCACTACAGCGAATAACAAAAGGTTAGTCTAACCGAAATGTATATTCTTCGAAGCACTAGTCAATTCAGAGTATGGATAGATATCCCTTGCTCGAACAGAAATGTACCAACCAACAGCTACTTCCGAAGCCTAGGGCTCTGAGCCCGGTACCCCGGGTTGCAGATTGACCAGCTCGGAACGCCGACCACACCTCACCACCCTTGGTTCTATGCGTGTGCTTTGTAATGCTTGCCCATCACCGATGCGACGAGTCTCAGTTCAAAGATGTATGTACAGCAGTCGCTAAATCAGGATATAAGTCTCTCCTGAAGTATCAGGTACTGGACAGAACACAACCAAGCAGAACTGAACACAACATTAATCCCACGAACAAGATGCCAACCAGCTACCTGATCACCGGACCGGCACGAGGCCTTGGAGTAAGCATGTCACCTAAATGTCCCTCTTCACCCTACCAAATCGTCAATCCTAATATGACTTCAAGTACGCCCTCGCCAAAGCCCTAGCCGCCAAGCCCGAAAACATCGTTCTGGCCCTGGTGAGGAACAAGACGGCAGCCGAGCACCGTCTTGCCGCGGACAACATCACTAACGTCCACGTCCTCGTCGCCGACGTCACTGATGACAACGCCCTGAAAGGTGCCGCCGCAGAGGCAAGCGATATCCTCGGTTCCCAGGGGCTGGACGTGCTCATCCACAACGCCGCGTATGTTAGCGAGCAGACGGCCTTGACTTCTATCAATGATCAGTAGGGTGTTCTTCTTTTCTTTCTTTTTTCATTCTTTGGATCTGTGTTTAGCCTGTACATCCCCAGCACTCCATGCCTAACAACCCGAAACCCCAGCGAGACCGAACCAACCACCCTTATAGAGGACACCCAGCAAAGCATCGAGGTCAACGTCTTCGGAACCCTAAAAGCGACCCTAGCCTTCCTGGACCTCGTGCGGCGCAGCCAGATCAAAAAGGTCGTTGCGATATCCAGTGGGATGGGCGATATTGGTATGCCCCTCCCCCCCCCCCAAAAACACACACGGCACAGTAAAAAGCGGCTGCTGTGGTCAAGATACACACTGATGGGTGTACCCCAGACATGATCAATGAAATTCGGCTCTCCAACGCCGCGCCGTACGCCATCAGCAAGGGCGCTCTCAATGTCCTGATCGCCAAGCTCAATGCCGCGTACGCGGGGGAAGGCATCCTCTTCATGGCGATTTGTCCGGGGCGGGTGGATACCCTCGAGGGGGGTGTGCGGGAGTGTATGTTTTTTCTTTGTACTTGCTTGATCATCCTCGGCTTGGTTGTTCGTTGAGTTAGGTGCTGATGGTCATTCGAGTACAGTACCGGAGCCGATTCTCTCGCGCGTGAAAGGCATCGAAGCCAAGTTTGAGGCGTATGTGGGGGTGAAGGTTGTTCCGATGCGGCCGGAGGTTGCTGCAAGAAGTGTGCTGGCTGCGGTTGATCGGCAGACCCTGGCTGGTGGGTTCGGGGGATCTTTCTGGAGTCATAATGGGACTAAGAGGTGGTCTTAGCAGTGGGGAACTGGTTGGGATCTGCTGAGCTCGCGTTTGTGGGTCCATTGGGCATATGTAAGCTTCTTTAACTGCCAGATATCGGTGAGAAGCATTTGAGGGCGGTTGAGGAATGCGAGTTCGATTACACATACGGAAGCTTATATTGGCCTCGGGATTATAGCTCAGGCCACTTCGCGTTGATGCATCCATGATGACTCTATAAGCTACCTGCCGTGTAAGAGCTGTCTTAGGTACCCAGAGCGTCCGTCCCCTTCCAATAAAAAGTACACCTGAATGAAGAGCCGACGAGTCCACGCTTGCCTGCTCTTACTGGATAATCCGAGCTTCGTAAGACGTTGAGCAGTCATGTAGCTCAGGGGGCTAAACCCTTTCTGTTGCGGCCAAATCACCCAAACTTGCTTATGAACGTGCATCAATCAGGATACAAAAGGGACTTTGGCTGCTTCCTGCTACCCACGGCCCAGGAACGTTATTACAAGGTCCTGTCTCGCAATCTTTGTGCATCCAAGCTAAGGAAAGACCGAGTCCACAAAATCCCGAATGATCTGACCCTCCCCGGTAAACCCCGGCCGTCCCATGGTCCGCAAAATCTCCTCCGCGCGCGCAATGGGCCCTGGCGCAGCAGACACGTCTCTCCCCGGCCGACCCTGATCCGGTCCCTGCACCAGCTCCGGACGATCGGGAAACAACTCGCGAACTTTGCGCCGGATATCGGTCCAGGTGCGGTTGACGGAGTAGGAGAAGACGCGCTCGTTCTCGATCGACACGGACGCAACGGCCGCGACCAGGAGACGCGCCGTGTCCTGGACGTCTGTGATGAAGGCTTGCATGACATACAAAGTCAGTCGGTGAGTGAACCATGAGCTTTCCTCGGGGGGCAAGAGGAGCACGCAATAATAGTACCAAGGTCAAGACCGACTTCCGCCCATTCTCCGCGGAGGGCCCGGATCAACTGCCCGGTCGACGAGGTCGGGCCGGTGTGAAGGTTGTTCACATCCAGCACGCGCCCGAACTGGCCATCCGGTACGATGCAGTTGGCCACGAAGGGTGGGTTGTTCTGCTGGACCCAGTTCCAGAAGCTCGGCTCGGCTCGGGTCCGGCCGGCACTGTAGACGGCGAGCTTGCGCTCGAAGGAGGCGTCCACCGGTCCGCTGCGGACTTGCTGGATGGCTTGGTGGTTGAAGGTGTCGACGCGGATCTCGTGGGGCTGGGGCTCGTTGTAGACGGTCGACTGGACCGCTTTGGAGCTGGAGCTCAGAACATAGCGCTGGACCCCGGCGCGAGCGGCGGCTTCGAGGGTGTTGACCACCCCTCGGATCAGAGGGTCGACTACCTTGGTGGGATCGGCATCGAAGATGACCGGCATGGACGGGTAGATGACGCCTGAGGCTCCTGCATGAACCATTAGGTGGGAATCACGGTTTAGGTTATCGGGCCAGTCAATTACCATTAAAGGCCGCCTCGAAGGCCCCCTCGTCTTCGAAATCGGCCACTTGAACGAGCTCGAACTTGTCCGGCCACTGCGCGTCGAATAGTGCATGCATCCAGATTCGATGTCGGTCCACATCGCGTACGGTCCCGCGGACCTGATAGCCAGCGTCGAGGAGCTTCTCGCAGGTTTCCACGGCGATGTATCCATTGGCTCCCACTACCACGACCGTGGAGTCGGCGGGAATGGCTCGATCGGCAATATGCATGGTTGTCCTGCAAGTGGGATGTGCAGTTGCCACAGAAGCGTGCTATCCGTCCCAGGCCCCATATGGGGTTGGGGTTGCAAAATAGTGCTTATATATCTCTCCCTTAGAAATTCTATGAATGGAATCGCATACCGCACACCTGTAATCAATTCTAAATGCGCTCAAGAATTACAAATCGTGTTCACAATATGCCAACTCTCAACCACTTGGGCATGAAGTATCGGGGCTTCATGCGTGCACCTGGAACCCCGAGTTACGGACCTGCACCGAGTTTGGTCGGGAATGCACAACTCGGAAGTCCGGACTGATTGCGTAGTCTCCCGGGGGTTCTGCAGTAGTGAGATATTTATCTTGAGATAGTATACTCCTACTAAGTATATTACTGTTACAGCATGATTCGCGTGAGTGCTTTGATATCTGCTGCCACAACATAATAAACTGCGTGCAGCACTGCGCCTGGACAGACTTTATGTTGTCTCATGATTCTCTTGTCGCGCTCATATACTGCTCACAGCGCGTAGCAAGGCAGTGTTTGACGTAACCGTCGCATCTTCCAAGGAATATATGACAAGATTGAATATTTTGGAGACTCTTTGTGGTAACGTGTGTTATAGTTTCCAGGTCCCAGACGGGCCTCCCAAGGAAGCTCCTAATCGCCTCTCATATATTTCAGGCATGTGGAGGTGACCATGCCTGGGTTGCGAAGGATGCTGACTGTTCCTTGCTTTTAGCTTATAGATACGAGTGCGTGTTGCTGGAGGGATCATCGTAGAGAAACCTTGGATTTGGGCGTCCATGAAAGCAAACGTTAGCGTGCCAATTGATGCTACCTAGGTATTGTTCCTTTTCAACAAATGAAAGACGCTGTGCAACTAGGTGTGAACCAAGCCTGGCACTGGCATAATGCATCAATGAACCGCAAACGTGGGCAATGGACAGTCTGTCGCGTTTACTATATCACCATAGTCAGCGGGGATCCTACCCACACTCCACTGAAAGGGTAACTCACCGATCGACATCATAATCATTCCAAACTCATCCGCCTCCTCCAGCCACTTCTCCGCCCTTTCCGCCATCTTAATCCCCGGTCGGATCTGATCGAATTCACCCTGGATGTAGCCATGCCCATCCCATCTGGCCAGCCACCGAATATACAAGGAATTCCACTCCGGCTCCGACTTCGCCTGCCAAAGGATCTTCGCCGCAGGCGCAGGCATGAAGCCTACCTGGCGGCAATCTAGCGGCGGGGCGTCGTGGAAGACGGATAGTGCCCAGCGGAGGAGGTAGAGCGACAACACCGCGCGTCGCTTGGAGGTGACGTGGACCCAGGCGGTCCAGGTGGGACGCATTGCCTCTCTTTCCTCCTGGAGGAAAAGGCCCGTGTTGGCGGCGTGGTTGGCCAGGTCTTGGATCTTGTGGAGGAGGGTCGGTGGGGGCAGCGTTGGGCGGGAGCTCTCGCCGGGGAAGAGGAGGATGATCAGGTAGATTACTACTGCTTGGAGGATTGCGAGGAGGGAAGCTTCGTCGAGGTCGTCGAGCTTCGGTTATCAGCCGACGTTTGTTCCAGAGTCCGGATTGTGTGTACACACCTTGTTCAAGAGGCTGTTTACTTCGTTCAGGATCAGGCGGTGGACTAGGTTCTCGGCTCCATGACATTGCCCGTGCCACATTTTGACGAGAGTGAAGCAGTTGGCGAGGGATTGAGGTAGAGTCCTATCGTCGGCGATAGAGCTGTGGTGAATGAATGGGGGCGTCTGGAAATCCCCTGCCAGCATCCTGGGCCAGGATCGAAGAACACGGAAGATGAACTCCATGCTGTGGTTCGCCAGCGCCGCTGCGGGGGACAGTGCATTTGGTTCTGGTGAGACCAGCGAGCTTGGGTTCTCACAGATCATACCATGAGGGTATATTTGGGCATTGTCATTACGAACCAGAGCTGCGGAGATGCGACGCGGGGACAGGGAAGAATTTACGTCAAAAGGAAAGGACAGGTCCCAAGGCGCAGAGTCGGCAAGCAGGGCTTCAAATAGGCTTGACGAATCAGCAGCCTGCGGCTCCGGTGGACTCGATGGGTTTACTTGTGGCGCCAAAGTCGTCTCCTCCCTGTCTGGCGATGGAGAGTCGGATGAGTCCAGGAACGGGTTTGGATACTGGCAGGGTATCTGTCGCATAGAACATCGCGAGCAGCTAGGGCGCTTAAGATTACACCGCGTCTTGTCCGCGACACATTGGCTACATGCCTTGCGCCGCACAGTCTGCGGTTGGGGTTGGTTGCACTTCATCCGGAGATGACGGATAAGCGAGGAGCCTGTTGATACTGCATGAGAGAGCGCTCCGGAGATAGAGAGAGCTCAAAGGGCCTCACGATGGGTGAATGTAGTGGCACAAAAGGGGCATTCAGCCCGCTCGGCTCTCTTATCCACAGCTGTAGGTTCCATGTTTGTGACTTTGTGACTGTGAAGATGTGAGATGGATGATTTCGACGACGATGCATACGTGCGGAGCTCCAAGGCTCGAAGGGCTCAAGGTGGTGGTGGATACTGAACCCGGAACTCCGAGCTCGTCGGCTAACATTATCATGCCTTTAGAGGAATAGAACAGCCTTGGCAACCCTGCATTGATGCCGTGGACAATCCATGTGATCACGTGATCACATCTGTGCCGGACAATCAAAGAGAATATCGTCGTAGGGCTGCCTGGTGATAGAACCCTACATTCAGAGAAGGGACTAAAAAAACATATTTTAATTTACCTTCTTCAAGAATAAACAAGCATGAAAAGAAACAAACAAAGATCAGCGCTACTAAGTACTTTATTAAGCCTTACTCACTGCACCGCTACTGCATCGCTACTGATTGGTTATTAACAAATATTAATATACGACACAATGTTCCTAAAGCTCTCCCAAGTTGAAACCACTTCTGTTTATAAGGCCGAGACTTATGTCTTAAGTACATGTTTCTGGGGCAATCGGCACCTTGTTAGTTTGCATAGGCCCAAAACTCAGTCGAGCACCCTCCGTCTGTCTATTGGCACATCATAGATTGCCTCTCTTCCCTTTCAAGGTGGGCTTCTGACAACCTTGAACAAGAAGGCCTAATCCGGAACTCCGAGCTATTCCCCAGGCTTCAATACGCGCCTGCCTACCGTAGTTCGAGGGGAGCCCGCAGCCAGATAAAACCGGGTTCCATCCCCAAGCCCCTCCGAACATCTAACCCCATTCTAACCTTACTTTATTCTTCTCTAACTCAACACAACATGACCATAAACCACATCTTCCTCTGGGCAACCGCCAGAAACCTCCCCGCACTGCGCATCTTCTACAGCAAAGTCCTCGCCCCGGTGGGGTACAAAGAGCTTATCTGCGCGTACAACAGCACGCTGATCGGGTTTGGGAGCGACTACCCTTATTTCTGGATCAAGGCGTTGCCGGAGGGGAAGAGCACGATGCCTGTTCACGTTGCGTTTGATGCGTCGAGTTAGTTCTCCCAAACACTCTTTTGCTTAGATGCTTCCAGACTGCGCTCTATGGCGCCATTGCTGATGTGTGTGTATACGTATAGATTGGGCGGCTGTTGAGGAGTTTCATCGCCTTGCATTGTGGGTTATCAGGGTTTCCTTTCTACTGTTTTCCTCGTCTTGAATCGGGAATGGGGAAGCGTATCTTGCTAATGCCATTGCGTCATTACAGAGAAAACGGAGCAAAGGATAACGGTGGTCCTGGGATCAGGGAGGAGATGAGCCGGTATCCCTACTACGCGGCGTTTGCGGTTGACATGGAAGGGAACAATGTGGAAGCTGTTTGTGCACCGAGGGAGGCCAGGAAGGAGTAATTTGGAACAGGCCGCACCGATTGATATGTAGACTACGTGGTGATAGGATGCAGGCTTAGAGCTTACCACTAAGTTCCATGAGTGTTCAAGCCAGGCGCATCGTATCGCATATCCCAGTCTAGGGTCTATGTCCATCTGACAATTTTCTACTCGCATCCAGCCTCCACTGACCTCTCCAACCGCTTCAACTCAACCCACTGCGCGACAAGGGCCTTGATAGTCTCTTGGAACCCCACAAACCGCCACCCAAACACCTTCTCCGTCTCCCTCGTATCAACCCTCCACCGAATCGCCCCCAACCTCCCTTCCATCGGAAACAAACCACCCTCAAGCTCCTTCCCATAGTACTTCCGCACAACCTCCCTAGCACCCTCCTCCCAGTCCACACCCTCGACAGCATCAGCATCCGAAACAAGAATAAACTCCCGATTCCCAGGAATCCTCCGCCGATCCACAGCATCGATATGTGCCCTCGCGACATCACTCACATGCACCGGCACACCCACCTAAGGAAACGAACTACTCAGATCATCTGTCAGAACGGGCGCAAGCACGAACCTTCTCGTCCCCTGTAGCACATCATCGCTCTTCACGTTTCTGTTCGTGGGCGATGGGGTAAGACGGTCATCGGGACCGATGACCACGCCGGGGAGGAGGTTCACGTAGTCAAAGCTAGGACGATGGGTTTCAACAAAGTCACGGCTGGCCTTTCGGGCAAGCGCTTTGGAGATCCAGTAGGCTTCCATGGAAGAGGCTGGGGTGATGTTTAGGGTGGGGTTTAGGTCGGTTGCTATAGATGATTAGATTGTATGTACGGTAGGGTAGGGGTGGTGATGGGGGCAAGCGAAGGCACAGTACCGGTATAGAGTCTCTCGGAGTCTGGGTTGAAGTTCCACTCGAAGGGGATGAGGGTCACGCCTGTTGTCTACCTTAGCTGTTTTCGTTGTCGCCTCGCGCCGGGTCGATGGATAGTGCATACAAGAAGAAGTGACAACAACCCTCTTCACACTCTCCACCCTTCCCGCAGCCTCAAGGAACACTGTTACCATCGAAACAGCAGGGAGGATGATATCCTCTTCATAATCCTCTGTCTACTCGACCGCCCTCCTCGCATCAGCCCCAGCCAACGTCAGATGATGGATCCGAAAACCGAAACTCACCTGAAGAGCCAACGGCGACGCCAGATGAACAATCACCGTCGTCCCCGATCCCCTCAGAACATTGTAGACGGCATCTTCGGCTAGAAAATCCGGGACAACGGCAAACTTCAGTTGTCCTGATCGAGTGGATTCAGTGATAGAAGCGCTTTTGGATTGGAGGTCAGAGATGTCGCTGTCTCTTCGGATCAGGGCAAGTAGTCTGTAGCCGCGAAAGAGAGCTGTGAGAAGGGTTTTGAAGCCGATGTAGCCGGTCGCGCCGGTTATCTGGGAAGTGAACAATTCGTGTGAGATTGTGTGGAGGTGGAGGCGAGGGTGGGGTTACCAGGAGCTTTTCGCGGGAGGTGCTGTGGGGGTCCATGGTTGATAAAGGAGGAAGAGATAATGAAAAACAATGGATGGGCGAATGGAAGGGCAGCGTCTGTATACAAGTACTTATAATAGAGTAGATTCAACCTCGAAATATGGGCTCGCGGAGCCCGGAGTTCCAGGTTTGGGTTTGAATCTAGGCTAGTGCCACCAAGTGTGCCTGTATCTGGCTAGGTCAATCAGTTATAAGTCTTCTTAGGCTCAATAAGCTAAATCCTTGATTGGTAAAAATGGGATCATTATAAACTAATTTAGAAATCACCATTCTGTTCTCCCTAAGTGAACTGCTTGAACTACAGGACGCGATATTAGCATCCGGCTACGCGCCTTTAAATTAGTTTTGATTTTACCCAACAATTCTAACTTATCCATAAAGACTACCAGGCGATCTGGTAATGGGAAGACTCTAGTTCGAAACTCCAAGTCCAGATCTTTGAATCTGTGATAAAGCTAACTCCCTGTTACTCCTGACACAACTCGAAGCCCGGAACTCCGTATATGCCCAGCCTCATCCCACCTTGCCTCCACGTCTGCCTGGGTTGAGTCTATAACAGCCTAACCACGCCACTCGTTTGGCGTTTGAGTCAGACCATTTTCATCCCTCTTTCCATCGCCATCGCCCCTTTGTATCAGAATCCCGCGACTAAGTCAGACAATGTACTCCATCCTCCTCCTCGGCGCAACAGGGTATACCGGCACCCTCTGCGCCAAATTCATTGCCCAGCACTACCCTACGAACATCCGCTGGTGCATCGGCGGCCGCTCAGAACAAAGACTCAAGGCGTTGGCGAGGGGATTGAGAGAGTTGTATCCGGATAGGCTGCAGCCCGGTACGTGCAGCCCCTGTTCTCCAACGGCGTTGGTGACTGTTACACCAACCCTCTGGCCTGTGTTGAGATTGACCTAGTCAGTTGAGCTGACAGGGTGGATGACTTTCAACACAACTAGAAATTGAACTCGTTGAACTCACCAAAGAGAGCATCGAATCGGTTACCCGGAAGGCAAAGGTCGTGGTCAATGGCGTCGGACCGTTCCATAGGTTTTCCACGCCGATTGTGCAGGCTTGTGCGCGGGCAGGCACACATTATCTCGATTTCTCGACCGAGACGTTATGGATTGCGGAGTTGATTGAGAGGTACGAGGATGTTGCGAGGGAGAGCGGGGCTATTGTGAGTTTTCAAGCCCTATGTCAATGAATTCCAGGCTGGGTCGAGGTCGAGATTGTCCCACGGTGTGCGCTGATACGGTAGTGATGAGAGCAGATAATACCAGGGATCTCACCGGCCGCACCGGCCGATCTCCTTGCGTGGCTGATCACAAAAACGACGAGGGAGACGCACTCCTGGGGACCGGGCGAGATTGTATCGTCTGGGAAGCTTAGCATCAAAGCAATGACCCCGGGCTCCCTGGCCACCGTTCTCGACAGTCTCACGACCTGGGGTGCATCCTGGTACCTGTCCGGAAACTCGGGCTCCTGGGTGCTCACTTCCCGGAAGCAACCGCCGCGGCTGGTCCCTAAATCACCACTTCTGTCTCGAGCGCTTGGCTACTGTCTTCATCCCGTTCTGGGGCCTCTGACAACATCCTTCGCGGGCCCCGGGAATGCCTCGGTTGTACACCGCAGCGCAGCCCAGAACCCTGGGCTTTATGGTGATGATTTCCAGTACAAGGAGTACCTTCCTGCTACGGGGATGTGGAATGCGATCTTCATACATTGTGCTACAAAAGTCACCATACTATTGCTCTGGATACCGTTTGTGAGGGGCTTAGTACGGAAGCTCCTGACTATGAACGCGGGTGATTTGCCTGATCAAGAGGTGTTGAGGGGGGCTGAGCGTGCGGAGTACCGGGCTGTAGGTGGGGCTGGGGGTCGAATAGGGACTGAAAAAAGAGTTATTGAAGCTTCGTTGCTGCGGGAAGGGGCATTGTATGAGTTCACAGCGTTGCTAACCTGTGTTGGGGCGAGGGTCTTGTTAGAGAGGGGGAGCAAGGAGAGCGGAGGAGAGCGGGCTGGGAAGGGCGGATTCTTTACGCCGAGTTTCCTAGGCATGGAGTATGTGGATGGGCTAAGAGATGCTGGCGTTGAGATTGAAGTGAGGTCTGCGGATGGCAACGCTTACTAGCCTAATTGGCTGGATAGCCAAGGATATACATTCTGAGGGACAATGGGTGTGTTGCTTGTACTCGGTGCGGGCCAATTTGAAAGTTCGATCGTAGTTGAATGAACTCACTCGTTTCATAGATGTACCTCAGTCTCACTCATGAACGACATTATGACTATGAGCCATCTTCTCGTCAGTAGTCTTATTCCTTGGTTGCCAGATGAGCAGCCAAGCATCGACGACGGCAACTGGTGTGAGACCATCTCTGGTCGATAAAGCCCTGATAGTCATGCGTGGCTTTCTAGCGGCAAGCTATTGCATTTGTGCTCGGGAAGACTTATGGAGTCTTATCATACTGACACCAATCCCTTTGATTCCTGAGGGAGAGAATGGTATTCGAAAAGGAGGATATAGAGAGGAAGGTGTGGTATCCAGAAAATGAACCTGGAAGCATTCTTGTAGGTGAATGCAGCCATCATGTCAACGAGTCCCAACGGAACCAACTATCCTCTACATTCCAGAGATCTACGGACAAGAACCCATCCATCACTCATCACCCCTTCACTACCGCACATCTGGCAATAGCCCTCAATCCATGAGTCTAGCACCTCACCCCCTCCCATTACCCACTCTACACCCTCACCAGCCACACCCACTATCTCAATCGTAATCGCAACCCCTCAATCTCTACATCCTAAGTGCACAGACCCCTTCATCCCATCAGACTATCTATATAGAAACTCAAATAGTGAGGCAAACCCACCCCCACAATGCCTGTGCAGACTTTCCTACCTAACCACCCCGTCGCCCCCAGTATAGCACTAAATAGCAACGGACTCCAAACCATCTAGCCTCACCCCTTAGCTTACTTAGCGATTCACCCAATCCCAGCCCCAGAATTACCACCACGCACTTTCAGCTAGGGATGGAGACGGTATAGAGGCATGACAGCTCAGTCGGAGTGGATCCCGGAAACTGGGTCCACGGTCCGGAAAAGATCCACTCTGTTGGGCACGTACCACCCAAAGTGCCAAGTCGCCCTCGGAGGCTGGTTCTAGACTTGGATGTCGCTTGTGTTGCTATGTCGAAGACCAAAAATTGTATGGGTAGTGTTGGCGGGTCGGTGGAGACTCGACGCGCTCTGGAGTCTGGACAGTCCAATGTCGAAGTTCGGGGGGCGGGCCGTCGAGTTTGGTCTATGTTTAGAAACATTGAAGTGCAATTGAGTTGGAGAAGACTGACCCACGCCTTGCGCACGTATTGAATAGTATCAATTTACATCCTGGCCATAGTGCTGTTGTTGTCTTGTCTTGTCTTGTCTTGTCTGAACATGCAATTGCTTACCGACATCCGCCATGCATCAACCACACACAAACCAAAACAAGGTTCCTCAACCTTGACAGCGTGCATGAGCCATTAAATTAGGTTAGACGGTTGCAGCGGAGCGGTATGATTCTCCCTGGGCGTGCAGCGTTGCATATCTCGCCCTTTACACTTTTCAGCAATCTGCAAAGCTCCGGCGTCTCGACCCTCCCTCCGGGATCACAGATTCGGATATCCCAGGTCCACCCACGCCCGCGGCTTGCGGGATTTGCTACCCGGCGAGGCGAGAGAAAAATCTCCGGGGAGTGGCATCGGTGAGGCCTGGCGTCTTCCTACTTTGGAACACTCCGTGGTTCTCGGACAGGGAATGTTGTTGGGTTCGGAGAATTGATGCCCTTTGTTTGCTTGCTCTGCTGGAGAGAGATACGGCGGACAAGGGGGGGAGGGAGGATGTCGCGGGTTCTGGGCCAAGCGAGCGGAGTACGAGTTGCTTTTGGGGGGTCGTCCCGAGCGGAACAAGTGGTAATTGTCGATTTGGCAGAACTACCTATCCTTAGAACCATTTAATCGGATTCTCTTTTCTGAAGAGGCTCCATATCACTTACGTATACGTATACATAGAAGACGGTCCTTGTCTCGAGCCACTAAATGTACAGGGGTGTAAGGAGCCTCTACTATACGCTAAGCCCAATCTAGAAGACTGTTCGTCTGCGGGCATCAAACATAATCTCAATTGGCGAATCATTTACGAGTCCTGATTCATACTGCATACATAGCTGGACACGTGGAACCACCAATCACGACATAGGAAATTCAATTCATGAACTAGAATCCGTGATTGGGAAGATCAAAGGAGGGGACGGTTTCCTTAAGGGAGATCCGAAGTTAAAATGGAAAGAAAAAAAAAAAAGTCAAAGGAAAGGCGCGGCCTGCAGGTCAGCTGCAGCCATCGTGCTCTAGACTAAGCACACAAATCCGGCATCCGAGACGGATGAGTCACTGCTTGCATGCAACATACAGTAAGTTACAGTACATCTTGGCTGCAGCAAGAAAACAAAAGTTGGAAAGCCCCCGTCCTGGAGCGGGCTTCTTCCGCTTTCCCCCCGGTGTAGACAGCATGAAGAAGGGTCGCACAACAGATTTCTCTCTATTTGTCCCTCTTCTCATTTTCCTTTGTTCTCTCCTCTGCTTTGTGGCCTTTTTTCGGCGAGTTTGTCTTTTTTTTTGTGGTTCTTGGTTTCGAGAAGTCGGGATGAACCGAAGAATACCAAACATAAGACATAGGAAGGTATTGTTGCGATGATCGCAGAAAAGGAAGATGCGAAAAACAAAGTAATCGAGATCCTCTGCGAATCTGCAGGCGTATGCAGTGCACTGCAAGAACGCGCAAGTGCAGCAGTAGCTGAGCGATTTCTCCATTGCCAAATCCAATGCGATCGGGCAGATATGGGAAGGCTGGGGGCCGCGGCGGGTCTGATGAAACCCTTTTGCCGGTGGACAAGATTCGATTTGGGGGACAGCGTGGTAACAGCATCTTGGCTGCATCAAAGCTAGCAGACAGGTATCCAGTGTCGTGCGCGAGATAAGACCGTAATGACTAATTCCAAACCAGTGCGTTGTGCTCATTCAACGGTGGTAGTCGGTCGGCCGGTAGATGCGGGACGATTCCTTGACGCGCTCATACCGCTCGGCCGCATCAGCCTCGTACAGTGACCCTCGGCTGGGCGAGCTGCGAGGGGATGTGTAGATGATGGTCCGGTGACGCTTCAGGGTCCGTGGCTCACGCTCGATGATGGCCTGCGAAGGATGAAGGTAGTCCTGAGTGGTGGTGCGTCGAGGGGGCACGGGATAGGTGGCATCGTAGCTGATGACCGGGGGCGCAGAGGCACGAACGCCGACGGTCGACTTCTTCTCCACGCGCAGGCCGTCCTCAATTGCCAGCAGCAGCTGACGGGCGGCGGCATACTTGAGAGGCACCTTGATCAGTGTGGATCGGTTGCGTTCTAGGTCGACCACCGAGTAGATCTTGCCGTTCTTGCTGCGCAGGTATTCAGCCACGTCGCGGGCATACTGGTGGCCGCGCTTGCATAGAGACCGGTCTTCCTCGCGAGTCTGAAGGGGGTTGGCACAACGGGAGCAGTGACCGGCGTGGCTCTCAAAGCTGTTGAGGACATATGTCTCGTCGTCCTCCAGCTCCCGCACGAGCACGACGGGCTCGGCGGCTTGCTCGACCTGGTGAGGCATGCTTGCGGTGCGACGGAGACGGGGCTTGGATCGCAGGGGAACAGACTCCCTTATGGAGGTGTAGATAGGGGGCCAGAGGAATCGAGTAGACTTGAAAGGCGACAGTGTGACGGATGGGTCAGGTCGAGCTCTGGGTGAGCACGTGTTGCGTGAATAGGTGGGTAGCAGTAATGCGATTGAATGAATAGATCGCAAACAAAGTGGTCCTGCGAGTGGCTATATGGTTGGTAATAGGTCTGAGTTGAAGGGCTGGATGCAGATGTATGAACTTGAAAATGAGAAGTAGAGGGGGGGAGCAGAGGAGGTTATATAGTTGGACATGACGAGTGGAAGGCATCCATGGAAGAGGGTAAAATGAGCTGCAGGAGGGATTCATGACGGATCTGGTCACAAGTGGAGACGCTAAGGAGGAATCAGTCATAATCTAAAATTAAAAATAATAAAAATAATAATGATGGGAAAGGAGGGTGTGGCAGCTGATGGGAGAAGTTTCCTAGAGAAAGTGCTGCCTGGTGACCGTAAGGCTGTCTCTTCTGTGTGTCTACTCAGTATCCGTACTGTGGCTGGTGCAGTGGAGTGGAGTGGATGATGGTAGTGGTGGTGGTGGTGAAGGCAGTGCATTTTCCAGGTTCAAATCTCCACTTCCCGGTTGGAAACGCAGTGTTCACAACAAGATCGCCTTTTGGATGGAATTACTGCAAGCTGATTGGTGAGAGGGACAGTAACAGTCGGTCAAGTTGGGATCATTCCCCTTCCCTGGTTGTTCTCATCTGACTGTCTGACTGCACCGGGTGGACACACTAGGAGAGGAATAGGGTTAGTTCCTCCCTAATGCCACGGACTACGCGTCTCCACCGTCCACTTTGCTTATCGACAGGGTCTTATCATTCCCCTCTAGAAAACAGTCTATACCTCTTCTAGGTGTCGGGGAAGAACTGAGTTCGATGGAGAGAGTCATCATCATCATCATCTATTGTCGGAGTCACTGAAGGATGGCTGGTGCTGTGGCTTGTACCCTCGTGTTTCCTGCGCCGCAATCCTCTAACTGCCACCTCGTCATCTTTCTTCTTCCCTCAACAACCTTTCCAACACGAAGCCTTTTGTTGCTCAGAATCTCTCTGTTTTTCTGATGACGCCATAATTCCACCAGAAAGAACTACAACGGACTGTGGCTTGACCCTCCATGGTTTGCGAGGTCCCCTGTCTGTCTATGCCCGGCGAGCAGCTCTCCCCGCTTCATGGCTCAACCACACCCGTCCCCGCGCTCATTTGCTACGCAGCCGCTGTCAACATCGCGGAGCGGTATTCAAAACAATAGAATCCATCCGTTCCAAACTGTCGGGCCTGTCTACCATCACCGCATACCCTATCGATCTCTCGTGCTGAGTTCTAGCATTCTAAGAATATCTACCATAAACGTTCGCAAGTACAGCACTGGGTGAAGATTGAAGATGGGGGATCCGGACTGCCAACCCTCCGCTATACGAGCGACCTGTCGATCGTCCGCACTTCCATGTGCTAAGGGGGGTCAACCGTCTCAGCCCCATCCTCCTCCCCCCTCCCCCCCCCCTCCAACCTTTCTGTTCCCCTTACACTAGTCCCGATCATGTCTTTCTTCTTCGCACAGGGTCCAGAAACTCCTTCCTGAACTCAGCCTCCGTCAAAGCGACAACGACGACTGGTCATGATTTCTCTTCTCCCCCTTTTTTCCTTACCCGTCCAATCCCATCCATATGGCTCTACATGCCATTGAGCTTGGGTGTGATCCCTGCTACCACGAGTTTTGGATCGCGAGATTTATGCAACCTGCACTTTTTACCTATCTGCGAGATGTTTCCTGCCTTCGATGTGGATAGTGGGCTACGAGGAGTAGTGGCAGGGAACCTGGTTTCAAGTACCGCGCGGCATGACCCTTGAGTGTGTCTCGTATCCTATCGCGGTGGCCTTGGGTGTTATTTGGAACTGGCTCGCCACCTGGACTGCTTTTCTTGTCTGAGACTCAAAGTCGTCATCAACTTGCGCAGCCCTCACTCGCACCTTCGCACATCCGCGATAATACAGGAGTGACCCGTCTACAAGCATTACTAATCCTGTTCACAAGTAACCTGTCGACCCAGGTTGCTTTGTCGGATGCTGCCTTGGGGGTTCCTTTGCAAGAAGCCGCCGCACGCGAACGATCCGATGATCGCATGGGCGCGTGCCCATGCTGAACTGACTGCCCCGAGGCAGACTAATAGATGGCAGGTCGGGCTGTGCGGTGATTCCTGTAGTCGCCATGGGGAGATGGCGATCTCGTCTTTTCTTTTTCCCCTTTGCGACCCCGGGTGATCCCTGAACCAGAAGCGCACACCCGACCATCGGTTCACCTACCAATCCCCGACGTGGGAATATATATCAGCAGTTGGAAACACCAGCACAAACAACACTCATACTGCTCACTCAGCTGCCTGGTCGCGACTTGCGACAGAGTCTGCCTTACGCCAGGGATCCAGGCTCCAGAATTTCTCTCACCTCACAACCGAAACGTCATTGTCAATCGTGTTCCCTGCGAGCTGAAGAGTTGACAGGAGGCGGCAGGTCAAGCTTGTTGCAAACATGATTTGAACGCAGGCGTAGCCTTCAACAACAACAGCCCGGCTAGCTCAATCGGCAGAGCGTGAGACTCTTAATCTCAAGGTTGCGGGTTCAACCCCCGCGTTGGGCTTTCTCTTTTGCTTTTTTGCCCTTCGCACATTGCCATTATACTGCGGTTTGCGCGTAGATTTTTCTTTTTATCTTGTGTGGTTCGCGGACGGCGCGGAAGCTCCACCCGGGATCCACTTCTTGCAATCAAGCGAATGGCCGCTCCCAGGTGTAGTCAGGGTACTAACTATGTAGTAGACGAAAAGGCCAATCACTAAATACAGCCTGTGGTATGCCCACCTCATATGTTCAGTACCATTTGGTGTAATGAAGCAATTCATACTACTTTACTCCTGTACATGGCGGCCCAGGATTGCGCCTTTTCTCCCCCGCCACTGTACCTGCTTTAGCTCCGCTGCACGCGGGTCCTAGCCACCTGATCCCATGCCTTACTCATAGTGGTGACGGCTGTCGCATGTAACCTGTCGGTCCGGTCTTACGGGCTGTTTATACTCAGTTGGACATGCCACCTACCCTCATCCAGCGGGTTGAGAATGTCATGCGTAGACAGATAGACAGATAGATTATTTGGTCTCCGATCAAGAGATCAAGATCCAGCGGTCCAGGCCGTCGAAACCCTCTAACATGCACCCAGTAACCACGAAGGACCAGCATACAATGCCGGAACTCGACACCCGCCCCAGCAAGATCAGAATATCCCAATTCAGTACAAAGCAACCCATCTCGAATTCCATATCCTTGAATACAAAGGAAACAACCCATCGCATAAGTTATCCCTGGTGTGAAAAGCGAGTTGTAACACATCCCCTCTCATTCCCAAGGCTCAACGCCAGAACACCATGCACCTAGTCCTCTCGAAAATCCCTTTGACTATACCTCCATCTGGGGCAGAGGCTTCGTCACCCAGCAAAGACACGGGACGAAAACCATGGAGGATAATTTAGTTTCTGTTCTGCACATGAACGGTCGATTGTCAGTATATATATCACCATGAGTTCTAATCTGTACAACGACGAATGACGTACTACTCCTTGGCCTTGCACTTGTGGTTCACACACACGCCGCATCTGCCGCGGCAGCGGTCGTTGTTGACGCAGTTCCGGTTACAGTAGGTGATTCCGGGATCCAGGGCCTGGTCAGCGAGGTCGTCGACGGGGTTCATGACGGCTGCGTGAACGAGGGCAGCGAGGAGGGGGAAGAGAGCGAGGATGCGGAGGTTCATTTCTGCTGTGAGCTGTAGATTGAGGTTGGGTTTGTGTGGTAGAAGAGCTTGTTTAGAGGTAGAGAATCGTGAGTTGGCAGAAGGATGAACGGATCTCGGTTCGTGGACGAGGTGAGGGTGAGGTCTGGAAGGTGGGGATTCCAGCCATAAAAATATGGTATCTCAAATTACTTTCTGCACCTTGAGGAGATATATTCACTTGTTGGCGAGTTAGTTGAGCAACATCATGTGCTGTGTGGACAGTTACTATCGGTACTAATTGCGCTAGCTATTGACTCTGGAGAAGATATCGCTATAGAGACTATCGATTCACTCTGGTGTGTCACGCTGTGAAAGGTTAAGGGGTCTTGTCTGAAGCGGTGAATTGATGTACTGTACTTCCGGCCTGAAAGAGGTATTGTAGACTGTGGGTCGCACGACAGACATATATTTAATGAGTTTAGACTTATGACAACTCCCTCTGAATCTCCGATGCTATCTTACCAAGCTGTTGCAAGAATACCAACCTGCAAATGTTCAACTTGAACGGTCAGCAATCTAGAACAGACAAATACGCGGAGCATAATATTTATGGATAACCGAAGAGGACAACAGTTAGCGTTTCATTGCCCCTAAAGGCCCGCCCCTTGTTGCATCCTCAAGGCTCGGAGTGATTGTAATGAATGGTTCCATTCTCTGTCCACCCAGAACATTTCAGCATATTCCGTTCCGGGCCGGGGACAGATGCTTGATTGCAACACAAGCATGGACTTGATGCGGCTGAGAATCAACTCCAGTCTTGTTGCAACACTTGTGCGGGGTAGACGGACGACAGCAGCTGCGGTGCAACCCGGTTATGTGGTCAAAAGGTCATGTATGCAATCAACACTCATCTTGACCAATCAGCTCGCATGGCTTAGATGGTAAAGCGCAGCACTAGTAATGCTGAGATCCTCGGTTCGAGTCCGAGTGTGAGCAGCTGAAGTTCTTTTTTTTTTTCTTTTCTTTTCTTTTCCCCTAGCCTCCTGTCTCGGACTGTTATTTGGTTTGCTGTCTTCGCTTCCTTACCTCCACTCCAACAACCTTAGTTTTGTTTATGAAATCCAAACGAGCCAACACTTCTCCTTCCCCCTGCTCTTATTTGCCTGTACTTTGTCCCCCCTCAGCCAAGAAGCAGATAGCCGAGCACTGAAGTCAATCGACCCCAAACTGCCGAGTTGCTGGAAATGGCAGGGTTTCGCGGCCAGCTCCGCCGTCCGCCGATCCACCGGAGCTTATCGGCCATGACGACGAGTTGGGAGTAAGCAACCTGGCTTATCGAACATTTCCCCGCTTGCTTCTACTCGGCAATCGTCCTGAACGCTGGTTCGCATGCACTGCCGATCCTCGACAATCCGAATCTCACCTGGAATGTTCATGTTGTCATGTTCAACTCGCTGTCTCAGCTGCACCCTAGCCAATCCTTCTATATAAGTAGCATTGGTCACCTCCCCACCCCCCGCAACAGCCAACAATGCAGATTCTAGGTGAGCCCCCACCACATACTACCATACCCACTGCACCGTTTCCCCGCTTTTCATCCAGTGCACTCCCCCATTGTCATCACCCCTAACACCTATCCTCGCAACAGCATCAGCACCATCCACCATGAAGGACATCATCGCGAAATATCGCCCGGACCTCAAGCCCTTCGAGGAGATCTACCGCCACCTCCACCAGAACCCCGAACTCTCGGGCCAGGAGCAGGAAACCGCCGCGACGGCCGCGGAGCACCTCCGGAGCCTGGGGTTTGAGGTGCACACGAACCTCGGCGGGCACGGGGTGGCGGGGGTGCTGCGCAACGGGGCGGGCCCCACGGTGCTGGTGCGGGCCGACATGGACGCGCTCCCCGTGGAGGAGAAGACGGGGCTGCCGTACGCCAGCACGAAGACGACGACGGACGCGGAGGGGGTGACGCGGCCCGTGATGCACGCGTGCGGGCACGACACGCACGTAGCCAGCCTGATGGCCAGCGCGGCGCTCCTGCACGCCGCCCGCGCCCACTGGGCGGGCACGCTGGTGTGCATCTTCCAGCCGGCCGAGGAGCAGCTGGACGGGGCGCGCGCCATGCTCGCTGACGGGCTGTACGACCGGATCCCCGCCCCGGAGGTCGTGCTGGCCCAGCACGTCATGCGCATGCGCACCGGCACCGTCAGCGTCCGCGCCGGCCGCTTCCTCACCGCCGCCGACGCCTTCGACGTCCGCATCCACGGCCGCGGCGGCCACGGCTCCGCGCCCCATACCTGCATCGACCCCATCGTCGCCGGCGCCGCCGTCGTCACCAAGCTGCAGAGCATCGTCAGCCGCGAGGTCACCCCCGGCGAGATGGCCGTCGTCACCTGCGGCAGCATCCAGGCCGGCCACGCCCACAACATCATCCCGGATTACTGTGACCTCAAGTTGAATGTCCGCACGTATGATGCGGGCATCCGGAAGCGCGTGGTCGAGTCGATCCGCCGGATCGTCGAGGCCGAGTGCGAGGCCGCCGGCTGCGTCGAGAAACCCCTGGTGAAGCTCACGTATTCCACCCCGGCGACGATCAATGATGGGCAGCTGGTCGAGACGCTGAAGGGTGCCTTTGGGGATTATTTCCAGGACGGACTCGTCGAGTCGGAGCCCGCGGCCGCGAGTGAGGATTTCTCGCTGCTGGCCACGGCCGTGGGCGCGCCGTATGTGATGTGGACGTTTGGCGGCGTGGATGCCGACACCTGGGACGATGCCGTCAGGAGGGATGTCGTCCGCGAGCTGCCGAGTAACCACTCGCCGTTTTTCGCTCCGGTTATTGAGCCTACGCTGCAGACGGCGGTGGATGCTATGGCCGTGGCGGCGATGACCTTCTTGCAACAGAAAAAATGATCGGCTTTTTTGGGGTTGTTTGCGAGGGGCGTGACTGCTCGAGTCGAACCCCTCGTGGTATCATAATCAACGTAACTGTACATAGAGAACACGAAAGCGTTGCATGGCGAATCTGTACCTCTCAAGCATCCATCCATCCCATCTCGTTTCCTAGTCTCGACTCGATACATGCACCACCACCTTCCCGCGCGCCCGCTCCGAGCGCAACTTCTCGAAAGCCTTGGGCGCCTCCTCAAACTCGTAGACACTATCCAGCACAACCTTCACCTTCCCATCCCGGATCAGCTCCCCCACCTTGACCAGATCCTGCTTCCTGGGCTTCCAGAAGATCGGCAGGTACCTCCGCTTCCCGCCGCCCAAGAAGCTGGGCCGCAGCAGCCGCGTCGCGAAGGTCGGGAACCGGGTCGCGCCGACCTGCGCGAACACCTTGCCCGGCTTGAGGAAGGCATGACACTCGTTGTACATCTCGGCGGGGAGGCCGATGTGATCGACGACGTGGTCGAACACGGGGCCCTTGGCTTTGAGCACGGCCACCACATCCTCCGCGGTGTAGTCCAGCACCTCGTCCGCGCCCAGCTCCCGGCAGAACGGCACGTTCTTGGTCGAGCACGTCGTCGTCACGGTGCACCCCAGCGCCTTGGCGATCTGGATGGCGTAGATCCCGCACCCGCCGGACCCGGCGTTGATGAAGACGTTCGCCCCGGTGTCCGGGGCGATGAACGGCGCGATCGACTGCCACGCCGTCATGCCCGCCACGCCGACGGTCGCGGCGTGGTCGACCTCGACCCCCGCGGGGATCGGGTGGAGGTTCTCTTCTCGGGCGATGAGGTATTCGGCCAGCGAGCCGAATTGGGTGGGCAGGTCGAGGGTGCCGTAGACGATTTGGCCGGGCCTGAATGATGATGTTTTGTTGTTGTTGTCGGCGGTGGCGACGACTTCGCCGGCGAAGTCGAGGCCCGGGCTGGCGGGTTTGCGGATCAGGGCCGTTGTGATGATCGGCATCGCGGGCACTTTGTAGTCGGCTGGGTTCAGGGCGGCGGTCAGCACGCGGATGAGGACTTGCGACGGCTTGAGAGGCGCGGGAGGCGCGCGGGCGCAGGGCTCCAGGGTGAGGTTGGCTTCGAGGGTCGGGTTGGTGTGGCTGTAGAGCCAGGCTCTCATTGTGGTTGGGTAGGGGGTCGTTGCTGTTGCTGTCGTCATCTTGGGTGGGTGTTTCGTGTACAGGTTTGGAAATGGGTGTCTGCTGATGGTGTGGATTAAGGTGGAGGTTGACTGAAAGTGGCAGAGAGAGTGGTTGGAAGAATGTTTTTGGTGGTGGTGGATTTTCTGGTCGGAGTCGCGATAAGATAGCATGCTGAGAGGAGATTCCGCTAATGGAGACGTCATGGCGGCTGTTCTAGACTGGGATGTTTGTATTGGCATGGATCTCTCTGTAAATACATTTTCCCGCACAATTGAAGCTATTTCATGCTTGTAATATGAAGCTGACATCTGGTCACAGACACTGGCACTGCTTAAAAAAAGCAAAAGAGAACATGGTCAGGTGATTTTACCGATTGAGCCAAATCGGCTGGCGGTGAGGATGATTTGAGTCCAGCTGTTTGCTAATCATTGTCTGTCCAACAACCTCCTGCTGTCAGACCCTCCAAGTATGACAACACAGAACCCAGCCTCAAGCCACCCAGCAGTCGAGACCCAGCTGGAGCCCAGCTGAAGCTATAGCGGTCACCGGCTAAGCCTCAAGCTATTCGTCCGACGCAGCAATGGGGTCCTTATCAGAAGCTTGGCTGCAAAAGTGGGCCAATGGAGAAGCTACTGGAGCGCACTCGTGTCGGCGTCATACAGATCATCTCTCCTCTTTCCCTCTGCACCTCTCCGATGAACAGACCACCCTCGGTCGCAAATTGCCTCCAGCGACTTTGGATACTACACATTCATGATGCCGGACTGTTTGCGACCGACTCTTGCCTGAACGAGCGTTTCAACGACTGCCATCGAGTGCCCGCCCGAGCCAACGCAGCTTCCGCAAAGGGACTAGTGGGACGGTGGCCGGTGATGACATCATTGAGTCCGACCTCGGCTGGGCCTGAGGAATCCATCAATCAAAGGGGATCAGTGATGATTATGAATGATGATGATGCACTGCGTTGTTGTTCCTCGCAGCACAGCCATTCATTTACTCCCAAAAGGGTCCAGCCCTTGTCTCTCCTCCCAGACATTGGTCGACTGATCCATTAAGATTATATCGATCGGTTCCTGGCCCACTCCGTGTTCGTCTCCCTGTGTTTCCGCTGCTTCCTATCCCTCCCTCCCTTTAGTTTATTTGCGCTGCCACCCCCTCTCCTCCTGAAGTCTTCTTCCATTCGACCCTGCCCTTTTCATACCTCGCCCACTTCCTCTCAGTTTTCAAGGCTTCATGACCTTCTGTGAGGCTTGTTCCTTCCTCATCTAGCGCATCAGAACCATGCCCCTGAATACCTTCGCATTGAGTCTGGCCCTCACTCCGACCGTCCTCCAGACCCTGATCTCTCATGTGGGTCATTCATCCTTCCCATCCGCTACCAACAATGGCTCCATCGCGTTTCACCTTTCGTTGATTCCTTCCTTCCCCGAACTGACCAACTGACACCCGTTTCACCTGCCATCAGTACCTCCACCGCAAATCTCTCCACCACAAACCAAACGTCCACATCTCCTACGATGAAAGCATCCGCATTTTACGCGAATTCCTCATCTACGCCTCCAAGCATAGTCTAGAAGACCTCCAAACCTTCACCTGCCAGCGGGTGCCCGCGCCGCATTGGGTGAAGCTCGAAACCGTGACCGTGCCGGAGGACTGTCTACTCGGCGCAGCTGATGCGATCAACAAGCAGCTCGGCCCGAAGGGCGTCGCCCGCGTCGGCGGCAAAGAGTGGTGGCAGTGGCGCGGCCCCGCGGAGGACTTGAAGGCGGAATGGATCGAGATGAAGGAGGACTACAACGAGCGGAAGCGCACAGATCGCGACCACCCCAGCCAGAAGCGCATCATGCTGTACATCCATGGCGGGGCGTACTTTTTCGGCAGCTTGGATACACATCGGTATCAGATGCAGCGCCATGCGCGGAAGTTGAAGGGGAGGGTCTTTGCACGGTAAGCCTTTTATGTCCTCCTTGAATCGGAGTATCTCTTACTGACCGTGTTCAAGTGAGTCTTCGACCTGATGATAGGTCCCAGTGTCCACCCCCGAATTAAGCTGATTCCCTGTCTAGCTAAATATCGCCTGGCGCCGCAATTTCCCTTTCCTTGTGGAATGCAGGATTCACTGGCGGCCTACCTGTTCTTGTTAAAAGAGCATAAGCCCGAGGAAATCCTATTCGCCGGTGACTCTGCCGGAGGAGGTCTGGTTCTCTCGTAAGTTTGAGGTCCGGTCGATCCTGCAAGCTGCAGCTAACGGCCGAAGTATGCTGGTTCTCCTACGCGACCAAGGGCTTCCTCTGCCGGCGGGGGCTATCTTGATTTCACCCTGGGTGGACTTGACCCATTCATTCCCTAGCATCGTCAAAGACAACCCCGGAGACTATATTCCTCCGTACGGCTTCATGCACAAGCCGTCTCCGGCGTGGCCGCCCCCTAACGCAGATGAGCTTGCTTCTTTAAAGAAAGCACTCCAGGTGAACCCGGCTAAGTCCAGCCATGCTGTCCCCGAGCAAAGTAATCGGGACGAAGAGACGGCGGAAAGGGGTTACTCGATGCACAAGAGCAGCTCTTCCGAAGCCGACCGCACGAACTCGGATCGCCAGTCCACCGAGATTCATAACGAGAAGATCAGTATCCCGATTGACGGAGAAACGGTCGAGATCAAGGACCAGATTCACATGTATGCGACAAACGACTTTCTGACCCACCCACTCGTATCCCCTATCTTCCAGCCTTCTCTCGGAGGACTGCCTCCACTGCTGATTCAGAGTGGAGGCGGCGAGATGCTGAGGGATGAGCAATTCTACGTGGCCCACAAGGCGGCCAACCCGGCCGCATACCCGCCTGGCGATGCTTTTCTCGACGAGCATGACCCCAACCGGGAAACCCTTCACAAGTATCAGGGAACCTACGTTCAACTCCAGGTCTGGGACGACCTATGTCATGTGGCGCCGACTCTCAGCTTCACTCATCCGGCAAAATACATGTATCGGGCGATTGCGCAATTTGGCGCCTGGGCTCTTGCTTGTGCGCAAGACACAGAGGTCGAGATTGTTGACGATCACGGTGTATCCAGCGACACTGATAGCAGCGAGGACCCAACCAAGAGAGAATCGGAGAATTCTCACACCCCTGTCGACTGCATTGGCAAGGCCGGGGACCCCTTACCCGCATTCAAGGACCGCATGATCCGGCAGCGAGTGGATAAGAAGGGCAACGTATACCCCTTGGATCCCCCATCGGCGTGCTCCGTGCTCCAAATCCCCCCATCCAAAGTGGGAGTATTCAACCCCGTGCTCGTGCGCAAGTGGCTGTCTGCGAAGAAGGAATGGGATACCAGGTTCGCCAAGGAGAAGCTCCGTGTTCAACGACAGCGCATGAAGGAGCTGGCGTATGGACTTCAGAATTTCCAAGGCGAGCTGCCACCGCCGAGCTCCCTGGCTGCCCGGCGCACCGTCCCGCGCGTGTTGCCATCCAGGACTGGCGGCAAGAGCTACCCAATGACTATGTGGAGTAAGATGGCCAGCAAGCATGACGAGCGCACCGTCGTCAAAGAACAGTTGAAGGGTGACCGGTCCACACGGACGAGCGTCGATGCCGGCCAAGCGGGAGCGTCGATGAAGGCAGAGGCCGCGCAACAGACGGACGAGAACGCGTCCGCCACCCAGCGCGCCGCCGCCGTGACTGGCGCCTCCGTGCAGGACTTCTCCAACAAAGCCCAGTCGAATGGCCTGAGCAATGGGGGTGGTTCGTCGGGAACAAAGGTCCCATCCGAGGAAGATGATGATACGCGCGATCAATCAGCGAACTCACACACCAAAGCCCCTTCGCTTGAGAGCTTCACCCCCATGCTCGTCCTGCCGGGGTATGAGGGAAAGAACTTCGAAGAAGAGAACGCCAGCACCCGCGCGCTCTTCCATGAAGCGGGCGCTATTCCGACCACAGGCGACTCTCACTGGGCTTCACGACTGCGACACCGGGCCTCGTCCAATGCCGGGTCGGGCACCATCCGCAGTGGGCTCACGACCGAGCCGCCGGAGGATACGAGCACAATCGGCGACGAGAAGTCTCTGGCCGTGACCACGACGAACGGACTCGATGCAGCGAGTACCCGTGCTGTGCTCAATGCCAAGGGAGTGCTGGGCATGGCTAGCGATAACGAATCTGCGTATCGCTCGTTCGAGGCTCTGCCAAGTGAGCTTGGGGATGGTGAGGTCGGTACCCCGGGCCTGGGTCCTGATGGTCACGAGGCAGAGTCGACGCCGCGGCCTGGCTTGCCTGACCGAGATTATTTCAAGACGGCGGAGGAGTACGTTGCGCACTGAGGGTTGATGTCATTGTATTGTACAGGTGATGTCTCCCCTTCACAAGACGTATATAGGCATGACCAGTGTTCATTTTCTTTGGTTCCTTGGGAGGTCTGTTGGTTGTTATACCCAGCTTTACATAGTCGCACTTTAGTTTTGGTTTTTTTTTTCAAGACGCAGCAAATTCCATCCATATTCAGCATTACTACCAATCAACTCAAACGATTCGAAAAATCATACTCAATTGCCAGGGTATATGTACACACTTCAACCAAAAGAGACCATATAATACACAACCCCGTTTTTCCTCCTTTCCCCTTACCTTTCCCAAAGAACAGTAAAATCCTCACCACTGCACCCCCACCTTCCGCGCCACCTCCTCCGCGATCCCCAAGAACGCCGCCCGTCGCCCACTGTCGGGGTTCCCCTCCTCCGCGACGACGGTCGGCACCCCGCGATCGGCATCCTTGCACACGGTCCCGTCGAGGGGCACGTCGCCGAGGAACTCGACGCCGAGCCGGCGGCACTCAGCCCGCACCCCCCAGTCGTCCTCGCGGCCGCGCAGGTGGTCGTGGCCGTGGCCGAAGATCTCGGTGCTGGTGCCGCAGCTCGGGCAGCGGAAGAAGGCCATGTTGCGCACCATGCCCAGCACGGGCACGTCCATGCGCTGGAACATG